CCATCTGATTTCATTATTACTGCAGACTGGATTTTATGGGACTCGTCCGAGCATAGGTACTACAAAGTTAGCTATTTTCCTTGATGCATTTGCTTCACAGGAGAAATAGTTTACTTTGTAACTGAAAGCTATTAACGGTACTCTGAAGAGTGATAGAGCTAATTCGAGAGGATATATGGATTTGATGTCACTAGTACCTTAATTTTTTTTTATACAACTTAGAATGGCAAACAAGCTAACGGCCCACCTGATGGAAAGTGGTAACCGTCGCCTATAGATATGAGCAGTACCATGGACATAACAGAGTATACTGTTTCGCCCATAATTCCCCCATGCGTTGCCATTCCTGAGGACTCAGGTGTTATTCCTCTGTACCCTGTAAATTCACGCCATATCCCACCTTTCAAACTAAAACACAGCCATGCAAAAAAATAATATTACTGAACACAGTGTTTCATTCATTAAGATTTATTTTGATTTAATAAAAAAGGCATATTAAAAGTGCTTATAAACAAGTCTTTTTGAATCAAGACAATTTCAATTTGAATTGCATTATTTTGATTATTTACAATCAATAAAATATTATTATCACTGGTCATAAAGTGGACTGTCAGCTAAATTTGCAATTCAGTTGGTTGGCAACACTAAAGTTGTATTTTTATAATAGCAACATTTTTTACTCTCGAAACAACAAGAATAGTTTTATTACTTATAATAACATCAAACTATAAGTATAACTAATTCCGAATTCCTTTCCATTCCTTTTTGATATTTCGTTTCGTTTCCTGTTTGTTACTGGCATTATGGCCAACATAGCCTTTTGCCATATTAAAAAAAAAACAATAATAGTGACATTGCTTCTGTGTGCGTGTGTTTTTTTTTTATTTTTGACAACGGTCACAGCGACCATACATACAAAGTTACAGTTCACGATAGCAACTTCTTACAAATTCTTGGTAGGTAGTGTCTTTATTTTTTTATTCGTCTTGCTGAATCCCAAGTGTATTCATCACGATGGGCTAACTGACTTGCTTTTTTATTCTCACCGGTCATCCCATACTGGTGGCCCCGCCAGTGTATACCATCAGCGCGGGCGGGGTGGCCATTCCATTATCACCCATTTAAAAAGTACAATTATGATAGATATTATCATCATTATATCAGCCTTTAACTGTCCACTACTGGACATAAGGGGAGGCTTATGTCCAGTAGTGGACAGTTAAAAAAAGAGACTTGGGCGGTTTTGCCACTATTTACCATGCTTGGCAACCGCAATTAGGCTTTGGAGATGTTTTAAGAGGGACGTACTGCCCGTCCCTTGCCCTCCTTTAGTCGCCTCTTACGACACCCACGGGAAAGGAAGGGGTGACATAGATATATTTTAAGTCAACTCAAGTCGCGGTTGGTTGGCTAAATACTAAAATTAATTGGATATGCCACATCTGTCACTTGTACGGGCGGACCTGAAAAACTTTTGTAAAAGCTGTGATTCGCTTTGTACCGAAATTTATTTCCTTGTTTTTATACTACTAGAATGACAAACAAGCTGACGGCCCACCTGATGGAAAGTGGTAACCGTCGCCTATAGACATGAGCAGTACCATGGACATAACAGAGTATACTGTTTCGCCCATGATAACCCCCATGCGTTGCCATTCCTGAGGACTCAGGTGTTATTCCTCTGTACCCAGTAAATTCACGCCATATCCCACTTTTCAAAGCGATACACAGCCATGCAAATACAACTGCTTAACGGTTGAAACACGAATGGGACAGAGGTACCCAAGCAATCGACTTTTGTACAAAGTCTCCATCTGGTATTTCTTTTTTACTACTTTCCTTATTAATTATTTATTAAATAATAGTTAAAGGCTTTATTTCGTTCTAGGTTCATTGGAAGGATTTATTTAAAATGCTCAGCAAATGTTTTTACTAAAAGAATCAGTACTCTTCGTGCCCTATAAACTTATCATAGGTTTGTGTTGGTGTTAGATTATGTAGATAGAGTGTCTCCATACAAAAGCTTCGAGAAAAGCGGGTCAACTTTTCATACAATTTTGCGTGATAAATAGTTATGAGTGTGTCCTTTATAACTTCTATATTTATTTTGTTTTACAGTTTTTGCATCTTTTTAATGAGTAAAAACTCATTTTATTTATAAAATATTTAAATATAGATACCTCAAGATACATTATGTGTGTAAGTATATAGAACACTGATAAATCGCATTGTAAAAAAGAACAAATACCAGCAAAAAACAATACGATTGTGTGGGTTATTTTCGTTTCCACGTGTGTTCATATAATTACTATTTAAATCTGCCATTTTCTTTAACGTATAGGTATACTTATATAAAATGAAATATATAAAATGAACACAACACATATAATTTGTAGTAAACATATTATATGGCATCCCAGACAAACCTTTGTAGTTTTGGTGCGTTTGTATGTTAAGTTAGTATATATTTATTTATTTATTTAAACTTTAATGCACAGTGAAACTATGTACATATGTCGGACTTAACACTGGACGGTATTCTCTACCAGTCAACCATTGGGCAAACAGAATTAAGTAGGCGGTGCATTATTGAATAGAAGGAATATAATATTAATATATAAATTTTATGTTGAAAATAAATAAATAAAAATAAATAAGTAAATATTATAATCAAATATTAAATAAATAATATTTTTTACCGAGCTAGGTGTTATCTTATCACTGGTTATTTTATTAGAATTATTCTATTTAATTCCGCTACCATTATTACGGGGTCGCAACCACACGCATACTAAAGGTAGCGGAATTAAACAAAATAATTTTAATTAAATAATTAGTGAAATAATAATTTATTTCTACACTCAATAAGGTTCAGTACTTCGGGCTACAAGCGGCTGCCACCAAAGTAATTCACACATTTGACGGTGATGGACGACTTGGCGCAAATTGGTATCCGACTATTTGCGGAATATGCGGGCAAAGGTATTTCACTAAGACGCGATTAATGTGAGATTTAATTCATTGGATAGGGATTGGAAACGTGCGTTATATTTATATTCTAAAGGAGGTTAACTACATTAATTGGTGTCTAGGCCTAGTTTAGACATTAATGTGCTAGGTATAATGTTACTACATTTTATACATATATAATTCACTTTGAAATTATTGTAAGCCCATGACTGTATATTTTTATGTGCAATAAATCTTTTTCTCAAACATGCTTGGAAATGTGAGCATTATTTTGACAATCTTCTTCGAGATAAATCAAAATTGCCGTACTGGCCAGATACATGCGGGCAGCGGCCGGCAAAAGTTGTATGAAAATCCATATTTGTCGTGTTTTGCGGCCAGATAAATTACTATGTAAACTCATATCTGTCCTGTAATTAAAAAATGGAATGACCTTTATTCTTCGAAACAACCACCAAGAAGGTAACTAATAAAAGGTTTTATTTAAATTTCGAACTGGTTTGCAAATAGAAAGCTCTTTATTGAAAAAAAAAAAACAAAGGAACATTATGGCGCGTGAAAAATTATTATTGTTCGTTATTCGTCATTGAACTTAAAAAGTAAAATTGTGTTTTTCATTTCCGCGCATTGTTTGAGAAAAGTACTATACAAGCTTTGGCCACAACTAGGCATTAATGAACTCACGTATGTGTGCCTCAGCTACGCCTCGGCCAACATTTGCACGTTCGTCCATCAATGCCTCAGTTGCTGACCGCTGCAGTAATGTACTATTATTGTTATTTTTTGTTTAATTTGTTATATATCTCATTTAGAGGTAGTTTTAGACACGGGCCAAAGCCAAGTGTTTTTGGAATGATAGGAACTTATGGACCAGGCGACATGTATTTAAAACTGCAGCTTTTTGAAGGAGTATATATGTGGAGGGTTTTATACATAATGTATGGAGACTTGTGTAAGGTTTTCGGGATAAAACTCGTTGTAGATAAAATTATTGGTATTGTTTTTACTGTATGAACTCGCCATTGGGATTTTGTTTCTGTAGAGAGATCTGTGTATTTAGCTAGTTTTTCAGTATTGTAATTCGTCTGTGGGGAAAGGGATTGTTAGTAATGGGGTCTAACTAACACTTATATTTGTTTATATTTTCCTTGAGTTCTATCGAAACAGCTTATAATTTTCAACTGATTTTAAAAAGTAGAAAGTTCTTAATTCGATTCTATATTTTTTTTTACGTTTGATACCTCATAATACAGTCAGTTTTTTTTATACAACTTAGAATGGCAAACAAGCTGACGGCCCACTTGATGGAAAGTGGTAACCGTTGCCTATAGACATGTGCAGTAGCATGGACATAACAGAGTATACTGTTTCGCCCATGATACCCCCGATGCGGTGACATTTTTGAGGACTTAGGTGTTATTCCTCCGTACCCAATAAATTCACGCCATATCCCACCCTTCAAACCGAAACACAGCCATGCAAACACAACTGTTTTACGGTCAAAACACGAATGGGACAGAGGTACCCAAGCAAGTTCTAAACCGATTTGGAAAATTCTTTTTTTATCTGAAAGGATACCTACAGATTAGTTTCACAGATCCATAGTTCCATAATCAGATCAATAGTTTAATCTTTAGAGAAAAATAATTGTTTTTTATTTAGTGGGAGTCTCTCTCTTCGTCCACTTAATTACTGAAGGTCGTGTCCTTGAAAGGTGTCTGTTGCCTCTCTTACGATATTTCCCCATTTCGCACGGTCTTCAGCCTCTAGTTTGTGTGCCACAATCTTTAATTACGTGAATACCTAGCTTTCTTTATTTTAATTTATTTTAAGTTCTAATTTTTTTTTAATATAAATCATACGAATAAAATATATAAACGTGACTACTTTAAATAAGAACAATGTTTTGAAGAAACTCACGTTTGGGCTACGATCTCTTGCGAGCAAACTCTATGCCACGTGTTTCCGTTGCGTGGCAACCTAACAACCCTTGGATACTACGCGCTACGTCATTTTATCAATAACTGGAAGCTAATAAACCACTTATTTTATATTGTATTTGTGATATTTTCACATTCTAGTGTTTATTTTGTATAAAACAATTAATATTATGGCAGGCGTCACTAGGCCTATGAGTCAAATGAGAAAAATCGAGTCGGTAAGTTTGTTTAACTGTGCTTTGTGATAAATTTAAATTTCCCATGTGGTCCTGGCATTTTTTTTGATGGGTGAAAATGGTATGTAATGGAACACCAAAAAAATGTACCTTATTCTAGCATATAAATTAATTTTAATTCTGACATAATTTTAGATTTTATTTCACAAAAATAACTAACTTCGATTGTGGCAAAACCAGCTGTTTTGATTTAAAAACAAAACTACTGAATCGAATTTGATAAAGTTTCTATAGGATCAATTTGTAAGTATATCTTTTTAGATAAAAATAATTTTCTAATATATATATATATATATATATATATATATATATATATATATATATATATATATATATATATATATATATATATATATAATTAAATATTTATTTTAATTTCTGTTTAGCACTACTACTGCCTATTCACTACTTCCTACACCACTGTGTTAGGTTGACTGGAAGAGATCTCTTTTAAGTTATATAGTTAGAGATAAGTTCGCCTTTGCTAACATTGTTATTAACTTATTGTTGTTACTGTACGTTTTAGTGCAATAAAGAATATATATATATATATATATATATATATATATATATATATATATATATATATATATATATATATATATATATATATCATCATCATCATTTCAGCCATTTTCCATCCACTGCTGGACATAAGCCTCCCCCATAGACTACCATAAAGAACGGTCCTGAGCCATCTGCATCCACTGACTCCCTGCAATGCGGATTTTATGTATTGATGAAAATTTTTAACCGCGAACAATATAGCCAAAAATTCCTTCTGGGTCTGGCTGTAGTTTAGTTCGGCAGGGGTGAGCTTGTAAGCCAATAAATTGTTTCATTTAGTACAAAAACCTCCTTTTGTAGTCGATTGAAAATGTGGAAGTAGTGAAGACATTGAATTTACTAGGTACAGAGGAATAACACCTGAGTCCTCAGGAATGGCAACGTATGGGGGGTATCAAAGGGCGAAACAGTGTACTCTGTTATGTCCATGGTACTGCTCATGTCTATAGGCAACGGTTATCACTTTCCATCAGGTGGGCCGTCAGCTTGTTTGCCATTCTAAGTTGTAAATAAAAAAAAAAACTTCGCGTATTTGTATGATGGGTTTCCTACGTTGCAGTAAATTAATGATTTTATAATTTATCTTAGCATGGCATATTATCGTATAATTTTGTTGTCGTAATATTATAGGGCATATAACAGGGCATATCTATTTGGGGGAGGGGATTGTTAGTAATGCGGACTGCCAGTCTTATTGCTAGCAATATACCCTGTCAGATCGACCTCCACGTGGTCCCCCCTGGAAACTATCGGGCTGAATTCTAAGTGTATGCGTCAGGATGGGCTAACTGGCCTGCATTTTCATTCTCACCTCTCATCTCTCGCTGGTGTCCTGACAATGTATATCGTTAGCGCAGGCGTGGTTACTATTCCATTATTATTCATTAAAAAATATATCTATGTACGTGTATGGAAAAGTTTTGAATTTACCATCAGTAATAAATATTTATTATATATTTATTTAACACATTGTTGCATCGAAATTATAGGACTTGTTGAAGAATTTTCGATAAGTATAGTGTAGTATTAAAGGCGGTCTTATTGCTAAGCAATCTCTTCCAGACAACCTTTGGGTAGAAAGAATTAAAGAACAAATAGGTAGGTGGCGCGTTAAGAAATAGATCTGTTAAAATAATATATATAAAAATAAATATTGTTTTATTTTAGTATATGACTGCCCAAAAAAGGAGTATAATGTTTTCAGTCTTTATTCTCGCAATAGCGATATGGACAGGCTTTGTACAAGTAGATAGAATTTTGAAAATAATATACAACCTGTTTCACTCGCTGATAATTTAGATTTCTGTAGGGAATGATTTTTTTTTAAATGATTTAGTAGTTTTTGAGTTTGTCCATTACAAATAAACAAACAAATCTTTCCTCTTTATCAATCAACTTAGAAAAGAAGGCGGTTTTGAATTCGGTTGTATTTTTTTATGTTTGTTGCTTTATAACTGCGTAAATCGATTTGGAATATTCTTTTTGTATGATTACGATATATATATATATATATATATATATATATATATATATATATATATATATATATATATATATATATATATAATTTATAAGATTAATCTCATAGAAACTTTATAAAAATCGGTTTTGTAGTTTAGTTTTAAGATCAAAATCTGGTTTTGTCACAATTAAAGTCAGTTATTTAGAACACAGTGGTTAACTATATAATTTACGGTGCAAAATGTGCTTGTTTAATTCACTGTAGCACGACATAATATCGTTAAACTTTATCGTCACGATATAATATGGAGACGCTTTTAATATCGTGGACATGCACAAATAATACAGTAATCAACACATAGTATCACTGAAATGTTTTAAAGTATATTGTATTGTGTATAAATTTCATTAGGTCACTTCAGTTTATATTTATGACTCTAAGACATATTTTATTTTATTTAACTCTTTATTGTACATACATACATACATACATATCTGTCACGCATGTCTCCCATTAAGGTAGGCAGAAACAACGGAACGCCAAATGTATCGATTCAAACAAACCTCTCTCGCTTCTTCCACATTTATCAATCTTTTCATACACGCTCGCCGGTTACGGGTTCTTTTAATTTGGCCCTTCTTCAGCACGTCGCCTATTTGGTCGACATACGTCCGTCTAGGGCGGCCCCTACCGACATCTCCATTCATTCTTGCTCGATAAATCTCTTTCGTATTTATTGTACTAGAAACAAAAACTTACATTATATAGTCATCAGCATGTTTTATTAGTAATAGGTACTATAAATTTGATAGTTTGTTACCTCTTAGCGTTATAACGGTTTAATCAGGGGGAAAGGGGTTGTTAGTAATGGAGACTGAGAATCCCATTGCTAGCAATATACCCAACCAGGTCGACCTACTCGCGGTTGCCCCTGGAAACTATCATGGTTAATTCCTGATGAATTCATCATGATAGGTTACCATACCATTTTCAGCCATTAAAAAAAACGGTTTAATCAATCATTATGAAATTTGGTAAGAGCGTATTATATGGGATGGAGAATTAATAAGATTACTTATTACCCCGGGGGGAAAGGGATTGTTGGTAATGGAGTTTGACAGCCTCATTGCTAGCAATATGCCCTGTCAGGTCGACCTCCACGTGGTTCCCCCTGGAAACCATCGTGAACAATTCTTGTTGAATTCGTCACGATGGGCTAACTGACCCGCTTCATCCTCATCTATCATCCTTCACTGGTGCCCCGCCGTTGTATACCGATAGCGCTGTTGGGGATACTATTTCATTAACACCCATACTTATTACCTCGATCAGTGAATATGTCCTGGTCATACGGACGAAATCGCGGACAAAAGCTAGTCCAACATATTTAGTAGCGTAACATACCCCAAGCACAGTATTATGTTATCTGTGGCCCAAATAACCTGTGCCTCACTCCACGAAACCACTGGAATGCATGTTAAAATTGAACGACCCTTCTTTTGTTTGCGATATGAACGGAACATGACAGATTTTACACAATTTACGAGGAGATTAAACTTGAAGTGTGGTAGACGTTATGAACGCTTGCCACGCTGAGATTTTCATTATTTCGTAACGTCATATACGTTTAATGTACTTTTACTTGTCTAATAATTAGCTTTTACCCGCGACTTCGTCTGTGTAATCGGGATATGTTTTCTAACTGGAAAAAAATAGGCTTTGTTCTTCTATGTATCTTCTCCATCTCTTATAATCCTGAATATGATAGCAAGAAGATTCGACTGCGCTTATATTGGTCACTGTTGTGATGTCTCAAATGGGATGCTTCAGTGATGACCAAATTTATTATTTCTTTTTCTTTTTATCTATTTATTTTATTGTTAGATGTATTAACAATTGACTAAGATTATGTTACTAACAAATTAGGTCATTGTAGCCTGTAATAATAAAGATTTAATATTATAATACCTGTATACCAAAAATAATAATCCATAATGATTGGCTAAGCTATCTATTCTATCTGTTCTCTTTTAACCAAAGGTTGTCTGTAAGAGATTGTCTTAGCGATAAGACCGCCTTTTGTACCTTTATGTGTATATTTCAATCTGTATTTATGTTACTGTATTTCATTTAAATTATTCACTTGTCATTGTATATTTTTATTTATGGTGCAATAAAGAGTTCAATAAAATAAATAAATAAATAAGCTGTTAAGTTGACAAAAACTTACTATTTTTAATCCTTTCTACCTATTTTTTTTTATTATGTCTACTGGCAAAAACATACAAAATAGATTAAAAACAAAATTTAGCGACAATCGTAAGCAGTCATATGGTTTCGTTTATATGTCATGTGGCGAGTTTGAATTGCCTCACGACATCAATGTATGAATCGATACAAATACTAGCAATTCTACAGGACATGAATGTCCGATAAAATTGAATGCTTTCAAGCATGACACGCTATTTGTATTAATTCTATTATTTTGTGTCTATTCGCTGGTAACTTTGACATGTTTTCGTTGCTATGGCTCTTGCGTTTGTACCTCATTTTTATTGCTTGACTTTTAAGATATTATTTGCGTGTTGCATGGTAGATTGTTAAATTGTTAGTACATTAATAGAACGAATTTATTCTTTATTGTACACAAACACAATGTTAAGAACAATTAATTTTTAACGTAATGTACAAAGGTGAGCTTATCTCTAATCAGAGACTGCTTCCAGCAAACCTTTTCATGTAAATTAAATTGATATTAAAAAAAAAAACTAACTCGAAACAAATTTATTACCAATTACAAATTAAATAATTAAATAAAATAATTAATTCGATCGTTGAATAATTTAAGATTGTGTTTCACAAAAAAATTGAATTTTGATAAAATTTCTATGTGGCCATTTGTAAGTATATCCTTCCAGAAAAAAAGAAAGATTTTTTCAAATCGGTATATAACTAATGGAATTATAAAGATAATAATAAACATAAAAAATATTTACCGAATTTAAAACCTCCTTATTTAAAGTCGGTTGAAAAAACAAAACTATCTACTTTGTTTTTTTTTTTTCTAGAAAGAAGCTCTATTTCGCGCCAGGAAACGGATACTCAAGTACTTGGTATTGAGTTTTCTGAAGCAGGAGGGTTTCTTTCACGCGGCCGAGACCTTCGCGTCGGAGGCTGCACTCACCGGGGACTACGAGGTCTGCGACAATATAGATCTGGACATTATCCTACAGGTCTGTCAGTAGATATGTGCAATGAAATATAAGCTTCAATAAAATGGTGGACAAAGTTATACAATATGGATTCACAAACAGTTTGTCTACCTGATGAAAAAGGGGTAACCGTTACCGATAGGGAAGGGATTGTTAGTAATGTGGACCATCAGTCCCATCCTCAGGTCCCCCTTGGTAACCATTGTGCTGAATTCCAGGTGTATTCATCACGATGAGCTAACTGACCTGCCTTTCCATTCTTACCTATCATCCCTTACTGGTGTCCTGCCAGCGTATACCGTTAACGCAGGCGGGGCTACCATTCTATTAGCATCCATTAAAAAAAACCGTCACCGATTCTTGCCATATTCTGTCATATACATGATGCTGAACATGACAGAATATCATCATCATCATCATCATATCAGCCTTTAACTGTCCACTGCCGGACGTAAGTCACCCACTTGGGGGTTTTGTCAATAGTTGTCACGCTTGGCAGGCGGAATGGCAACCGCAGTTAGGCTTTTTTTATGGATGAATATACTATGGTAACCCCGCCTGCGCTATCGGTATACACTGGCGGGGCACCAGTGAGGGATGATAGGTGACGATGAAGCAGGTCAGTTAGTCCACCGTGACAAATTTAGCAATAAATCAATCGCGATGGTTTCCAGGGGGAACCGCGATTGCTAGCAATGACGCTACTAATCCCTGTTGCTGACAATCCCTTCTCCCTCTCTGCAGTTAGGCTTTGGAGATGTTTTAAGAGGGACGCTTCTGCCCATCACTCGTCCTTCCTTAGTTGCCTTTTACGACACCCACGGGAAAGGTAGGGGTGGCCTACTCGGATGCTTTACATTTCATGAGTATTAAGTTTTGTGCCTGTATTAGGTAATATCATAGCCCACAAGCGGTAGTTTGATAACAGAAATATGGGGGAAGGGATTGTTAGTAATGCGGACTATCAGTCTTATTACTTGTAATATACCCTATCAGGTCGACCTCCACGTGGTACCCCCTGGAAACCATCGTGCCGAATTCCAGGTGTATTCATCACGATGGGCTTACTGACCTGTTTTTTCATCCTCACCTATCATCATTCACTGTTGACCCGCCAGTGTACACCATTAGCGCGGGCGGGGTTACTATTCCATCATCACCCATTAAAAACTTTTTATTACTCACAAAAGAGATACAAGGAATATTTATACAAAAAGATGAGAATATATTCTTTTTACGTATTTAGTTGATTTACGTATTTAAACAATTAAGACATGTATCGAATTTTAAATTACTAAAAACGGTTTATTTCGCTCTGTGTCAGTCAATTCTCACTTACTGCATTACATCATGGGGCGGAGCATGTAAATCACACCTTATCACCCTGGAAAGAGCACAGCGTGCGCTTCTCAAGGTATGCACATTTCACTCCATCTACTACCCGACACATGAATTGTACCGAGATTGTGAAATTCTTTCAGTTAGAAAACTATTTGTTTTATACATAACTTTAAAACAACATCAAATATTACCCACCGATCTTGATACCTCAAAAAGACGTAAAGACATTATATACAAAAAACATCGCTTTAGAACAATACTTTCACAAAGATTTTTCTGTTTCCTCGGCAGCCATCTTTATAATAATATAAACCGTATTTTGAACATATATTCATATTCACACTTCAATTGTAAAACTGCACTTAAAACATGGTTATTGAGTCTGACGTACGATGACACGGAGAAATTACTGAAGGTTGCGTATTAAATTACAACTTATGAAAATATTATTAAAATAATGTATATTGTGTAAGTGTGTGTAGGATATATCGGTTGTATAACCTTAACTATATAGGTGTATATATGTGTATGTATGTGTGTGTGTGTGTGTATATATGTATGTATATGTGTATGTATGTATATATATATATATATATATGTATATGTATGTGTGTGTGTATGTGTGTATGTATGTGTATATGTATTAATGTTGTTATTATATTCATAACCAGAACAAATTGTAATATAGTGCCAACACCGTGGGGTGAGGACCTGGTGATCTGTAACACAGGTTTATCCTACTTCAGACACCAGTTCTTCACAATACATTAAATTATGTAACCTCCAAAAATAAATGTATTAGAATATAATAGATGTACAACTGGTATTGTGAAGAGAATAAACTTTATTATTATATTATTATTATTATTCTTAGTTATACATAGGTACGTTACAATTCTTAACAATTTCTATCCCACCCAGTATGTAATGAGAATCTTTCCAACTTGTTCTATGCTCTTTTATTGATTCGAATAGTTGCGATAGTTACCAATTTATATCCGATGACAGCAGCTGATCTTACGCCCGACACAAAGAGTACTAATGTCATAAGTTTGAGAGTCTAAGTGTGTGTGTATATCAATATGTAACGTATATACATGTAGGCAACTTTTTTCTTCTGTCCTATTCGTGTTTCTGCTATCAATTGATGATAATGGAATCGTAACCTCGCCTGCGCTAACGGTATATACTGGCGGGGCACCAGTGAGAGATGGTAGGTGAGGATGAAAAAATAGGTTAGTAAGCCCATCCTGATGAATACACCTGGAACTCAGCACGATGGTTTTCAGGGGGGACTACGTGGAGGTCGATCTGGTTGGGTATATTGCTAGCAATGGGGCCCTTAGTCTCCATCATTAACAATCCCCCCCTCCCCTATTATCATCATATTAGCCATTAACTGACCACTGCTGAATATAGGCCTTCCCCATAAAGGAGGGTTTTGCCACGCTTGGCAGGTGGGTTGGCAACTACAGATAGGCTTTGGTGGTGTTTTCGTCGTTTAGAATATATAAACGCTCAGGCTGTGAAATGAGCTCTCTGCTGAGGGCTTTCCTAAAGACTACAGTATGCAGTTCTTCAAAAAGGGTATATTAAGATTTCTTCAGGGTTGACAATGCGTACGTGTCACCCCTAGTGTTGCAGGCGTCCATAGTCTACAGTGACCGTTTACCATCAAACGGGCTGTATGCTTGTTTGTAAACTTTGTCGTATAAAAAATGCTATAGAATAAAAAAAATAGTTTAAATTTTAAAATAAGTTTTTTTTTATACCACTGAGATGGCAAACAAGCATACGGCCCACCTGATGGTAAGCGGTTACCGTAGCCTATGAACACCTGCAATACCAGAGGTATTACGCGTGCGTTGCCGACCCTGAAGAAACCTCTTTACCCCCTTTTGAAGAACCCCATGCTGTAGTCTCTTGGGAAAACCTCGGCAGGGAGCTCATTCCACAACCTGAGTGTTCGTGGGAGGAAACATCTCTCAAATCGCGTACTGCGCGGTGTAAGTATTTCTATTCTATCAGTAAGCTGTTCTATATTATAGATTAGTGCGGGGGGAAAAGTGTAACCAAACTGTACTGGAATCAATATCAATAGGAGCGCCCAGTAACTACGTGCGAGCACGTCGACGGCACTTATTCGATGTTCCATTACGAAGAACAGAGTTCGCTAAACAGGCTCCCCTATCTCTTGCATTGAAACTACTCAATGATATTTTGAGCCAGTATCCGCAATTGGATTTATTTGCCTCCAACTTGCTGGAGTTTCGCCGGGTGACCACAGAGTATTTGTGTTCAGACGTTTTTGTTTAAGTCTTTTTATATTATTCTTGTTGTATATATGTAATATTCCTTTTTTTATATGTTGTTGTATTCATGCTTTCCTGGGTGGGCGTATTGGGAGACTGTAAGGCTCACCCAGTGGATGTAATAAATAAATAAATAAATAATCTACTAAAGGGAGACTTTATACAAAAATGGTTGGTTTGGGTACTAGTATAGTATTATATTATCTGTGTCTATAGATTGGCTTCCTCTGGACATCGATGGCGGAAAAAAGGTCATCATCTATTTAGATATAGCCCATATCTGTCGGATATCTATTTTCGAATATGTAATAATAATAATAATATTTATTTAAGAAAGATACAGTTGCATAAGGTACAATTTACAATTTTTACAATTTATATTCAACGAGGAAATATCTGCATTACCATCAGTCCCCAAACTAGGCCAGACCTGTATCTTGAGGACTATAAGTTATGTTAAAAGTCAATTAATTAATTAATTAATTAAAAAAATTAATATTCAACTAATTTATTAATTAATTAGTTAATTATGTTAAAAGTCATTCGAAGACAAGTCTGTTATTCAATATTATTTTCTGGATAACAAACTTTTAACATATTCATTATTGGACTAGTATATGTATATTGTAATTAAAATATATAGATATTGCTATATATTTCCCAACCCTACTACTTTAGCAATTTTCTTTTTATATTTAAGACTTTGTTACTTGACCTGTTTCGAATATAATGCCGTTTGATTTTTTTCCAAGGATTATTGCAGTTACTACCTTATACGGTTCAATAAGCAGCCCCAGTTCTGCCGCAAAGTGGAAGAGAAGCAGCCACCGCGCCGACCCGTCACCAGGCGAGCGAGGACGGAGCGCGCGGCGGATGAGTTGCCGCGTTGCGACACGGATGTCGATCTGCCTTCCACATTTACAGTCACCAAGATGTTTAGGGTAAGGTTTACTTTCTTTTTATACGATTTTAAATTGCAGTGGTACCCTGCATTTTTGTCGCATTTTGTTAAGAGAGGGACTGGCTGAAAACCAGCGTTGTGCAGCTGTTCACATTGCGTTGGGACACTTACAGCATCAGCTGAGCCGGTTCCTTTTGCCTAGTATGGGACACTTCTTTTATATGTATTTTCTATTATAATTGTGTTTTTCTGGCAATAAATGTTTTTTATTCTATTTTTTCTAAATGGAAAATTGATTGACTTTTATAATGATGGAAAGAGGAAACTATATAGATAGGAACAGCTCTATAGACATCAAAGAGTGTGTTAAGACCACACATTAATTACTATTTCTAACGACCGGTTTTATGGTAATCTTGTTCTTCTTCGTTCTACTCCTATAGGAGGTTGCTCAATATAAAGCCAATTCTAAATTTTGAAGTTGCCGTTTTGAAGAACGAGCCAAATTTACTCCCACAGGTTTTTCACTAGACGCTTGAACACTGGACACATGACACACAGACATAGGACACTAGACACGCAGATAATGGACATTCAAACACTAGACACTCAGACACTGGACACTTAGGCACTCAGATACTAGACACTGAACACTCAGACACCGGCACTAGGTACTCGGACACTGGACACACGATACTCGGACTCTGGACACTTACACATTCAATACTCAGACACTGGACATATACACACTCAGACATTCAACACTTAGGCACTTAGACACTCGAACATTGGACATTCAGAGACTCGAACACTAGATATTCGAACACTCGGACATTGGACACTCGAATATTTGCACACTAGACATTTTGACATTCAGACACTGTTAATGTCATAAAAGTCGAGTAGTAACCTCGTCTGTGCTATCGGTACAAGCATACATTGGCTGGTTACTAGTAAGGTATAGTAGCGGTCGACTAGATCTAGCAAATTGCTAGCAATTACTAGTATAATCAATCCCCATTGCTAACTATTCCTCTCTTCCTCTCGCCCCAAAATTGGTGGTACTACCACATTCTAGTGCATGTTAAACATAGTACTTCACTACTATAAGGAAACCAATTGGGCATACTGTTTCAGGAAAATGAAGACATGTCACAAAATGCACGACACGTTCTCGAGAGGAAACCTCTGGCGGGTTTTATTGCGAAAATGTCTTCAGATAAGAAGCAACTTGTGGAACTGCTGTACCAAGATATAGTTATGCCGATGGATGTAGCTTGGGACGATATTAAGGGCTTGTCTTCGGCGAAGAGTCTGCTAATGGAATCTGTAGTTTACCCTGTTAGGTAAATAAAATCTTTTAAAGGAAATATTTATAAACAGCTAAAAGTGTAAAAAAATAGATGCAGCTATGTTTTGTGTCAAAAATCATCGTCAGATATCCATATAATAGGTTTCTCCTATTGGGGGGTTTTTGCCAGTGTAGTTGCCACGCTTGGCAGGCAGATTGGTAACCGTATTAAGCTTTGGTGATGTTTTAAGAAGGATGCTGCTGTCCATTCCTCGATCATTAAGTTTTTAGTCGCCCTTTACGACGCCGTACACGGGAAAGGAAGGTATTCTATGGCAGCGACCACATGCAATACGGTCATCTAATATCATTTAATAAATATTATTCTAGATATCCCGAAGTGTTTACTGGCCTTCTAGAACCTTGGCGAGGAGTGTTGCTTCACGGGCCTCCAGGAACTGGCAAGACGATGTTGGCCAGAGCTGTCGCAAGCGAGAGCTCGTGTACTTTCTTTAATATATCCTGTAGCACTGTCATTAATAAATGGAGGGGAGAAACGGAGAAGATTATCAAGGTAATTCTTTGGCTCAGTAATTTGAAATCTTCTATTTAATATTAGTTGATAAAGACATCCCAGCTTTTTAAATTATGGCATATTCTCATTCCCAGGTTCTCTTCGAAATGGCGTCCTACTATTCGCCGTCGATAATTTTTATTGACGAAGTGGAGACCATAGCGTCGGATCGTTCTGCCTCTGGGGAGCACGAGGCTTCAAGACGGATGAAAGCTCAGCTTTTGACAGAGCTAGACGGTATCAGCAAGAGGGACGGTGTGGTGTTTTTGTTGGCGAACTCTAATATGCCATGGTTGGTAAAATTTGAAGATTATTAAAATTTAACGAAGAAAATACTGATTTTTATATAACTATGGTGGCAAATAACTATACCGGCCCATCTAATGCTAAACGGTAGTTGTAATATTTCATTATCCATTAGCTACCATGCTTAGCAGGCGGATTGGCAATCGCAGTCAGGCTTTAAAGATATTTTAAGAGGGACGCTGCTGCCCATCCCTTGCCCTCCCTTAGTCGGCTCTTACTACACCCATGGGATAGGAAGGAGTGACCTATGCTATACTAGGATCTCATGTTATAATTTATAGTATAACGTAATTTATCGGGAACGTAAAATAAGACATACCGAGGGACGTTAATTAGTGTGAAGGATGATATATTTTTTTAGGATGGTAGTAATATAGTAACCCCATCTATGCTATTTTTAACGCTGGCGGGGTACCAATGAAAGATGATATGACGAACGATAATGCGATATGATTAGCAACATGGATTTTAATTATTTTATATATCAATTAACTTTATGGACACTCACTATTATATATGGTTTCTTTCATACATGTGCTTATATTACTTGCATACACCCACTCTAACTTGCCTACCAAGCTTTGAAATCAAAATTTTTGTTTGTATAAATAAAATCCGTTATTGGCTGTATTCATAAGAGACATAGCATGTAAGTTATTTTTTAAGAGATGTGAATTTTTGTATAAAATAAATAAAAAAATAAACATGATAACGCGCTAGGCACCATTATAGACAAATATTTTTCATACATACATACATATCTGTCACGCCGGTAGGCAGAAACAATGGAACGCCAAATGCTTCGATTCAAACAAACCTCTTTCGAATACAAATATTTTTCATCTGATGATAATGTTATTTATATACATTACATTGTAGGGTATTAGATCCAGCCATGTTAAGAAGACTAGAGAAAAGAATATACATACCGCTACCAGATTTTAAGACCCGAGTGGAATTGTTCGAGAAGTTTCTCAAAGTGGGCAACATGGAACTATACCCAAAGGTGAACTTTGAAGAGTTGGCAGCGAAGACCGAGGGCTACTCGGGCAGCGATATCAAGCTGGTCTGTAAGGAGGCACTGATGTGTACTGTTAGGAAGATGTTGCCCACTATGAATGGCAGAGGTAATTTTCAGTTTCAATAGCATTTAAGTATGCAGGATTTTAATATTACAGTTGTACAAAATGTTAATTAGTGTAAGCTATTCTTTAAAACTGGTGTTAGTACTCATTAATAGAGTTTCAAATATTTTTATTTTTCCCAGAAAAAAAAATTTAATCTCCTCTCCTTCCAAAGGTTGCCTGGAAGAGATCGCTCTTAGCGATAAGGTCGCCCATTGTTTTCTCATTGTGATTATTTCTTGTAATTATTTATATTTATAATAAGTTTACTATTGTAATCTTTTGGAGGAAAAATAAAAAGTATCTATCTATAATACCAAAAAATACCACCATAGCCCTCAGAAATCCTGAGAGCTATGGTGGCTTGCTGTGTAGTCCCAGTATAGAATATTGCTACTCCTTCTTTTGCCGTGAGTGTCGTAAGAGGCGAATAAAGCATCTCAATGGTCGACGAATGGGCAGTAGTGTCCCTCCTAAAATATAATTAAAGCCTAATCGCGGTTGCCAACCCGCCTAGCAAGCGTGGCAGTCACTGGCACAATCCCTCTTATGGGGGAGGTCCTTGTAAAGGTGTGGTGCCATGCATTCGTATTTTGTAATTTTACTATCAATAAAGTGACCTGATCAATTCTATTCACAGGCAGTGCGAACAATCGGAAAGACCGCGTGCAGTTATCGGACATTTTGTCAGCTATAGAAAAAACAAAACCGGTCTCCAAGAATTTGGCAAAGAGACACATTGACTGGCAGAATGAAATGGGCTGTTCTTAGGAGAACCATTCAAGACTTAGTAATGCATCGAATGTGGAGGTTTTTAATAGTAAATGAATTGAGAAAACTGTTTTAATAGCGGAAATGGTATGACTGTCTCATATCTGATAGTACAAATCAACAATCGATTGAATGTTTTCATTTGTTAGTATTTTTTTTTCGAGTTTCTTTGAGAGTTTTAACAAAACATTTGCCTTTTTAGTTCTTTTGAAATTGACTGGGGGATGTTGGGAAATAAATCAGATTGTTTTCAACTAGTTGCAGTTTCGGAAATTTTTCTGTTGAACAGTACATGCTAATTTTTTTATACTACAAAGGTGGCAAACAAGCATACACTCCGTCAGATCGTAAACGGTCACTGTAGCCTATCGACGCCTACAACATTAGGGATATCACATGCGCGTTGCTGAATATTATTATAAAAAAACCCATGCTTATCATGATGCCCGTGAAGACTTTTGTATAAAAAGAATTTGGTTACATTTAAGATTTAATGGATACTAAAATAAAACATTAGTATAATTTAATTTTATTTAATTAAAGACATCTATGAAACACCGCCTCGTTCTATACAAAATACTCGTTTAAAAATACATAATCTAAGCATAGTTACATTACATTTACAATTCCTCCACTACGTTTTGAATTTGGTAGGCAAATAAAATAAGTACGTAAATAATACAATAAAAAATTATAAAAAATATCATTTGGCATTGTTTTTTTATTATATTTCCAACATATGAGGGCTTTCCAGTAATACTATATAAACGCAATGTTAACCAATTATGAGTTATTAATTGGAAATCAGTGTGGGATTTCAAGCTAGCACATCAATAAAAAATCAATACGAAGCCACTATATTCTGCGTGTTATAGTACCCTCCTAACCCCTGGAGGTAAGGGGGAAAGGGATTGTTAGTAATGGATACTGAGAATCCCATTGCAATATACCCAACCAGGTCGACCTCCTCGCGGTTCTCCCTGGAAACTATCATGGTTAATTCCTGATGAATTCATCATGATGGGCTAATTGGCCTGTTTTCATTCTCATCTATCACCCTTCACTGGTGCTCCGCCAGCGTATCCTGTTAGCGCAGGCGGGGTTACCATTCCATTTTCACTCATTAAAAAAATACCTCTGGGGGTATGTTCCGAATTCGATGAAATTTGGTAAACTATATATATATATATATATATATATATATATATATATATATATATATATATATATATATATATATATATATATATATATATATATATATATAACCTAAAATGACGGAGAAAATAAGAACTGTCAAGAACGTGACTGTCAAACTCAATTTGGTTGTATTATTTGTTTTTTTTTTTAAGTTTGATACCTCATTACTTCCTCAGTTGTAAACTGAATATTTTTTTATCTGAAAGGATAACCTACAGATTGGCCTCATAAATAAATTTTATTAAAATCGGTACATTAGTTTAATTTTTATATCAAAACAGCTGGTTTTATAATATGGTATAACATAATCTTAATGAATAATTAAGATTGCGAAGAGTTGCATTTATAAACAATGTGGAAAAAAAATCCATAAGAAATTTTGTTGATGTCCTATGCATAATCCGCAAGAGGTTAGAAGGGTATAGTGCGTGTGACAGGCCACTAAAATTACTAGAACGTAAAGTAGAGATTAAATAAAACATTTGACCGTGAGGAAGCCTCAATTATAGTTATTGACTTCGACTCATTTCGTGGATATTATTGTTAAGAGAAGTTTATAGATTTTTCTTCTTTTAGTATTTTTAATTAAAAAAAAAAAGCTATTGAAGAATGAGTTATAGATTAATTAGACTTATTCAATAGTTCTTTTTCTTTTCCTTAAAGGCAATCGGTTGACATTTTTACAACTACTTCTGCCAGCGTCATTTATAAGAATAATTCGTAATTTGAAAATTATTTTTCTACAAGTAATATTCAAAGCATACCACAATTATAATAATCAATTACGTATTATCCCATTGCGTATTTATGTTTACTTAAACTTCAGCTGTTCGATTTGAACTAAATGTTCACCTTTCCCGCCATTTTTTTCATTCCATTCAGTAGTCAATACACAGTAAAAATTGACAAAATGTTAACTGTCACTCGCATCACGCTATAACCCACAGAATATAAATATTATAAATAAAGGATTTAGTTCGAGCTGATAGGAAATAAAAAAAATACACTAAAAATGGCAGTGATAAAAAGCGCGCGAATTTGAAGTTTAAATGACAGAATTCTAAAAGATGCAGCCAATTTTCGTTTAAAAAACTGTACCTGTACGAAAGTTAATAGGTTATGTGAAGCGTAGTTCTTCCAATACATGATATTCGAGTTTGAAGACCAAACTCCATGATTATATTGCAGAATTGCTAGCATTTTTTTTTAACATATAGCCGCGTACAAAAATCTATTAAAACTTTTATACCTTGTCATATCATAATAACAATTTATTAATGTTTGTAATTTTAAATAATGCCATTATGATAAAGCAGCAAACTGTAACATATTTTATGTACTGTACAAAACTATTTGATTTATAAATTATGCGCCGAGATTCATTCTTTAAATCATGTTGTGATCTGTGAAATCATTAACAATAATTTGACTAGAAAAATAATAATTCACACTGAGAAGACGGTAAACAGAAGATTATACATTCAAATATTGTTAATAGTATAAAAGATAATGTTTAAAAATTTGGCAACACGACATAGGGCGTGTATCGAAGAGTTTTCCTGTGTCAGCCAAAATTATAATAAATAAGGCGTACTTATATACTAATATTCGTAATTATAAAAACCTTGAAAGTCCAATAAATTTATTTAATTGTTAAATTGGAGTGAAATTACATCGCAACTCTATCTCCAACATGAATTGTGTATATTATACATGTATTCAATTTTATACACGTTATAACAAATGTATAATAACATTTTTGATTGTGTAGATGTCATATCAAGGGTTTCAAAATTGCGACAAGTGTTATACTTTTCGCAAATGTAACATATTTTGTAACACTTAATTTAGTAGAAGACAACATTAAAAACGGACTCAAAATAAAAAAAAAATAGTATGGTATAATTATCATGAAATTTAAAATTTAAAAAGTTTATTAGAAGTTTCAAGTTTTTATAATCCTGTCGCGCTCAAATACATATTCTTAATTTCACGTTATTATAACATACAAAAAAAAAAAAAAATCTTTTGGGATTTATGGTCCCAAATGTTTTTAATAAAAAATGATTTGGTAATATTGTATCCATCTTTCAGTCGCTTGTGCACTCTCTCCACGCACCTATCACAGATAATGTATAGATGTAAGGTAAATGTACCGGTTGTTGACCACACATTGTATTAGGAATTTTTTGTAATCTAGTAAATACAGAAGTTCATTGTAACATTTTCAAGTTGTTATATGATTGTAATGCACGGCCAACAATTTAAATAACTTTGACTATTTATATTCTAAATATAATATAAAATAGGAAAATTAATATATTAATACCTTCGTTTATTTTAAATTACAAGAAACTCAGTAACTGACCTAATGTTTTTATTGTAATTCTATGGGTATTACGAAGTTTTTATGGTCATAGAAAAATACGGAGGGGAGGGAGAATTATCTTCTCGAGTAGTGAACGTTAAGAGAAAATATGCAATTCTGTATTTATGAGACTTGATAATAATTTTTGATTAATAAAAAGGAAAAAAAAAAACAGAATCAATTGTAGAACTATATGTCAGAAGTGAAAAATACTGATCTTTATAAACTTGAAAACATAATTTTTGGATTATTAAGAAATAATCTTTTATGACGTATTTTTATTAATAAAATATTTATTAGTTGTATTGTTTACAATTTAAAGTATGAATATAAATATCTGAACGTAATCGTCGCAGTCAGTGCTTATCCCCATCCTAATAAGTGGCCAATGTGCCTAAAGAAATTTTTACATCAATAGTAATAAAAGAGACAGGTATATTTTTCTGTTTCACTTGTCGAGTTGCCTCCCTCACATCCTTTCTTTTCGATTACAGTTATTATTATTTTACACATTATATGATAAGGCAGGACAGTCACTGTTCCAATGAAATAACAAAGTGATGGTGCCGCATTCAAGAAGCATTAACTTTTGCACCGTTCAGTCATTATAAAATTTAAACGCCTTGCATTAAGAATATTTTTTTTTAATATATTAAAAGCTAAATTCAATGTGTTAAATATAAAAAAAAATATATATACGTAAGTGGTATCAATACATTTTTCACGTCGATTTCATTCCGTGGTTACCACGTGACGATAACTAGTACTAACACCCTATCAAAAATATAAAAGAGAAATACATTAACAATTTTTAGCTACTTTTTTTTATAAAGTTGATGATTAAAATAGTCAAAGCAATTATGTTTTTTTTTTTTTTATGTTCAATGATTAATCACGTATGCAATGGATGAAAATTAGAATGCTATCTATCGCTTTATATATAAGCAGCAATATGGATACTTGTGTTGCAACATTGTGATTTTTATATCAATTTTTATCAACTGAAGTTTTTAAAATAACATGCACTACCTTATATGCTACAATACTACTAATTTAGTAATATTTCTCTAAGTGTAACTTTTGTAATCATGTCGCCTCTTTTAAAGTAAAAATATTATTCCTAATCTACACATTTCCAAAATGTCCATGTTCCATTTTATGAAGATTATAAATTTATTATAGTTCACATTACCTTTTAGTCAGTTTAGATTACATTAACCTTTTTGTTATTTATAAATTTGTGTAAAATATTATTAAAAAAATATGAGATTAATATACAGAAATTAATACATTTTATTATAAAATTTGCATATATACAATACTCAATGCCTAAATTAATAAAATAATTTTTAAATAGATTGAAGTTTTGTAAATTATTTATAATCACATAGAAAATTACAAACTTGGGAGACAGTGGATTAATGTTTATTTTAATACAAAAAATTAAAAAATAAAATAACATGCTGTGTTTAATATGTACTAAGGTTATTAACGGCAAACATATTTACTACATTGAAAATATTTTTTTTCACTACAATATATTATCTGTAATAAAAAACATAAAAATTTACGCGAACCTATTAAGCCCCGTAGTCTTGTACTTGGTTTTTCAGCAAAGATTAAGACCCGTGATTGTTTAAGGGATTTAGATTTTATTTGTAAGATGAAAATTTAAAATTCAATTAGTAAATTAAAATCATAGAGGGCGTTCTCTCTGAATTTGCCATGTAGGCAACAAATAATAAAAACCCCAAATGGCGCTAAACGTTAATGTTGCCAGTAAAATAAATAAGTTTTAACATTTTTCCAATAACGTTAATTTTGGGCGCTATTTCAAAGCGGAGTGTGATTTCATTCAACTACATATCTTTGTTATTATTCGTTGCCTCAGATTATGCAACTTTGTTTCAGTATTTTAGGTAACAACCGATGCATGATGACCGTTTTTGGAGCACATAATAACGACAATAACATAAATAGTTTATGTTTAGCTTTATTATTGTAATATGGCTCATTCTATATAATCCGACCGATAAAAATACTCGTTCGTAAATAATTAACTATAATTATTACGCACGATGCCTTTTAGATTTGGCTGGGTAAACATTTAGTAATTAATCATAATTTGTATAAATTCGCAATTTTAACTCTTTTGGTCAACTTGACGACACAACCTTTCTTCATAAGCACATTCCTTTGTAAAAAACGGAGCTCTGTAATAAAAAAACTTTAAACAAAAACAAAAAAAAAAAAAAAACTAAGGTTTTGTTAGCAATGGGTTTTTAGATCTTATGTTGTTTAAAAAGAACCTTCTTTGTTTCAAGTTCTGGAGAGCTCAGTGGGTACCATTTTGCAAAATAAATACCCGTATAATTTTGTCGATGGGCATTAATAATTTTTTTAAATGTGGCCGTTATTTTATCAAAGAAGTATTTAACAAAAACGTCTAGATCCCTGTAATATATAGCTGCAAATTGTGACATCTTATTATCGTAATATGATATGTTTTCATAAACACTAATATTATTTCAGGAACATTAGTCCGAGTGTAGATAAATTAAATTATTTTAAAAGAACAATTGTAACCTGTATTGTAAAGAGATTTCAGTGGTAAGATTGATTTGAAAATTTAATTTTCGAATGGTAGGTAATAACGTTTTGGCATTGTGACTCATGTAATCGATCATTGTTAATAGGTCTTAAAAAAATAAGACTTGCATATTTTGTTCTTCAATTTATGTAGTCTATAAGAAAATTTAAAACATAAATATGTATGTATAACATATATAACAGTATGGTTTTCATTTGTTATTGTAAATTTAATTTATAATTAATTTGGTTGACATTTATAATAGAAAAGAGATTCTATAAAAGCGGAAACTGTGGTTTTTTTTAGTTATTATTATTATATTTTTTATATGTTTCAAAATCAAAAATAATTACTCCTTAAACGATTTTTATAATAAATAATAATACCCCAATCTAAATTTACTGATTGTTTCTAAATGACCACCACAAGTTTCCAATTTTCTTTTGTATTTTTTTTAAATATAGAATATTATGGCAGGTATCTGACCATCTTCCACGGAGGTTCCGTTATTGTTGCCGGCAGCATATGAGAATTGGAACACAATTTTTTCGCCGTTGTTGCAGTCAACTGTCACACATCGCAGCCCTTTGGTGCCATAGTACGAATCTGTGCCCTGTAAACGACAATTAATAAAATAACATTGAGGCACTCAAAAATATAGTTACAAGATACAAGCTTTAGGGAAGAGAGAAAGGCAGACTCTTCTTTAAAAATAAAAATTAGGTTTAATAATTAATAAAACCCAAATTAGTATCATCTTTTTTTGACTTCTTGATGTGAATTTTGGGATAGTAATGCTATATAATTTTTTTATTTATTTTATATAGTAAGATTGGATGTAGACAGAAAAGTTCTGGAAGTTTTCTGAATATGCCAGACCTCACTCAGGTTCGATTTAAATTTAGGATTTAATCAATTTATTATATGTATATGAAATTTTCTAGAATACCTTAAGTTTAGCACTAGCTATATATGATGTGTTGGGCAGTATCTCAACGGGCTCTTTGAACATAGCTCTGAATGTATCATCAGTGCCATCACAGCAGAAAGTCGTTGTGTTAGATCCACACACCTTTTTTGTAGCTAGGTGAATTATCTGGAATATAAAATATTAAATTTATTAAAATATATCATTGGCTATCTAAATATAAATATATATAGTATATATATAGTAGATATATATAAATATATATAGTAGACCTATCCTTGTAGTGACAATGTGAATTTTTTTACGTGAAAAGGTGGCAAAAAGAAGTATGCAGATCATCTAATAGTGATTAGCACAGCTCATGAACAATAACAACACCAGAGGAGTCACCTATTTTATCAACTTTTCCAAGATTTTCTTTTTGAAGGACTTCAAATCATAAAAGAACAAAGTAATTACGCCCACTGGCAATAAAGGTTTTTTTACCAAATCAGTTTGTTTTGCAAATTTTAATTATATCAAAAGAATATGGTGGCTTGAATTACTTACTTGTAAATGCACTTCATATTCAGTAGGTCCAAAATATGATCCATACAATCCAAAGCCTACTACGAATATCCTCTGATCCACTGTGAATCTAATCCTATCCGTGGTGCCACTGTAACCCCACCGGGACTCAGTTTGAGGGAACCTATTGACTGTTAACTCTTTGCCAGTCATGCAGCACCGTGGTGTATCTAAAAAGCCTACATTTGGTTTCGGGTTCACTGTAAAGTACAGGAACAATTGGACTATCTCCCGGTCGTCCAATAAGCCACTCTGTGCAGGTCCCATTGCAAATTCTTCTACTGACATTAATGGGAACCTTATAGCGTTGAATGCTCGACCTAAAACCATTCGCTGCTTTGCAGGAGTGACGGGGAGTTGACGACGAATGCATTCTGCTTCGGACCATCTCAACACAGCTGAGAATATTTTAGCTTCACGAATTCTAAGTGTGTCTCTAAAATAAGAAATAAAAATATGAATTACAATAGTATTAGTTATTAGGTGTTTTCTACATATTTGTAGTAATTTACCTACCACAGGGAATATATTTTTAGAATTTTAAGTAAGGAATCAAAGATTTTAATTCTTGCTTTTGTTGAAACTTATGTTCAACAGTTGACGAAACCAACAATATAAAAGATGTTTATATGTAAGGTCTCAGTAAAGAAGTCTCAAAAAAGATTATATATATATATATATATATATCAATACTATAATGAAATTGTAAATAGAGTTTTTCCAGTGTAAATTAGCTAAGGAATTATAAATAACAATCAAAATTTAAATTATCCATTTTTAAAATAGCTTATTATGGCAACATATGAAAATTACTGAATGGATTTCAATACAGTGCAAAATAATCAAATACAGAATAAAGCAATTAACTACAGTGACTACATGTTCTCCATTCAATGGTTGGCTGGAAGAGATAGCTCTTAGTGATAAGACCACACATTGTTTTCTCAGTGTAATCTTTTATTTGTTTATTTAGTAAACTTATTATTAATACAAACAATAAGTTTGTATTTATAATAATGTAATCTACTGTAATCTTATAGAGGAAATATTAAAGAGTATCTATCTATCTACATAATGACATCCATACTAAACTTCGTATGACAGCTTCCATCTATATCTAATTGTGTCCGTATCAAAATCTAATTGCACAATGATGAATTTACACATTTATAAATGTTAATGCAATTTTTCATAAATTTGTATATATATTAAATCTTACGGCAATAATATCATAATGAAAATATTGTAATTAAACACAATTTGATAATATTTACATACATCAATATATACATAAGGGGGGACGGATTGTTAGTAATGGAGACTGAGAATCCCATTGCTAGCAATATATCCAACCAGGTTGACTTCCTCGCAGTTCTCCCTGGAAACTCTCATGGTTAATTCCTAATGAATTCATCATGATGGGCTAACTGGCCTGTTTTCATTCTCATCTATCACCCTTCACTGGTGCTCCGCCAGCGTATCCCATTAGTGCAGGCCATACCATTTTCATCCATCAAAAAAAATTAATTACATAATTTGTACTACCTACATTAGTACACTTTATTATGTAACAAAGTATAAAAGTACCCACTTCGATATATATGACAATATTTTGATTTTACTACAATTCTTATTATTAATAGATATGAAACAAAAAGAAATCAAACCTAAATGGTTTATAAAAGGATAAGTAAATAATGATATTATATAGCTCACCTTTCAAGCACTGCATTTAAAGTATCCTGGTCTATATCAGTGAATCCTTCAGCATTTAAAGCATCAGCTGTATTCTTGTCAATCATCTCCAGACAAAGTGCAGCCAGCTGGGGCTCATCAAACAGCCGTGCTTGTGTTAACAATAGGAATGCATTGTCCGTGCCTAAATTACTTTTAAGGAAGTCAACACAGTGCTCCTCTAAAGCAGCCACTGCATACTTCTTAGCTGTGTACAGTGTAGTCATAACACTCTCTGGACCGATTCTAACTTCATCTGAATAAAGAAACTTCAATAGGTGAAGAAAAGCAGCTGGTTCTACATCTGGCAATTCAACCTCATCAGACTTAGTAGCTAGTACACCATTAAACATTGCGTCGAACACCGCACTACCCACAGACAGCACAAATTTATGCGCGGGAATGACTTGCTGATTTGCATCTTTACCCACAATGAAGTGGACATCACAGAGTATTTCATTGTTGAATAGGAATGACAAACGTTCCTTCACAGTGGTTTTAGTCGCTTGCCAGTTGTGTAGCCGTCCCCCAGTATTGTTTGTGGGCTGTAGGTTTTCTATAGCTGACGAGGAAGCGATATGCTCCACAGCCTGTCCGTTGTCTTCTTCTTGCGCTAAAACTATTTGTCTTGCGTGTTGGTTCGAAGGCAACATATTCTGAGGCGGTGCCTCGTCACCCTCAGCACCATCGTCGAGTCTCACATTTAGAAGTCTATTAACAATATCATTTTTTGACCCGGATGCCATATCTACGAAAGTTTAACACATAAACATATTACGCAAATCGCCGGCGTTTTCGGTGGGATAAACTATCAGAAAGTATGTCGAAAATACAGCTAAAGTATATTTTGTCGTATACAAAGTTAACAAACGCAAAATAAACTTAATTTCAAACTTTAATGAAGCTTAAATATGAAAAATTGTTTATCACGAGACAATATTTCGATAAATTTTGACATGACCGACATTACAAAATGTTTGACAATTGACAATGACAACAGCATGACAATTAAATACTGGTGTTGCTATTTTTATAGCATTTGTACAAACCATTAAAAAAAATTAAGTGTTATTTTTAGTCTGTGGTATAGACGCAGAACTTATTAAGGCCTATTATTACGAAATAAGGACGAATGAAGGCAGAAATAAGGCGAATTTAGCGAATTTTACATAGGCTCATTTATATGTAAACTCATTTGTGCTATGTTAAACACCAGAGTAGAGAAAATACAGACTGTGACTAAATATTCTTTAACGAACTCAAGAAGTGCATTTACGTAAAAAAAAAAAAAAAAAAACGAATATAAGTAATAACTAATTCCCGAGGTAGGTATGTTAAAATCTATGTTTCAGGAGTTAGTGCCCTCTTCATAAATTTCATACAAATTTTGACACGTTTGTTTTAAGAAATTAAGTAAATAATTAGTTATCACACTGTTTTCATGGTGATCCCGGAAGCTGCTTGGCCTGAAAGAATTATTATGGGGGCAATGGGATCACCATACCATTACAACCCCTCTTCTCATAAATGGGTACTTACGTATGTAATACACATAAGTTCATATTAAAGGAAAATAAATTTATTGGATTCTTTAAATTATTTACATAGGTACGCTTGCAACATAGTCCAAGTAATTGGAACATATACTTTTTACTTATTAATCAATGATCTGAATAAATGATATTTGCCTTTTGTCATAAATTTTATGATGATTTGTTGAGCCGAAGAGATAACAAACATACAAATATGTTTATTTTATATAATAACTATGTCCTTGTTTTGTATAAACTTTTGTAAATGTTATTTACTTTTATAAATATTTATTTTATTTAATAGATTTAGTATCAGTGATAAAATATACTAATAAAGTTTCAGAAAATGTATTTAAATGTACAGTGTCTAAGTATTTAATTGTACGAGCATAAATATCTACATATCGTTAGTAATGTGGTACCGTTTATTGAAATAGCTGGGTAGAACAAAGTTTACGGATGGCGTAAACAAAGATATACCGAGTATCGGAGTTTACAGGCCGCGGAAACTGCGTCTCACTGAGCACGGTGGAAATGGTAGAGCTAACAATCATTTACACCAGGCGTGGTAACTTTATGATGATACCAAGGCATCATCACTTACCACTATTTGTCTTCACGTCAAGTTTCAAGGAGGGAAGAAACGAGTCCTTACATCTCTCGCTTCGCCCATACTTATATAAGTATATGCATGGCGCAGGTTTCGGAGACTCTTGATTTCTCATTCAGGTAGAAATAATCGGTCTAATCACTACTATTTGAGTTATGATGATGATTCAATTTAAAGTTATATTAATACTAACACTCAATACATCCAGATTTCCAAAAAGTATAAACACATGTAATGTTTTTTTTGAGTCGTGAACTTCACAGAAGTTTCCAGGAATGAACTGAATATATGTACCGCCACAATGTTAGCAACGGTCAATACTTAGTAGTATTCACTGCTTCATACTTTCAGTGGTGGTGTTACCTTGGGTATGAGGGTGTTTGATTTTCAATGGAGATTACACATATTTAACGATTTACCTCTCATAGCTCGTAATCTCTATGGGAAATTATTTTTAAGGGTAATAATTTATACAGCTAAGACTTATTCTATTGAATATTATAGGTGTGAAAGTTCGTACATTTGTTTGTTATGTCTCGCCGACTTAAAAGTTCCAGGATTAATGGTCAAAGTGGACGTTTTATCGTAAGTAGTATTAATGCAGCGTCATAGCATCATAGCGATGAAAGTAATCCGACAGATGCGGATTAAATGCGTGTCTCTACATAAACGGAAATCATATTTTATTATTAATATGCCTGTAGAACCTTCGTAGGTCTATGGCTAATTTTGTACGTCATCAAGGGCACGCACGCGCGCAATGGTCGATCCAGCTACAGGTGCTGGCCCGGCAGTCGTATAGCCACACTTGATGAACAAACACTCTTCACATATTTGCAATAGTTAAAAAGTCAAAACGGTGGAAATTATGACTGACTGATGGGAAATAATGCCGATAAACAATTTTTAGAACTCTCTGATTTTCATACTGCGCCTGCACAAAAAATGTGAGCAAAATAAACTGTACAGTTCCACGTTACGCTTACAAATTTAACAGGCGTTCAAATTAGTTCTGTGCTTATGATGATGAAGAGAGTGAAATAATCTTTAAAGTTGAATTTATATCGTTATCTTGTTTCTATGCTGTTGTTAATCTAAACGTGTTGTCTGTTTATTCAAAAATCTTTTTGGAAAACATTTTTTATATTCGGATTCTCTAAAATGTTATTATCTTTATTAACAAAAAACGTTCTTGAACAATCTAGAAAAATTGGAAGGAATAAAGTGGGTTTGAAGGAACCCTAAAATTAAAATATGAAGTAAAAAGTAAGTAATCATTATAGATAAACCGATATGTTTTACTATTACATAGAATATTTAATATCGCACTTAAAACGATATACAATAGATACTATAGTTTTTTATTACTGCTATCCACGTTTAAAGTTTTATAAGTATTCACGGTGTCATTTATGTAAACATATTATTTATCAAAATTTTACCTGCGATGCAAGGTTAACGATGTTGTCAACTAAGAGTACATGAGCTACCAGACATCTCGTTTATTACCTACATATTTCTAGAAGTGTGCGGTCGATACTAAATTCATTAATATCTAATTTCAGGTGATACTTTATCGACCTACGCCTAAGTATAGGGAATTTTAGTTAAATAACATATGTAAACAAGTAAATTGTTTGATTTTAATTGTTAATTTAGTACATATTTGTCTATATAGTAGCTAATTAGAATGTCTCTGTGTATAGTGGCGGGCATAAATGTAATTGGTACTATGCCTTTTTATCACTAGGACATTATAAGAGACAATTAGTCGAATTTTATCGAAACTTCAGAGACATGTATCATGCTTGCTAGCTAATGTGATATATTTATTTACTAATAGCAGGCTAATATTTATATTCTTTGCATCTAGTGCTTATTTTGACACGACATATTCACAAAACTTTCCTATAATTTGTCTCTGAGACCTTGAACATTTTTAAATATTCGTAAGATTTTTTTATTTTATTATTTTTATTTAAATAACTTTATTGGCTAAAAGAAAATTTTAAAAGGCATATTTAATGCTAGTAGCATTCTCCACCAGCCAGTCTTTGGAATGATCATTGAATCACGAACGCAGTATTTCATTGTTGGGATAGGTAAAGATATTATATCACCGTTTCTCTCTGCTCTCGGTTAAAGACTATCATTTCAGTGAGTCAGTATAGATATTAACTAATACTAAAGCATTGTAAAAAGCCGTCTGCTTCTGTCTTACTTGTATTTTAGCCGCTAAACAGCTGTGTTTGAATGGCTGTTTTGGTTTGAAAGGCGATATATATAACAGTAAATTTACTGGGTACGGAGTTACATTTTAGTTTTTAGGTACGGCAACCTATAAGGGACACTATGGAACAGTATATTCTATGATATATGTACTGCTGTTCATGTCTATGTTCTACAAATGGTAACGGTTACTACCTGCAATAGAAAAAAAAGTCAGTTATTTCCTTTAAAATTTTAAGTTAAGAATATAATTTTTTTTTAATTTCTCATCTGGTGTGGATGTTATAGGATGTGAGTAAGGGAATAAAATAATCGATATAAACTTCTATACCAAACCGCCTGGCCACCGCAGTAATAGTAGATTAAAGGACAGTCATCCAACTAATTCTCAACTGTTACGAAAGTTTCTAATATTTGAATGGATGGATTCTTGTTACTCTTATACGCCAAACTTTCACTACTGAATGGATTTGAATGAAATTTTGCTGCACAGATAGTTTATATTCTAACTAAACATAGAAAACTTATACACTGAATCACGCGAGTAAAGCTGTTGGATATAGCTAGCATTATAAATATTAAACTTTGTAAAAAGTTTTGTATATTTGTTATGTAATCAATATATTTTAAACAGCTGAACGGAATTGAATGAAATTTAGTACACAAGTAGATTATATTTTAATTTAACATATAGTATATTTTATATTCGTTATTGCCGTGTGGTCCCAACGTAGAAAAGATCACCTCTTCCATTCCCGTGTGTGTGTGTGTGTGTGTGTGTTTTTTTTATACAACTTAGAATAGCAAACAAGCTGACGGCCCACCTGATGGAAAGTGGTAACCGTCGCCTATAGACATGAGCAGTACCATGGACATAACAGAGTATACTGTTTCGCCCATGATACCCCCCATGCGTTGCCATCCCTGAAGACTCAGGTGTTATTCCTCTGTACCCAGTAAATTCATGGGTGGGATATGCACCCTTCAAACCGAAACACAGCCATGCAAACACAAAATGCTTCACGTTTGAAACACGAATGGGACAGAGGTATCCAAGCAATCGACTTTTGTATAAAGTCTCCCTCTGGTAAAATCGTAAGAATCGACTAAGGGAGGTCAAGGGATAAGTAGCAGCGTCCTCTTTAAAACATCTCTGAACCCTAACTGCGTTTGTCAACCCGCAGCAACTACTGGTAAAAACCCCAAGGAGGAGGTTTATGTCCAGCAGTGGGCAGTTAAAGGCTGATATGATGACAATGATGATATTTTATATACTGATTCGCGTGGGCAATGCCGCGGGATACAGCTAGTAGTATGAATATGACAAGGCGTTGGTTTGTTACAGAGGTACCATAATGCTGAGTCCGAAGATTCAGCGCGCCATCAGGATTAACGAAGGTCAGCTGCTTGCCCTCTCCGACAGGGCTCAGTACGATCACGCTCAGGTAACGACGTTTATTTATTTAATTCACTGTTTGTACTGTGATTTAATGGAGATTCATTATGTTGATTATATTTTTTTAATGACATTAGAAAAATATTATACTTCTATTTTTGGCACTTGGGTAAATATTTCGACGATTTGTCAATATCAGAGATAGGGGACTTATTTAAAAACATATTCAACAAACTGCATCGATGTCTGATAGTGCAGTTACAATATAATATTTTCGATTTAAGTTTGAATACGTATCATCATTATCATATCAGCTGTTAACTCTCTACTGATAAACATAGGTCTCCGCCTATTGGTTGGTTTTGTCAGTAGTTGCCACGCTTGGTAACCTCAGTTAAGCTTTGGTGTTGTTTTAAGAGGAACTACTCATATAGATGATATATCTAAAAGATTTTTTTTTATGTTAGATGCAAAAGGGAAAATTAAGGACAAATCTGGTTCACGTAGTTCCCGCGTGTAGATATGCAATACGCGTTCGTAATTTAAAATATCCAATGCTTATGCTGATTTGTTAATGAGATGGTACAAGGAGACTGCCACTGTTGGAATTGTACGTTTTATTAAAGATATTACAAGATCCGATCGCTTGTCGCGCAATTAGAAAAAAAACGTTTGTCGTTTTTTATTTACCTTCAAATTTGTTCGAGAAATATCGCGGCATTGCGTTCAGAAATTATACAATTATTTATCAATCAGGAGGATATTATACCATTGAGTCATCGTTAGTGTCCTAGTCAGTGGTTCGTATTTGGATTTTATATCGAACTTTCATTCGTTTACAATGTTGTATTGAGTTTTGCTCCCTGGTCCTTACAGTAGATATGCTGGCTGTATTTGGTTGTAGTACAGAAACAGTTTTATTCTGTATAAAGGGTCAGCCATAATAATAATAATAATTACTTCAATATAAAAGAAAAGGCAATTAAAGTAAATTAGTAACAATCATAAAAATAAAATGAAATAAAACTTCAAAAAATAAAGTTCTTCCACAGAAGGCGACCTTCTCTAGTCTGCCGGATAATCTTGGTGCCAGAGTCCGAGTGAGGGTAAGGCTACGACTCTCGCTGTAGCTTCCAAATAGATCTCCCTTAGCTGCAACGTTGCCAGATGCGATTATATATTTTCCCCCAAATTTTTAATGTTTCTCGTAATGATAGGCTTTTGTTAATTTTTATCTAGTTATATAAAGATTTAATTCTACGTTTTATCACGTATTTATTAAAAAAAAAACAAAACTTCGAAAAAATATTGTATTCTTATTTCTTAACATCATGTTACCAACTATCTTCGTTGGTATATTTTGTAGTTCATACATTATCTGGTATATTATACAATTAACAAATAACAAAACTGTCGAAAAAAACATATGTATTTCTGCGTACCCATTTCATTTGTCTATAAATATTTCTCCAAAATATTTGCAAAAAAATACATTTTTCCTCAAGTACGAAAAAATAACTAATCTGGCAACGCTGACCCCTACATACCCTTGTTTTGTCCCTCGAATTACAAAATTTTACATCTTATACTTCGGTATAAGAGATCACTTTTAGACATAATGTAAATCAAAGATTTTAAAAATCTAGAAAATGCAAACGATTTTTGCATTTCTAGTCTATTTAATAAATTGCACAATTGCATCTTAATTTATGTTCTAATTTCGTGGTTGTCCTAGTTTGCACTAAAATTTCCTAGGTAGAAATAAAATACAGACGTATATCTAAATATGATTTCTACTGATTTAGATTTGCTTGTTATTTTTTTTAACGGATCTAAAATCTAAGAACATTACGATAAACATTTTTTAATGTGTTAGCAAACTAAAGCGAAGATAAAGGGATTTTTTTCATAAGATTTATATTTCATAACGAGAAAATAAAAATTATTCATATTAAGAATCTTTAAATTGTATTTGACTAGCAGAAATTTTGTTCAGAAATCTAAAATTGAGCAAGCATGTACCTGTCACTTTAGAGGTGTTTCAGGTTTGGATCGTTTGAAATTGTCCAAAGAAAAATTTTTTTTAAAAAAAGGAAATAAATCTGAAGATATGCTTCATTTTGTCAATTCACATTTAATTATAGAAAGTGACAACAATATAAAAAAAATTTTACAGTGTTGTCTCTTATAAAAATTAATAATAAAGGATTACGTAAAATATAAAACGACGAAGTATTTACTTAATCTTTGTTTTAAAAGAGCAGTTTTTTTTTTATTTTTTTTCTCCGTTATGAAATTTATTCAATCATGTTAAGCAATAGGCAAATTAATTTTAAGGACACGATAAATGAAACATATAAATATCAGTCCCAAATATCTCGTAATTGCTGAGAAAAACTGAGATTTTTGCCGCCAATATTTGCGATTCGTCGCCTTAATTTTCTCTATGCAATACTGCAGTTGCAATAACTTTGTCATTCATTGTTCTATTATGGTTTGTATGTTTCTAGCTTAATTATATGAGTTTTGTAACTTCTATTTTTAAAACATAATCTAATTTAAATTTGCCATATATTCTAATTATTGATTATTGTAATAAAGTTATAAAAAGCTTGAACTTGGATCACAGTAATCTAATAATGATCTATTTATACTGATCACACATTTGTTATTTAATTGTGTAATTTTTCTATAACAAAAATAAAAGCAAATAATAGCTCCCGCCACATGTTGGTCGAGTACAGGCAACTGAAAAAGGTTGACACTTTAATGGTATCGCATCATTTGTGAAATTGTGAGTGACCCTTACCTTTAGCCCCGGTTGAGCACATATTTATTTATGTAGGCAGGCACTCCTCCCAAATCATGATAATGGATTCCCAATCTTTAGATACGTCACATCGTTGTTAAACCATTAGTATATAAATACGAGTTTTTCACAAGTGACAATTACGTAATGATAAATGTAAGTTTCTTTATTAGGTACATTTAGTGCTGTATCCTTTGTTGCAGGCGGGGTATCTGTCGAAGAAAAGTTCTGATGGCAATAGATGGCAGCAGCGCTGGTGTATATTGTACCAGGTACCTCAATGTAGACTAAAAATTATTATTAGAATTAGGGGAAAACACCGCGAGTCGTAGACGCAAATAATTAATTTTAGTACCGTTACAACATGTCTCACTTCTCTGGATAGTGCCTTTATAAAAAAAAATATGTTTATGAATGCTTCGTTAATGATAAGTTAAATATTTTTTTTATGAGTGAATTTGTATTATAGATTAATCGTTGATTTATCAATGTGTGCTCGAATAGGAATATTGAAATATTAATTATTACTGGCAACACAAAAAAATGCCGCGCTTTTATTAGAAAAAAATAAATTAAATAAACACACTTTCGGGATTTTTTTGTAATTCGACTCTATGCTCCAATATGTAATTGTAACTTATACTTTTCTACTTAACTTACTTTCTTAGTATATTATAATTAATTTATAACTATAATAATTTTTGTAATTTGTCTTGTAATTTTATATTGTTACCTTGTAATTGTTACTTTTTGGCTGATGGCTTTCGCCAAAGTCACAATAAATGAAAAAAAAAAAAAACACTATGCTCCGTCCTTATGTACAGGGTGGCCCAAAAGTCCTTAGAAAAGTAAAATTTGAATTAAACGAAAACGGCGCGCGTGAGCGGTTCAGGGGAAGCGGGGGCAGTAACTTCGGTTTCTGGGAATTTAGTCGTGATGGAGCGTTTCACCGGAGCGGACCGTGCGTTTTGTGTGCGCGAGTTTTATCAAAACAACAATTCGGCAACCGTTGCGAGGCGTAAATTTCGAGAACACAAAGGTTTACACAACTTTGATGACACCCCAGCTCTCCAAACGATTAAGAATTGGGTTGCTAAGTTCGAGGAGACCGGTTCGACGTTAGATAAACCGCGGTTGGGTCGCCCAAGGACATCACGTACGGAACAAAACATCGACACAGTGGCACAATCTATTCATGAAAATCCTACACAGTCAACTCGTAAGCGTTCCAGTGCATTAAACGTATCCAGGACATCGTTACAACGGATTTTGAAGAAAGATTTACTTATGCACCCTTACAAAATTCAGTTGGTGCAAGAATTAAAAGAAACTGATGCTATTCAGAGAGTGAATTATGCTAATGAAATATTTAATCGGTTTACTTCGTTCAATAACATAATGTTCTCTGATGAGGCACACTTCCACATTAACGGACATGTTAGTAAACAAAATTGCCGCTATTGGAGCCCGATTAATCCAAAACTTAAGCACCAGAAGCCCTTACATAGCCCAAAAGTTACAGTTTGGGCCGCTATGTCAGCCCATGGCATCATAGGGCCTTACTTTTTTGAGGACGGCAGAGGGCGTGCTGTTACTGTTACTTCGGAGCGATATGTGGCCATGATCGAGGAGTTTTGCACAAAAAAATTGCAAAACTTTCCAGGCTTTAATGCCCGAACATGGTTTCAACAGGATGGAGCAACTTCCCACACCTCCAATACTGCCATGCCCGTTATCCGTCAACTTTTTCCAAACAAAGTTATCTCTAAGAGAGGAGACATTTCCTGGCCACCACGTAGCCCGGATCTGACTCCAATGGATTTTTTTTTGTAGGGCTACCTTAAGGCTAAAGTGTACGACTCTAACCCGCGGTCAATTAATGACCTAAAAGAAAACATCCGCAGAGAAATGGCAAGCATTTCAGCAGTGACGTGCCGTGCAGTCATCGACAATTTCAGAAGGCGTTTGCAAGAGTGCCGTGACTGTAACGGATTACATTTAGACGAAGTTATTTACAAAAAATAATTCCCGTTTTTCTAGCTATATTTACAAATAAAAATATTATTCATAGTGTAATTAGTTTTATTTTAATTAATTTTTTTCATTACTAAGGACTTATGGGCCACCCTGTATATGTTATCTTGAAACTAGAATATAACAGGATAATTATGTCTTGCTATTAATTAAGAGGGGAGTTCGTTTTCCGTCATAGATGCACATTTCTATGTACCACTACGTTTTCCTCGCAGAACTTGCTGTTCTACTACGAGTCTGATACCAATACCAGGCCGATAGGAGTGCTGCTACTAGAAGGGTCATACTGTGAGCGAGTCATTGGAATGCCTACTGACCGGGAGCCCACGGTGGGTAATTTAATGTTATTAAAATTACAAATAAACCATAGAGCATCACATTAATTTTAAAGAATCATTCCTTTAACAGGAAAAGTTATTCGTTACCGCTATAGTGCTATAGTTGACTAGTCGACTTTTTTAGTAATTATTTTTTGTGGGAATTTTGTTTTCTTAAAAATCATTTTAATTTTGTAATAGGTTGAGAAATGATTATATATGTGTTTTATGACAAATTTTGAAAAAAGAAATAGATAAATTATTGCGTTCTAAGTTTAAATGAATTATTATAAAAAGAGTTTTATACTTATATATTTATTATATCATTATTAAATAACACTTTTCATTGTTTTTTATATAAAAAATTTGTCGCAGTTCGGTTTCGTGATTATCTACCGCCGGGAGAACCAGCGGCAGTATGAATTCCGCGCTTCCTCTGAGGCCGACTGTTCTCTATGGATCGACGCAATACAAGAGGCGAGGTTAGTATTGGTTGATTCAATTTAATTTTAGTTAAATAAAAAAAAAGCCAAATGGACGTATTTTGAGAAATAAGTTAACATTTTCAAGATAATAAAAAAAGTAAATAGATTTTTTTAAATATTTCACAGTAGATAAATATCGACTTCCATCTACGATACAGTAAATTGTCAAATATATATATATATATATATATATATATATATATATATATATATATATATATATATATATATATATATATATATATATATATATATAAGTAGATACTGGACCATTTATTTTATTACGATCAGTATGTTAACCACTTACAGATGACTGACTTTAACACGTGTTTTGATATTTAACAAATTCACGGCTCTCTAAATTGTAATTAAATTTTACGTTGCCCTATTGATTATTTATTAAATTAGGAGGGATATTCCCATGGTGCGGCCGGAAGTTTTCGTACAATATTCGAGAACAAATGGAGTGCATAGCAGTGCAATAAATTAAACATTGTGTCTCACAAAAAAAACCGACTTCAATTGTGAAATAAAAAAGGCATTAAATGAAATTAACTTACATATATAAAAAAAGGTTTTATATAAGCAATTAGTTTTAATAATTTCTTAACATGGCTTCGGGCGTTGAAAGCTGCAGATTTTAACCGTCTATAGTGGAAAAAATTAACTGAAGGCTTTACTGGTAGGACCAGCACTCATCAATAACTTGTCTTTATAGAACAACTCTTTTTAGATTTCATTTCTTAACAACACATACTCTGTAATTTGTTGTAGCTACTTCATGTATTTCAATCATTCAATAGGTTAATAGCATGATTCCAATATATAATTATAAATGTATATTATAAATTAAATAATTAAAATTTAATAATTAAATAATGAATAATAATAAGAAAATACGTAGCTATCGTGATACAATTTCAATGACTGGATACATTCTGGTTACAGATCCTTAGACCATTTCTAAAGTAAAAAAAAGGTGTCGTCCTCCTCTCTCCTACTTGCTGTGCCCAACAGGGTCCACAATTGAAGTTGAAATGTTACCTACTAATTATATTATGGAATGCAATAAATAAATAAATATAATTCTTTATATCAAATTAAAATTATGATTACATTTCTTTTTATACAACTTATAATGGCAAACAAGCTGACGGTCCACCTAATGGAAAGTGGTAACCGTCGTCTATAGACATGAGCAGTACCATGCACATAACAGAGTATACTGTTTCGCCCATGATACTCTCTATACGTTGCTATTCCTGAGGATTCAGGTGTTATTCCTCTGTAATTTTCACTGCTATATCCTACCCTTCAAACCGAAACATGCAACGAAACAAGCCATGCAAACAAAACTGTTTTACAATAGAAACACAAATGGGACAGAGGTACCCAAGCAAACGACTATTGTACAAAGTCTTCCTCTGGTAAATTATATCGAGGTAGGTAAAAACATTGAGCGTATTTAGTATAGTATATTTTTTATCAAAATCAGGATAGGTAGGTAGTTTTAGACGAAGAAAACTTTAGATATTTTATATATCATGGGCGGCGGTAGTCACTTACTATCAGATGAGATGCCTACTCGTATGCCCGGAAGGAAAGGGATTGTTAGTAATGGAGACTGGGAATCCCATTGCTAGCAATATACCCAACCAGGTCGACCTCCACGCGGTTCTCCCTGGAAACTATCGTGGTTAATTCCTGATGAATTCATCATGATGGACTAACTGACCTGTTTTCATTCTCATCTATCACCCTTCACTGGTGCTCCGCCAGCGTATCCCGTTAGCGCAGGCGGGGTTACCATACCATTTTCACCCATCAAAAAAAAAAAACCGTATGCCCTGTGTTGTAAAAAAAAAAATTGTTTTATAAAAAAAGAAAAAAAAACAAAACACCCCAACAAGCGTTCTGTTTTTACTGCAGAGGTAACGGAGCTCGTATAAGCCGTTTACTCTCCGGTAGCCATGGAAACGTGGCTGCTCGGGATTAGGGTCACCCTGGCCGTGACCCGGCCCGCCTGTGCAGTCCTCGTAACATTTTTAATTCAAACATGGCATAATTTAAAGAGTAGAATGCGCAATTAATTATCTATGGGATAATTTAAAAAGTATTTTATACAATAATAAAATGAAGTATGTAATAAAACAATAAATTTGAGGGCGCTACTACATATTTATTTTTTTGCGTCAATGCGTATTTTTTTATCCAACAAAATAGCAAACAACTGTACGGCCTACTTGATGGAAAGTGTTAATCGTCGCCTATAGACATGAATTGTTATAGACATGACAGAGCATATTGTGTCGCTCATGAAAATAACAGAGTATACTGTGTCGCCCGTGACACCTATAATGCGTTGCCATTCTTGAGGAAAATATATTAAAAAATTTATAATTTCCTCATCTTCCGATGGTCGCGGGTTCGATTCCCATACAATATAAACATCATGAATATATTTCTAGGTATTTCAATAGAATTATTTTGTTTATATTTAATTTAAAAGGAGAGTTTTACCAACAGATCAATGCCTTGCTGAGACAGTTGTGTGTAGTAAAATGCATAGAGATAGCATATATATCGTAAGAGAGGGTTTCTGAAGTAATGGGAAATTGTGGACCGAAAGGGCAAAATTTCGCTCTCATAGTACTTAGCACCTACATAGTAGAAATATTATATTTTTGTTTTATATTTTAGCTTTCGCTGTGTAATTTCGTTTTCTTTGTACTCAAAGGATGTCTTGACATAAAAAAAAATTGCGAAAAAACTTCAACCTATCAACTTATGACTTTTTTTATATCTTAAACTATATCTTATATCAATACTAGCTTAAGATATCTTAAGATATATGGAACTAAGCGATATTAATTTTTAATGATTGCAAAAAGAATTATCAAAATCGGTTGAGAACTAACAGCGGCACTATGTAATAATATATAAAAATACAAACGAGTTATAACTCCTTTTAAGTCGATAAAGAAAGTAAGGTATCCATATTGAAAATCTAACTCGAGTCGAGCGCCTATTGTGAGAGAAATTGACAAGTACAAGACACGCATTTCCCCGTGTAAGTATATTATACGGTAGGCCGTGACCCGTTCAGCCGATGAGACCTAGACATACATACGAGTAGGAAGGCCTGCGCTCGTAATCTTATAACCCAGATGCTCTGTACCTAGATGTTTCTAATGATCGCTCAATATCTAACAGTTTTCTTTCAGTTCTTGAAATTTTCAAGCTAGTTCGAAATTTAAATAAAACCTTATATTAGTTACCTCCTTGGTAGCCATGTTTCGAAGTAAAAGGTCATTCCATTTTTAAATTACAGGACAGATATGAGTTTACATAGTAATTTATCTGGCCGCTAAACACGACAGATATGCATTTTCATACAACTTTTGCCGGCCGCTGCCCGCATGTATCTGGCCAGTACGGAAATTTTGATTTATCTCGAAGAAGATTGTCAAAATAATGCTCACATTTCCAAGCATGGTTGAGAAAATAATTATAAGTACCTTTATGAAATTCAAATAATAAAAATATTATAAAATAATATATAATTAAATATATAAGTACTCTGTATTATTCTCAATTTCGTGTATAATATATTATATTTCATATATGTTTAGGTATATTTGTTATTTATATATATATTTGTTTGTATTACATATATGGCTCAAAATCACCAAGGTTGCGAATTTCAAGATTAGTTTTATGGAAAAAAAATACAAGCTATGATGGCTTATATTGTCGCAAAATTTATATATTAATAAACTTTGATAGGGCAGCGCACAGAATTCTATATTTTTTTTTTGTAGTATTGCTTTTTAATGGGCATGTAGCAGAAAATTATCATTCCGGGAACGTTTTTCTAAGTTGAATAAAATGACCAAAAACAAAAATAACACATAATTTGAGCGTTGTCAAATAGCATGGGTATAAAATGTATCTATATTATATTATCAATAATGAAAACAAAAGATATAAAATCTTCTGCTAGCAAAATACGTCAAAAAATTAAACAAATTGCTATTACCGTGCATAAAATTCAAGAAATTTCTTAATATACAAAACGTTTACAATGGAATTAACATTAAATGAACAGAATGAAAGTATTTCAATGTGATATTTTTTTTTTAAATAATAGCTCAAATTATACGTATTATATTGAAATTTTGTGATGTTCCCGGAAATGACCAACCAGTCTAAATTTTCGCTTACTGTAGCAAAAGAGTTTGATTTCAAATCACTCTTACCCTTTTGTAAATAATATACGCCTGTATGAATAGATAGCTGTTTCTTAGCAAAATGTGTTGACTGTATTTCGTTTGCGTACTTCATAGTATAATTTGTTGTCTTTTAACTCTTTTTTCAATTTGTTATAGCTATAATTTTTTTCTATACAACTTAGAATGTCAAACAAGCTGACGGCCCACCTGATGGGAAGTGGTAACCGTCGCCTATAGACATGAGCAGTACCATGGACATAACAGAGTATACTGTTTCGCCCATGATACCCCCGATGCGTTGCCATTCCTGAGGACTCGGGTGTTATTCCTCTGTACCCAGTAAATTCACGCCATATCCCACCCTTCAAACCGAATACTTCAATTCTGATTTACATGTAATTGCTTATTATTTGCACTCTACAAGTTGTTATGAGAGAGACACTCTAATATTATTATGAGATTATTTTCTTTGTTATTGTTAATTTAACCCAATTCGTTGCACGTAATTTTAATATGAAAATTAATATTTATCAATTAACCGATTTTAATCATTCAATTCTCTGCATATACGAGTATTTAAATATCCTCAAACCCTGGAAGCAGCGGAGAATATGATGCTCCGGTGACCTACATTTTCAATGTCGTTTCTATTAGCAACAAGCCGGGCGGATTAATTTTTTAACTGGCTTTGAAAAGACGAAGGTTATCAAATCCTTTCTAATTTTACCCGACTGGTTAAGAAAGGAGGGTGATATTTTTCGGGTATACCTATTTGTACTTACGTGTGTCACATGATTATGTAAATATATATATTTATAAATATATATATACATATATCTCATGACTTTGTAACAAGTGACATAAACAATTTAATGATATTTTGAAATTTAAATTTCTCGCGACACGTTGCTACATGTGGACTTTGAAAGTAGAAAAACTAATGAAATACTAGTCGTATTAGATGGCATATTAGAATAATATAGCCTTGCCATATACAAGACTTTAGTTCAGAAAAATAACTGTGGGTAATGCATCTAATTTGGCGTTTCTACCGTGAAACAGTTGTGTTTGCATGGCTGCGTTTCGGTTTGAAGGGTGAGATATGGCAGTGAATTTACAAGGTACAGAGGAATAACACCTGAGTCCTCAGGAATGACAACGCATGGGGGGTATCATGGGCGAAACAGTATACTCTGTTATGTCCATAATACTGCTTATGTCTACAGGCGACGGTTACCGCTTTCCATCAGGTGGGCCGTCAGCTTGTTTGCCATTCTAAGTTGCGTAAAAAAAATCTATTTTGGTGCAGTAACGGTTGATCAATTGCAGAGTAGATGACCAGCAAGAAGGGATTTCTCTAAAATTTTACAGGAATGAGAGAGGTTTCGATCACATTCCATGCCATACCATATCAGCCGTTAAATGTCCACTATTAAACATAGGTCTCGCATTGGGGGTTTTGCCAGTAGTTGCTACGCTTGGCAGGCGGGTTGGTAAACGCAGTTAGGCTTTTGTAGTGTTTCAAGAGTTGTTGACACATATTTTAACGTCGACGTGGTGCAATCCACGTCGAAACAGGTATGTAGCAGGGAAGCAGAATGTACGTACTGTTTACCTGCAAGGGATTTTTCATCGCGTTAAGTCCCGATTGTACATTTGAAATAAATGATTCTGAATCCAAATAAATGTATGATAGTAAATGATAAAACAGATAGATAGTATATGTATGAGTAATACTTTTCTTCTTAAATCCTCTAATTGTTATAATTAACATTCCTCTCTTGGAATATATTCAATGAATGCTTAAATTTATACAAGAAACACGTAGAGAAAGGAACTTTTGCAAATTCCTCCTAATTAAAAAAGATATTGTTATTTTTTGACTTTTTATTATTTTATATATATATATATATATATATATATATATATATATATATATTTATTTTATATTATTTTTATTATTATTTATTGTTATTCTTTCCCAAAGAGGGTTAACGTGAGGCAGACAGCCGGTCGTAAAACTAAAAGCTAAATCTTTTTGTAATATGGATTAAAACATATTACGCCGACCCCAAATAATAACTGGGATAAGGGTAGGAAGATGATAATTGTTATTCTTTGACTGGACGGATTGTGTGATGCATATCATCTTGATATACATAAAAGAGGAATGGGCCCAGAAATGACAGTTGATAGACATTTGTGAAAGAAGACATACCAACCAAATTAATGCTCAAAGGCAAGGCAATAACGATTCTCAGGTTGCTCTTTGTTGTTATGTCATATATCAAAGCTTATAAAAAACTGCATAATGTTATTAAATGACTTGGACCCCAGAAGTAACATTATCGTGAGGTAAAGCCCTAGTCACTCAAACATTGGCAATAAAAAGCTGACCGATTAGCAAAGGAAGGGGCAAAGAATACCCAAATAGGACCAGAACCTTATTGTTGCACACCTCGAAGCCTAACGCTCAAACATGTCAAATTTGAAAGTTTAGAAGCAGCAAATAACTGGCTCTTGTTGCCAGGATTAAATCACTCAAAAACTTTGATTAAAGGGTTTTCGGAAAATTATTCTAAGAAATTAATTTTTTTGTATAAAAATAATATAATGTGTGTATTAACATGGGCACTCACTGGGCACTGAAAACTAAATAAGCGCATGACCAACTAGGCTTATGCCCAAATAGTGTTTGCAAATTTTGTCACAATGAGGAAGAAACGCTACAGAATAATGCACTTTATATCCTAATGCGATAGAAACATCGCTGTAAAAAAACATCTTAAAGTTCCTATCATTGGTAGGAATCAGTCGCGAACTTTCAAAAAAGGCGAGCACAAAAGATCGTGGAAAGGTCGCAGTGTTACAGGATTTTCTGCCTGAAAAAAGCCCGTCTTTCAATAATAATAAAATGTGTCATGTATTTTTTTTGTATATTTATCAAATTTGCTCTAGTTTATTCAATATGTCAGTTATTTGTGGAAAGTTCACTGATTTATATTATTAATACAATAATTATTTATATATTTTAGATATTAGGGCCAAATTAAAAGTACCCGTAACCGGCGAGCATGTATGAAAAGATTGATGAATGTGGAAGAAACGAAAGAGGTTTGTTTGAATCGAAGCATTTGACGTTCCATTGTTTCTGCCTACTCTAATGGGAGACAGGCGTGACAGATATGTATGTATGTATGTTTTAGATATTGTATGTTTTACTAATAAAGTAAAATGAAATAAAATAGATGAATAAGTTTGAATGATTCTGAATCTAAATAAATGTAGGATGGTAAATGATAAAAAAAAAAGAAAATTTTAAATGAAGTTTTACGTACCTTGTCTTCTGGTCCGCGTGCGCAATAGTACCGATTAATATTAGATATACCCAGATATGGGACTTTAATTACTACAGAAACATATTTTTTTTTCAGTTTCAACAAGATGCTGATGCAGAAGGAAGCCCTAGAACACCAGAATCGTCACCTCATCCAATTGATGGAGAGCGAACGCACAAGCCGCTGGGAGTATATGGTCGATAGAGACAATTTGAGCTTGGAGGTCAAGAAACTAAAGTCAGAGGTGAATATGACATTTTTATTATATTTGTAGATATTAATTGATATTATTTACCAGACGAAGACTGTACAAAAATAAGAGATGGGAATAAACGCGATCATTTCATCATCGATTCATTTCATCATCACTCATCTCTTATAAACTAGCAATACGTCTATGAGTTAATATTGTATAAAAGTACCACTGTTCATAACTGCTTCATTGTGTTTTAGTTTAAAGGTTGATATATGGTAAAAAAATTACAAGGTACGTAGGCATAACACCATAGTCCTCAAGTATGGCAACACACGAGAGGTATCATGAGTATAATAAGTTATTCTGTAATGCCCGTGATGATAGATAGATGCTCTTTATTGTTTCCTTTAAAAGATTACAATAGTAAACTTATTATAAATATAAACAATTACGAAGGAAAGATTACACTGAGAAAACAATGAAAAGCCTTATCGCTAAGAGCGATCTCTTCCAGGCAATTTTTGGATGGAGAAGAGTAATTGTAAAGAGTTTAACTGGAGGCACGAAACTTTGTTCGTTTTTTATGATGTGCATGTTTATAGACGACAACTATAGCTATTCTAAGCAATATAAGGAACAATTGATTACAATAGATGGAATACAAGTAGTGAATATTTTGCAGGTGCTAACGTTGAACGTAGCTGCGCGGTGGAAATATGCCGCGCAGGTAGAGCAGTTGTGCAAGACGGTCGAAAAGCTCAAGAAAGAGGTGAGACTCGATCATAGTACTAGACAATATCATATTGGATAATGTCAGCAACTGTGCTGACATGATCCAACAACAATAGGCTAGTGTTGAGTCGAGATAATTAGAAACCGACTAACCGACTACATGACAGTGCTATGCAAAATAATACGAATAAAATATTCTTGTGTTGATATCCAAATTTAATTAATTTTCAAAATTTTATTAATATATTATTACGTATCATTTCAAAAGTTTTTCCCATAAAAAAAATTAACAGTATTTTAGAGTCATGACATTTATATTTATTTAGAGCCGCTATGTTAGAACAGCTAGAATGTTTTTGTAAAATAAGAACACTATATTTAATTTTGAACTAGCTTACACCTACGGCTGCATCCACTTCGGAGGTAAATTTAAAAAGTACTTCCTTAGTGAACCCGACATTACCTAGAACATAGATAAATGCACATAAATAATGTACAGTGGGCATTGAATATTATTGGATTAATTGCTCAAGTTGTTATAATTTGATTGTCGTAATATTAATATAAAGTGAACAGTACATCTATGGCCCACTGTACATTCATATTATATACATTATTTATTGGCGCAAGTCGTTGCTTGGGTATATACCTGAAATAGCTTATAAAATACGTATAAAGTGATCCTTAATCCCGTGGCCAAAACCCTTTAAAAGTATCAAACTAGTTGCTCACATTGGCATTTTAAATTAACTAAATACAAACAAAAATAATTGCTATTTTATTTATTTTCTGTAGTGGTATATTTATGTATACATATTTATGTAACGCAAAAGTATTAATATGATTTTTTTTTAAATGGTGGACCAGCCGAAATGGCAATTGTTAAATTTATTGTTATAATTTTTATTGTAAACAATCTGCAAATAGGGGTGATTGTTTATTTGTAGTAGTAGATTACATTATTAAATTATTAATTTGTAGATTGCGTAGCTTATACAAATATAAATTGATTGTAAATTATTACTGATTAATATATTCCGCAGCTTATGACATATAGAAAAGAAGCAGGAAAACCTGTAGAAGATCTTCAGAGCTCTGATAAACTAGAGCCAGCGGAATTGAGACAAATTAAAAAAGTACAGGTAATTTACAAATAATTGTTCTCTGCACCACTAAAATGTTTAGAAGATAGTTGTAACTTATTAAAATCGTATATTTGAAAGATTAATATATTAATATCTAATAATTATTGTGAATTATTCATCAATGGCTGACCCGTGCATAGGTCATAAAATTTTATGGTATATATTATATTTCAAATACATTTACTTGTCTTTTTAAATACAAGATGTAGATATTACAGCCATAGCACCCGAATCTGTTTTAACTTTGATGTTAAACATATTACTTGTCAATTTTTCTTTATTGTTAAGAGTTTCTTCCGTGGCTGGTTATGCAGACGTCGCTGGAAACAAATCGTTGATATGTATATAAAGAGTCCCTTCGCTGAGAGTATGCGGAAAAGAAATAGGTATGTAGATCAAGAAAATAGTACATTAGTAAGCTTCACATTCAAAACAATAACAAGCAAGACTGTGATTAGCAGTTCAAGCAAAAATCTCTAACAATACACGAATCTCACCCAATCTTGATATTTGCAATACCAAATTATTTAGTAGAGGTGATAAAGGGCAATAATATGAAATGAATATTTTACAAGAATATAATTAAAATGAAAATAATGAGCACTATTGTTTAACTTTTGAAGTGTAGATAAATATTTGTTTTGCAGCCTTGTTTTCAAAATGGTAGAAGCTGAGGAAGAATATCTTGAACAATTAGAAATTTTGGTGAGTATTTTCAGAATGCTCTGTATGTAGCCAACAATGTATTACCTATCTATCTTGATTTTTATTTTCATTACCATTAATGAATTTAATATCAGAAAATCACTTCTGTATTCCAAGTCTGAAAAATCCTTATATTCGTTTGGCAGTTTGTAAAAAAAAAATACTATTTACGTTTAATAGAATTTTAATTGGAAATCTTGTTAATTGCTTTATAGAAGTGTTTAATAAATGTATATATTCATTATAACTGTTTGTGTAGGTGTCCTGTTTTTACCGGCCATTCAAAATGGCTGCAAGTTCTAAAAAGCCTCCATGCACCCACGAAGACGTGAACTCTATATTCTTGAACGTGGAAACTGTTTTATTCTTACACCAAATATTCTACAAAGGCCTCACAGCAAGAATGGACTCATGGCCAACTCTTGTGTTGAGTAAGTTTTAATTATTGATATCTATAATGATAAGGCTTACAATAATGATTCTGAAACTAAAGCTACTTTTAAGTTCTCAATTCGCCTAAGTTTTCCTCGGCTCTCTCATGTGATCACGGCAGCGATTCTGAACCGACTTTCACAGTTTTCTTGGAATTGATACAGTTTCTCATTTTCATTTTATGATGATTAAAGTGGCCGTTTTTATTTGCAAAGCAAAAAACAGTTTGTTGCAGACAAGATTTTGCATTTTAATTTTTTTTTAGCTTGTGACCATTTCTTTGTTCCTTGAGATGTATGCCTTCATGATTAAGGCAGCTTTTTAGTAGAACTAAATATACTTGTTTATCTGGACACGATAACAATATTACCAGAGGGAGTGTTAGTACAAAAGTCGTTTGTTTGGGCATCTCTGTCCCATTCGTATTTCTATCGTAAAGCAGTTATGTTTGCATGACTGTGTTTCGGTTTGAAGGGTGGGATATGGCAGTGAATTTACAAGGTACAGAGAAATAACACCTGAGTCCTCAGGAATGGCAACGCATAGGGAGTATCATGGTCGAAACAGTATACTCTGTTATGTCCATTGTACTGCTCATGTCTATAGGCGACGGTTACCACTTTCTATCAGGTGGGCGGTCAGCTTGTTTGTCATTCTAAGTTGCATAAAAAAAAATCTGTTATATTTGGAGATAATATTTAAGATCTTATCAATACTGCTTACAGGTGATCTCTTCGATATGTTGGTCCCGATGTTGACAATATACCAGGAATATGTACGGAATCACCACTATTCACTGCAGGTGCTTACAGAGTGTAAACAGAAACTTGCCTTTACGCAGCTTGTGGCCAGGCTTGAAGCGAAGCCCGCCTGTCAGGATCGTACTTTGGAGACTTTCTTAACATACCCTATGCATCAGGTAAAATAAAAGTGTACACTTATAATTGTGTATTAGTTTTTTAGTTTGTAGTTTTAACTTTTTCTACTAGGCTCTTGAATAAATTCCAATTCAAGTCAATCATTGCATTTTCATGTTGTAACAATGTAGATCTTAAATATTACAGATACAGTATTAACATGAATCGTGTTATATTAATAAATGTTTGTTACATTGAATAGAGAATACAGAATAGAACAGAAGAATTTATAGAATAAAGAATTAGAGACAACAGTATTATATTTAGCAGCGTCCTTTTTCTTCTTTATTGTCGAACTGTCGCAAACTTTTTGGTCATCTATTGTAATAATTTGGTGAGAAGTGATTATGAATGTCTACCACAAATACACTAAGTTTCCTCAGTATGATTAGGTACTTTTTTATGTGTTACTTAAAAAAAACATAAATATGTAAGTGACGATTGAAGAGTATAATTATCATAATTGTTATTGGATTGGGTTCCTTAGATACCTCGTTATATAATAACCCTACACGAGTTGTTGGCACATACTCCCGCGGATCACGTGGAACGCCGCAGTCTACAGCATGCAAGGCAGCAGTTGGAGGACCTTTCAAGACAAATGCATGATGAGGTACTTTCAAAAGATGTTTCAATTGTCTTCCATCTCAGATTATTAGCACTAGACTTATTTACGTTAAGCAAATATATTGTAAACACTTCAGTTTTGGGAATAAGCTATTTTGTAAACGTTTAATTATAATCAACCTTGAAGATTTTAGTATTTCCGTCGATTACTACTCTACTTTTGAATTCAGTTAGCCTCAGATATTTCTTAATCATGTCCACTGTCTTTATATTATTATGTATAGATATTTCTATTTTTATTATTGTATTTTGTAACTGTAATAATTTAAGATTGTGTTCTATAAAAAAAGGAGGAAGGAATGAAATTTGAAAGTAGATAAAACTTTGTTTGACAAATAAGTTCACGGTACGATAAGACTGATATACCTGAGGAAGGTAAAAGCCCTTAATAATAATAAAAAAATCATATCAAATAAAAAACTTACCAAATCAGATAATAACTGACGGAGTTATGAGATAACAAAAAAAAAAAGAACAACCAAATTGAGAGTCTCTTTTTCGAAGTCAGTTGAAAATAAAGGTATATTATCAAAGGTTGAAAATAGTAAGCGATATTAGAAGTATAGTCTTCTAGTTGCTTGGACATTCGGTACACACTATTTATGCTAACTGGAGCTTGGAGCTTTAAATACTAGACGATCCGATTTCAATAGATTAATTATTTGATGACAAGTTATTTAAAGATGTACTATATTTTGCATTGCCCCTTGAATATTTTTGTAGTGTAAGAATTAAACAAATCAAGTAGTGTATGATTAATTGTTCTATTGCAGAAATTATAAACAACAACAATAACAGTATTTTGACGAGAAATACTGTTATTGTTATTACAGTATTTCTCGTGTTCTCGTATTTATAATCTCGTGAAAGCCGAAACCGAGAAAAAGAGAAAATATCTCGACCTGGCTCACGAGGTGACCGAAATGTGGGGGGTGACGTCCACCGAAATCATTCCAATCGTTTTGTCGGTAAACGGTTTTATCCCAACTAGTCTGGAACATCATCTCAGACGGTTTGGATTCCGAGGCGGCTCACTCCCGGGAAAGATGCAGAAAGCGGTGCTTTTAGATACTGCCCGCATTCTTCGCCAGTTTCTCTCCCTGGGGTCCTGAACTCCGGCCGACTGTGCTTTTGCTGGGGGTAGTTTGCCATCTCTTCTTAAGAGGGGAGATGTGAATTTTTGTAAACATTAATTTAAATAATCTTGCAGGTCAGTGAAACGGAGAGCTTACGGAAAAATTTGGCTTTAGAACGCATGATTATAGAAGGGTGTGACATATTGCTGGACGTGAATCAAGTGTTCATACGGCAAGGTAATAAGGGAACTTTATTTTTTTATTACTATTTAAAAACATATTGGAAATAGTAAATGAGCAAAGACAAAATAGTAGTCATTTGTATAGGTAGTGATTTTATAGGGTTTGAAGGCATAATAACTTTAGCTGCAGGAATTTCTTGGCGGTAGTCCTTTAGCTGCAAAATATATGATTTACGGTTACCATTTACCATTAGGTGAGCCATAGGCTCATTTACCATTTCAAGCTTCATAATTTTTCTTTTCAGGTATGCTGTCACAGGTAGTGTCCAAAGGTCGCAAATCAGTGCTGCAGCCTCGCCAGGCATTTCTCTTCAGTAACTACCTGCTGCTCACGACGCGCGCTAGCGGTGGAAGGTTGCACTTGAAACCTGAAGACCGACTGCCGCTTCACGACGCTCTGCTTATTGAAGATCCATCGTGTCACGATGATGATGGTACGGATTTTGTCTATTATATTTTACTGAATTAGGTGTTATTTTGCATAAATCCATATCACTTGTTAGTTGAGTAAGATTATAAGAAGGTCGTAGACTTTTTTTATACAACTTAGAATGGCAAACAAGCTGATGGTCCACCTGATGGAAAGTGGTAACCGTCGCCTATAGACATGAGCAGTACCATGGACATAACAGAGTATACTGTTTTGCCCATGATGCGTTGCCATTCCTGAGGTCTCAGGTGTTATTCCTCTGTATAACCTGTATAGCCATATCCCACCCTTCAAACCGAGAGTAGTTGTGTTTGCACAGTCATGTAAACACAACTGCTTTACGGTTGAAACACGAATGGGACAGAGGTATCCAAGCAAACGACTTTTGTACAAAGTCTCCTTCTGGTCTCTATGGATAGTAATGAATCCTCAAATATTGGCAGTCGCACGCATACTAATGGTAGCGGAGTTAAACAAAATAATTTCTATCAACCAACTTTTGCCTATTACGTGTTGAATGCTTATTAATTTGTAAATATGATTGGATATTTGTTTCTCGACTCAGTTATATTTATTTATTATTTTATTTTGTTATTAAATTATTATCAATAACTAACTAATGTCAATTGTTTACTGACATTATTATACCTAAATTTTGCATGCCATTATTTTGGCAAAACGCGCATAGTCATGACATATTATTACTAGCATCTGTATACCGTGTTTTTGAGCAAAGAAATTATTATTGTTAACTGAACGGATTTCAATGAAATTTGGTAAGTATACAAATGTATTTATATTGATAAATATAAAAGAAACTTTACAAAATATTTAAGAAAAGTTTCTTGCCATCGCTAATCACTAGTTGTGCTTAGAAATAAAAAAAATATGTGCAGGATTTTCTTTTTTTATACTTTTAATAACTTCAATGTTACTGAGGCGTACAACTTTAGGTATTTCACCAATGACAACGTAATGATGATCTATTTATGTTTATAGTCACTTTTCATCAGGTACATAGGTCGTTACTTTATTTACTATTTATCGTAGTATAAAAGTTGTATTTTTATAGAAATAAATCATATTCGTAGCTATTTAACAGAATCTACTTTTATAAAATAGTTGTCCTGACAAACTATCAGCACACAGCTAAAATACTCAGTCTAGAAAGCTGAAACTTGGAACACAAGTTTATTTTATAGCGTTAGCAGCTGCTAGGAAAGAATTTTTGAAAATATCAGCTTAAAAAGGAAACGTTACACGCCCTCCCCCATGCAAAGCCGGCAATAGCTAGTAAAATATACTTTTGTATTTTTAGGTCCGAAATCACGCCGTCAGGGGTCTCAAGGGTATCAGTGCTGTAAGTTTCTTAGAAATAGATGATTTAGTTTTGCAGTTTATTATTATTGGGAGAATTCCAGTAGAACTAGTATGCGCAAATTCGTCAGGGACGTACAATAGACGTCTAAAGTAGAGATCGCGAATTAGTAAGATTAAGTATGGGATGACCTGGGGCTATGTGGAGCGACATACGAAGAGTGATTGGTAATGAAAGAACGCGAAAAGCCAAGATTACGCTTAGTAGTGCATCTTGAACTTGCCCAACTAATGTCTCTGCAATTGTTTGGTGATTTCTGAGTTTCATTAGTGTAATAGAATTTGTAATAAGAATATTCGCAAAAGAATTAAAGTATCCGATATAGTCCGAAGGATAAGCAAGCTGAAAGGGCAATGGCCGTATGGCTCGAAGAATCGATAGGTCTGGTTTAGGACCGTTCCTTATGGCAGTCTAAGATTATGTGCGAATAACCTGGAGTTACAAACATTTGCATAGGCTTCGATTCCCATCAGGTCCGTCATTTACTTGATTGTCATCTTTTTTCACTTCCTATTTGTTTCAAAGAGCATTTTCTTATCGATTTGCAGGTCCAGACATCTATATGGGAAGAGACTTCAAAATATTAGTGGAAGTCAACGGACAACAGATATGTGCCCATTTGGGTAAGGAATTACTGATCTAATGTACAATATATACCTAAGAAAAAAAAGAAAATACAAGATTTAAAACTTAAATACCGCTTTTTTACAGTACAGAAGAATATATCATGCCTGGTAGTTTGTGATTGTCTTTAGGTGTTAATTGCTTTGGTGTGGTAATTTAAGTTTTACCACTGTTTTTAAAATACTCTGATCCGAACAGTGGCATCAACGACCGAGATAAAAGCAGCTTGGACAAGTGAGCTGGCTAATTGCATGGAGAGTGCTGCACTCACGGAGATGATGCGGGCCTGTGCCAACAGCAACTCGTCTGCCAGCCTCCCGGCCTGCAGGACCGACAGGGCGCTGTTCACCGACGATGTGGACATTAGGTTCAGCAGAACTCTCAACTCGTGCAAAGTCCCCCAGATAAGATCTGCTACGCCTCAGCGACTGTTGCAGAGACTTACTGGTATGTTTTTTGTTTTGCTGAACATAAATCTTATAAAATTGTTGGATCTGTTTGAGCTAATTTCTATACAGTAAATCTTTTGTTTGTGCGATTTGATACAGTAAACATATACAGGATGTTGATTTATGGTATTATATTTAACTATCAGAAAATATAACTGGATTCATCATCATTATCATATCAGCCTTTAACTGTCCACTGCTGAACATAAGCCTCCACCTTGTGGGGTTTTGCCAATAGCTGCTACGCTGGACAGGCGGATTGGCAATTGGAGGGACGCTGCTGCCCATCTCTCGTCCTTCCTTAGTCGCCTCTTACAACACCCATGCGAAAGAAAGGGGTGGCCCATTCTGTGCTGGGGCCCACACGGCAATAATTGGGTTAGGGAGAAGTCATTGTTAGTAACAAGGATGGGGTCTATTTTTAGCAATATAGTCAGGTCGACTTCCACGCAGTCCCTCCTGAAAACGATCGTGATTAATAGGTTAAATGACCCGACTTACTCTTTATCTATTACATGCCTCAATGATACCTCACCAGCTTAAAACATACAAGGATCCTCTATATTTCAGACCTTCGTTTCCTATCAGTGGACTTCCTGAATACATTCTTACTGACGTACCGAGTGTTCACCGATGGCGTCACAGTATTGGAAGCTCTCAAGCAGGTGTTCTACGAGCAGTCCGTAATAGAGGTGGACCCGCCTCCTCCCGTCGATTCCACCAGAAAGACCAGTGCCGCTAGTTCTGTATCTGGTGAGTAGATCTTATAATATTTTACCAGTTTCTATAATTTTCTTACACACAATTTAAGAATAAACAATAGACCGGTCACTCTTAAATTTCAACAAAACCTTATTTTTTTATATATAATCATCATCATCATCATTCATCATTTCAGTCGTTAACTATCCACTGCTGAAAATTAGCCTTTTCCATAAAAATAGTTTTGCTAGTAGTTGCCACGCTTGGCAGACGGGTTGGCAACCGCAATTAGGCTTTTAGAGATATTTTAAGAGGGACGCTGCTGCCCATCCCTGTAGCTCCCATTAAGTTCTTAGTCGCCTCTTACGACATTTACGGGAAAGAAAGTGGTGGCTTCTTCTATGCCTATGATATTATCTTAAAAAATGGCCAAAATATGGTTGTAGCTCTATGTACCTATACTAAACACGAGTTTTCGTTTAACAACGCGCAAGATATGGAGATTGGATGTTATTATTTCTTGTTATTGGCCCAGGTTATGGATCGGAGTACAGTGATCGGGATTGGCAGACACGTTTTTGGAAACCAGTTAAGAAACGTAAGTCTGTTTTATTCTCTTGTTTAGCAGCTGTGTTTGGATGTCTCGGTTCGAAAGGAATTATAAGGTACGGAAGTGAATACCTTAATGCTTAGGAATGGCAACGAATGAGGGGTAGCATGGGCGTAACGATATTATCTGTTATGTCCATGGTGCTGTTTACGTTTATAGGCGACCGTTGTCTTTTACCATCAGGTGGACCGTCAGCTTATTTTCCATTAAAATATTTGCTAGCTATATATTTTGGTTCTTTACACTATTATTTATTATTATTCTCTATTCGCTTTCCTCCTTCATTCTCTGATATTGTATGTGTACTATATGTATGAATATAATATATAATATTTATCTAAAACATGCTTGGAAATGTGAGCATTATTTTGACAATCTTCTTCGAGATGAATCAAAATTGTCGTACTGGCCAGATACTTGTGGGCAGCGACCGGCAAAAGTTGTATGAAAATCCATATCTGTCGTGTTTTGCGGCCAAAAAAATTACTATGTAAACTCATATCTGTCCTGTAATTTAAAAATGGAATAACCTTTTACCTCGAAATATGGCTTCCAAAGAGGTAACTAATAAAAGGTTTTATTTAAATTTCGAACCGGCTTGTAAATAGAAAACTGTTTATTGAAAAAAAAAACAAAGGAACATTATGGCGCGTGAAAAATTATTATTGCCCGTTTTTCGTCATTGAACTTAAAAAGTGTTTTTGATTTCCGCGCATTGTTTGAGAAAAGTACTATACAAGCCTTGGCCACAACTAGGCATTGATGGGCTCACGTATGTGTGCCTCGGCAACGTCTCGGCCCACATTTGCACGTTCGTCCATCAATGCCTCAGTTGCTGGCCACTGCAGTAATGTACTAGTATTACAACCCTCATTTTTTAATTTGTTATGTTGTAAGTTTGTTAAGAAATCGAAAATAAAATAAGTAATTTCTAGGTACGTACATAAATTATACCTATATAGATATATAGGTATAATTTATATTTTTAATTTACAATTTCAGAAGAAGAAGAGGACAAATTGACCCCGACCATAGCACCGTCGCGGAGACCATCCGCTATATCTTTGGGCAAGGTAAGGCTTATTTTATACTTAGTAACACTTTGTGTAGTTAAGGGGCGGCTGTAAGCAAACCCTTATGTTTTTGATGTTACCATTATTATTCAGTTAAATTGTTTGTATATATTTTTAAACGAAACTAATAATATAAAAAAAAAAAATATATTATTTAACATATTTCTTTAATAACCAACGTAACAGTTTTCGTCATAAAATGGCCAGTCAATGTTGACATTATAATTTTAAAATTAATAAAATAAAAAATAACAGTGATATTAATAATATTGGAAATATAAAATAAAAATAACATTATAAATTAATTACTGTACATGTAAATAACGACGATGATTGTGACCAGTTTTAAAATTGGAATTGTGTTACAATTAGATATAACGACAATTGAACACAGCGTTCTAAATTTTAATAACTATTTTTTTTATCCCATATTATATGGTATTTATATCAAAAAGCAAAAAGTAGTTATTGGCAGCTCTTTTGCATTTAATTTATTTTTAATATCGCCAGACCAATTCAGTATTTTTAAAGATAGGTTTGTCTTGTGTATATATAATTTATATTGTTTATATAAGAAGTCTATATATACAATTATATTATATATATATATATATATATATATATATATATATATATATATATATATATTATATATAATTACTAAAAAGTACAATTTAATATTAAAAATTCTAAGCTATTTAAAGAAAGTAAAGATAGTGACTAATAACATTAGGTTACTGTTGTTGGTTGCACAGGAATTTAACAATCAAAATACGAATCGGCGATCACTTTAAAAACTCATATCAGATCATCAGTCAGTCATATATATATATTTGGTTATCTGCATGTCGTGTATTAAATATGTTGTAGTTATATTTTATATATATATTGTGCCGCCAACCATCGATACCCATATCTAAGACGTAGTTCTCATTTTAGAAAATAGCGCTCGACCTGGCCAAAAACCTCGAAACCGCGTGTGCGGTGTTAAAGCTAACCAATAATGGACCTAAGGTAAGTGAGAACAAGACGCATTATGCTGAAGCTACTACTTCTAGCAGGAAAATATATAAATAAAAAAAAATCTATTTAGAAACACCAGCTTTCGATTTATTCGAGTAATCGCACATTTGTGGGCTCTATGTAATCTTAATCGAAGAAGACGTCATGGGAATAAAAAGGAATAGTGCAGTTTTTAATAAAACAGTATTTTAGTAAGAGTACCCGGATTGACTTACGTGTATTTTGGTCGAGATTTCTCGACTAGTTTCGGAATCATCCAGGATCTTTAGTAATGAGTAAGTTAATCTGGGTGTTCTTACATTAAAGTAGTTTTATAAAATGATAATAATTTTATAAAACTAAAAAGTATAATTGATTTTGATGCTGCTTGTTTTTTTGGGAACTTGATACTAAGAACAAGTTAGAGTTGAACATAATGTGCTGTACTCTGATACAGCCAGATGCATCTGCACATTGTGCAAAGTTTTGGCGAGCAATGGGAAAAATATGACTTTTTATTGCATTTTTTTATTTCTTTTTTTATTTTGGGTATTTACAGCCATATTAAATATTAGATTATTATTTAATTCCATTTTTTATTATAGATAGATTATTATTTTGTAGACTTGTTTTTTTCTAAGTTCTCGTTACTTTGTTTTTGCTTCTTGTATGTCACAACTATATCGTGTATGTAGCATATTTTGGCGAAATAAACATTCGTGTAATTTAGTTTCAATGATTTAATAAAACAATAAAAAAATGCAATTGGTCAGAGTACATACTGTTTTAATTATATGTATCAGACATTTTTGATGGAACCCATTGATAACATTGGACATTTCTTTTTCTTTCAAATCCATTATTTATCTACTGCGCATACCTTATTTTTCCCATGGGGTTTTCATTAATATTTGCCATGCATGATCTGTTATTTAACTCACAATTTTCTTTGGCTTTACTTTTTAATTTTTTTACTTTTTTATTTCGATTAGATCACCCGAGACAATAAGCAATATTATGTATATTATAAGCACATCAGCGTCAAATAAGTATTTGGAAATAAGTTGTCGATTGTTAGTATTTATGTTATCCCTAAGTTTGTTCAGGACTTTGTAGTCATAGTACCGAACTATATTTATTATAAAAAAGTGTTCTATACTTTTATAAAGTGGCTTTGGCATACTGCCGCCCCTTCCATATTAGTATATATATGCGTTGTTACTTATAGTTATATTATCTGAATTAAATTAATTATATTAATCACTTTACTAAAAGAAGAATCGGAAATCCTCTTACTTTATCGAAGGAGAAATTTACTTGGAGACTATCTATTCCATAATGTTGGTTGATATATTTAATTTTGATCTATATACCATTCTCTCACGCTCTCTTAAGACCGAAGAGGACAGTACTCACTTAACTATACCAAAAATAATGGCCACTTCATCGAGCAACGAGACATTGAAAGGTAATCTGTTTTTGAAATCACATTAATAATTTTATGTCATTTCTAATTACGTTTATATTATATATTTCAATATTTCAATTCCTTGTATTTGCGCGACTTTAAGCTGTACAGCTTCCGTGCACATTTGCATAAAAGCAATCAATACACCTCTCCGTGGGTACAGAAATTAGGGGGAAGGGATAGTTAGTAATGGGAAAGTCTAAAAGCCTAAGAACTCTCGAATTTTGAGATTTGTTAGTAGCGGGCATTAGGGTTCAATTGGTATCAATGCACCCTATCAGGTTGACCTCCACGCGGTACGTCTTGGAAACCGTTGTGATTAATTTGTTGTTAATTTTTTATGATGGGACAACTGACCTGCTTACAACTTCATCATTTCGTCCTAAAGTGGTGTCCCGCTACTGTATACCGTTAGCATAGGCAGTTACACCATTTCATCTGCATCCATTAAAAAAAGTACAGAAGCTGAGTAGTTTTGTGAATGTGCCACAGAAGCAACGTCATGTCTCAACGCGTATGTTGTGGTACTGGATCCTTTAATAAAATGATATAAAAAACATTTATAAATTGCCCTCTTTCCTAGGTGAGCCACCAACATCGCCCGGTGCGGTAAGCTCTGTAACTCTAGTTGGAACATCCAAAGATGATAGTAAAGATGAAATCGAGAAAGAACCAGAGAGCAGCACTAGTAAGATCGAGGAGAAAACCCCGGAGAAAAGTGCCAGTGGACCGAAAACCTACGTAAAGGAAGAAAGTATTGAAATGGTCGAGCAAACAATGGAGAATAATAACAATATGAGATTCAAAGATGAAACACCCGAGAAAAGCAAGTATAAAATGGAGGAGGGGAAGTTCAAGATCTCACAGAGGTTTTCGGAGGCAAGTTAAATGAAAAGAAATCTTTTTTTGTAAGGCTTAGAACCGCAAACGAGTTAATGGAAAATGGTAACCGTCACTAACTAACTATTCGCTCTGTGTGTTCTACCGTTTGTATAACGGATTGTGCTCAGAAGAATTGTTCAATATGATGCCCACGGCCACTTTCTACCATCGTACGGCTTACTATTGACAGGGAGTTCATCCTCATGTCCTACAGCCTCAATGGTCGCGTACAGCGCGGTTTTAGAGATGTTTCCTTTCATGAACACTAAGGTTATGGAATGAGCTCCCTGTTGAGGTTTTCCTAAGAGCCTACAGCATGGGGTTCTTCAAAAGGGGGTAAAGAATGTTTCTTCAGGGTCGGCAATACACGCGTAATACCTCTGGTATTGCAGGTATTCATAGGCTACGGTAACCACATACCATCAGATGGGCCGTATGCTTGTTTGCCATCTTAGTGGTATAAAAAAAAGACGTGAATAGTGCCATGTATATTAATAAATACACTGTGATGCCCACGGTATCTCTCATGCAATGCCATTCCTGACAAGCATGTGTTATGTCTCCGTACTCTGTAATTTCACTGCTATATTTTCAAACCGGAGGAGTCATGAGAGCACAGGTACTGGTATGGTACTGCACATGTGTATAGGCGACGGTTACCACTTTCCATCAGGTGGACCGTTAGCTTGTTTGCCACTCTAAGTTGTATAAAAAAAAAGCTTCACGGCAACACGAGAGGGGTAGAGATACCGTGTTCCGTACGACGCCTGCTAGTAGTGTCCCCGCCCGCAGTACTCGACGCAGTGCGAGCAGCGCGCGCGCACGATGTCGGAGAGCCCGCGCCGCAACCAGCTGTCGGCGTCGAGCGCGGCGCCGGCGGCGGCGGCGGCGGCGGCGGCGGCGGCGGCGGCGGCGCGCGCGACGGCGCGCGCGCGCCGCGCCGCCCGCCGACCTGCGCCGCGCCTCCGACACCGCCGCGCGCTACGGCCCGCGCCGCTCCGTCAGGTAACACGCTCCTGCACCTTTTTACTTATTCATATTGAAAAACTTATTTAAAAGTTAGTTAAAAAAAGTTTGTTATAATGTTTTAATATTTTCAACGTTTTCACGCTCCTATCTCCTATTTTCGTTTTAGCGGTTCAACTTTCTAATGTTTAAAACGATTCAACAATAAATCGTTTAAACGTTTTAACAAATTTGGGGGGAAAGGGATTGTTAGTAATGGAGACTGAGAATCCCATTGCTAACAATATACCCAACCAGGTCGACCTCCTCGCGGTTCTCCCTGGATACTATCATGGTTAATTCCTGATGAATTCATCATGATAGGCTAACTGGCCTGCTTTCATTCTCATCTTGATATTTCCCTTCACTGGTGCTCCGCAAGCGTATACCGTTAGCGCAGCCGGGGTTACCATACCATTTTCACCCATAAAAAAAAGCGTTTTAACACTGAACATTTACGCTCAGCTTCATCAGTAATAAACTTTCATATCGACACAAACTATATGTTTACTATATTACATCCAGAAATTTCCGCCTAAATGATGAATGATGTCATCCAGTAATTAAGCAAGGTTATTATTTTTGTAAACTAGCTTGAAATACATTTATTTATTTCTACTGTTAAATGTGGATATTAGTCATTACGTGAGTCAGTAAAATTTTTAGCTAAAGATCTTATTGATAAATCTTCTTTGTCTTTTTTTTTTTTAATTTAATAAATTACATACATTTTATTAGATCTACTAGCCACCGACCTAGGCCGAGCCTGTATCTCATCTTCTCCTTCTTTCTTCTTGTTCTTGAATAAAACTGGATAATTCATAACGTGTGTATTCACAGCGAGAGACGCTACACCAGTTCGTCCATCAACAGCGAGCGGCGACGGTTCTGGGGCAGCTCCGAGCCGCGCTCCTCTGTCGCCTCACAAGTGTCGCAAGGCCCGGTGCGTAGTCATTTTATATTATTCAATGTTATATCAATCAACTGCAATCATTATCATCATCAAACGCCAATGATGGCTTAGTCGGATAACACTTAAATGTCTTCCAGTGATCAATTAAATTAAATGCACATTAATTAATTTAACTTTCTTCTCTTTTCATTTAAGAGTTACCTCTTATCGGTGCAACTAATTAATGTATCTTCTTCCAGCCAGTTCTAACCCAGGCCATATCCTTGACCTCCCTATACGACATGACACCTAGTGTTTCTTTTATCTGTCCCATGTAGTTATTCCTTGGTCTTCCTCTTCCTCTTTTGCCTTCTATTTTTCCCTCGACTATGCTCTTAAAAAATCGTCATGTCGTATAAGGTGGCCCAGCATTTTGCCTCTTCTATTCTCCATTATTTTAATTAATGTTCTTTTCTCGTTCACTCTTTTCAGGACTTCCTCATTCGTTAGTTTTTTGCCCAGCTTATCCTTTCTTATTGAGACAATAATTTATAACCATATCAGGCTTTAACTGTCTACTCCTGGGGAGACAGAGATTGTTAATAATGAGATCCAGTAGACCTATTACTAGCAATAAACCCTAACAGGTCGACCTCCACGTGGTTCCTCCTGGAAACCATCGTGACAAATTTTTGATCAATTCATCACGAGGGGCCAACTGACCTGCTTCATTTTCGCCTATCATCCCTCACTGGTGCCCCGCCACCGTATCCCAATAGAACAAGCGGAGTTACCATTCCATTTTCATCCATAAAAAAAAACTGTCCACTCCTGAACATATACCTATATAGTTATACAGGGGGAGGCCTATATTTACAGAACATATATAGCGTCAGGGAAGTTCTTCTCTAGAAATCTGTCTGATTCTTTTTTTAAAAGCTTTTACATCGCGTTTAGTCCCGGTTGTATATTTAAAACTTGTGGAAATAATAACGCGAAAGTTTAAAATTAACTAATAATTACTAAGACAATAAAATTGTTGTTTTAAAGAATTTCCGACGGGATTTCACTCAGCCGAAGGTGGGAGTGGTCATCACCTCTTTCAGGCAGTCTCACAGAAGGTAACTACACTTGATGTTCTACGTAATCCATTCATTCATAACAAAAAAGAGCCTACATATCGACTGTTGAAAGTTTTTATCTATGTTATTACCTAGTTTCATTAGAACTTTTAACTGGAGTTGATATCAAACAGCATGAGAAGCAATTGAACCATAGATAAAGAACTTTGATGGTATTAAAGGCAGCTCGCGTTGTCGTGGCATGTCTTCCATAAATAAGAATTTAAAGCTAGCAATTCTTTTGCACGTGGTTCTACAATTAACAGTATTTGTTTCCCATAGCTCTAGCCTAGTCCTAGCTTAGACATCTATAGGTTTGAATGTTGACAATATAATAATTAATATTCATTTAACAGCTTTGGAAATGACGATGTGTGGTGAGTGATTGGTGGAGGTACAAGTAGATTTCGAATTTTGTAGCGATGCAGTAGAGGATTAGTTTGAAATCTGCTGTTTTATATTTTTTATCTAATATTTTTATACGATCCTATACGATTGAACTCAATGATCTATACCCGATCACATACAACACCACAACAAGGCAAGAACACTTGGAAAATAACTTGAAAAAGGTCACGTAACGGATTCGACAGCATATACATTTTATCGTTGAACAATTTTTTATTGGCAACTCTTATTACGATTCTTATTTACGATTCTGTTCTTGTTTTGACTAAAAATATAATTATTTCAGATTTTTAACACTTTAAAACACAGCAGCATAGATTTACACTTTTATCTTTTTTTCATTACTCGTGCATTCGTTTTCAATGAATTTGTTTAGTTTAAGAGAAACATTTTACTCTGCATTTACCACTGTGTCATTGTTTCATTCTAATTTGAGTTTACTTTCTGCATTATCGTCTGCTTTTTTACTATGCTCCTATTTATTATCTTCAAATTAATTTATTAAATTAATACACATTCATTTCTCACAAGATTTTTACTTTTTTATAATTATTTTACTTCAATTATAATTATTTTTAATATTTTAAAAAAATACCTAAAATTTTTTAAAGGACCTTAATTTTTAATATATTTGATTTAAATCAGTGAAATAAATTATTGATTAATTGTTTAATTATTATGAATGCATGTTTTATTAATTGCTGAATTATTAACGGAATATTATTACTAAAAAGTATACAACATTTTATTATTTTGCCTTTGCAATATTGCAATAAATTATTATTAATGTAGCTATTTTTTACATGTTTTTAATCTGTCTATTTAATTATCAACTGCATGCTTCACTTTATTACGTATCTATTATTTTTATCATTAATATTACAGATTAAATAATTCTTTAAAGAAAAAGAAAGGAAGTTTCAAATAAAATTATTAATAAAATGAACAGTAATATTGGTTACAATAAATTAAAAAAATACAGTAACTAGGTACTTCATTTCTTAATAATACAAGTAAGAACCTCACTATTAATAGATAGAAAAACGTAAAAGGGATACGGACAGCATAGTTCGGCAAAAGAGCAAGTGACTCTTTTCTAAGTATAATTACGGACAAGTCTCAATAGTGGATTGGGTTTATTCTAATGCCCATTTACAAGCTCATAAAATTAACTTTACCAAATACTTTTTTTCATGATTCTAATAAAATGTTAGTATAACGAAGTATATTTGTTTCTTATCATGATTACAGGACAATATCCATTTCATTAAAACAAGCACTAGTACATGCAAAGATGCGGTTAACAAAATTAATTGTTTATCATGTAGTTCATTTTTAGTTCCTTCAATAGTATGGTTCACTTCACTGAGTTTCTTTATTTGGGGAAAATCAACCATCCTTACCAGTATTGCAAATTCACTCCATTGCCATGAAATTTAGTAACATTTGAGTTGGAGAAGGATTCTTTTTACTTTAGTTACGCGGATAAAGTCTCAGACTAAAATTAGTTTTAAATAAGATGTAAGTAAAATCACAAGAGAAAATTATTTTCTGTCGTTCCTACGCAGTGAAATCACAGCACTTTCTCAAATGTAGGAAGTAATAATACAATCTACGACAAAAATATATAATAATTAGTAAAATATAGGAGCAGTACATCAACTGCAGCGATTGCATTTGCTGTGGCCACTTCAGGAGCATCGAACCCGAAGACTCCGCCGACCTCTCCGCCGGCCCCACGACGAGATTCTCTCATATCGACAGCTGCTACCATGAGGGTTCTTAACGTGTTGAGGTACGATATAGAGGATGCTACAGTAGGCAGGTTGCTTTATTAAATAAACAGGACTGGTCTTACATTATCTGGAGTCTACGGGAAATTTTTTAACGTTTAAAAATGCTCTTCCCTCCGACGATGAAAAAATACAAGGTCATTATTTTTTGCTAGGATTTAGGGGCAATTTTTGACGCCGTCTATTGCCTCTAATGATAAAAAAACTGGATCATCGCGAATTTGGCCTTCAACGTGGAATAAAATATGATCTTTTTCGGATCCGATGGCTTCTCGCTTAGTCCTCCGCGTCTTTAAGGCCGGTACTGGTAACGTAATCTGTCTACTTTTCACAAAAACTTAATGTTTGCTGAAAGATTTATCCTAAATTTGTCAATGAGTAAAATGATCAGTAATTGGTATAATAATGATTGTAGAAGATCTAAATTGTAATGATTACTTTAGTAGATCCCTCAAAATGGCGCAAATTGATTAAAAAAAAGTAAAAAATATCATTTTTGATTGAAGCCACAATATTTAGTGAACGTGTATATTGACTGGAAGCACCATTGTACACCACATTCAGATATTACTGATATGGTTCTGTTACAATGGAACGTTTGCCCGTACAGTTCGTAACAAATAATACGTTACGAACTGTACGGGCAAACGCAAGACGAACCCCCGCTAGATGGAATGACGACCTAAAATGCATTGCAGGGAGTCCGTGAATGCTGGTGGCTCAGGACCGTTCCTTATGGTAGTCTATGGGAGAGGCTTATGTCCAGCAGTGGACGGATAATGGCTGAAATGATGATGATGATATACGTTATCTCTCTCTCTTTCTTTTCTCTTTTCGCTTGACCAAATTCATGGATCATATTGTCCCTATGTCCGTTTAGAATATTGTGGTCACGTCTTTGTGTCACGGTGCTATAATCAAAAATAATTAAGTATTTTTTTGGGTAACAACTGAAATTATAGATGTTCATAACAATTTCACCCTAAGGCATTGGATCTTGAAACACTCACACGACTTCTGGGTAGACGAGGAACTACGCATGATGACGATGGATTTTATCAAGGAAATACAGAACAGTCCGGCGTTATTGCCGTCAGAGCACAAAGCAGCCGCGCAACTGCTACGCCATCTGGAAGCCGTCCCTGTAACTAAAGTGGATTTGCACGAACTGCTCGCTCCGCCTCCTGTAAGTTTCATTTTTTTATGCAACTTAGAATGGCAAATAAGCTGACGACCCACCTGATGGAAAGTGGTAATCGTCATCTATAGACATGAGCAGTACCATGGACATAACAGAGTATACTGTTTCGTCCATGATACTCCCTAGCGCTGCCATTCCTGAGGACTCGAGTGTTATTCCTCTGTACCCAGTAAATTTACTGCCATATCCCATTCTTCAAACCGAAAAACAACTAATCAATCAACTGTTTCACGGTAGAAACATATATACGACAGAGGGGTACCTCCCGGTCTATTTAACTCAATTGTAATACGTTTGTAGTTATTTTTTGCGTATGTATCAAATGTTTTAATAATTGTTTCATTTCAGGAGCCGTCCAAACTAAGTTCCTCCATGCTGCGCGCACTGGATATAGCTGAGACGTTGACTTACTTGGATTTTCAGATCTTTAGAAACATTAATAGCGAGTAAGTATGTATTTCAAAATTAACTGTAAATTGCAATTTCAGTCGTGTGAATTAGATTAAAATATATCGTATATTTTTATTTATTTAAATAACTTTACTGATCAAAAGGCGGACTTAATGCTAGTAGCATTTTTTATCACTCAGCCTTTGGTATGAACGTGAATCATGAACGCGCGATAGGAATTATAAATGTCGTATGTTTTAATTTAGGTCACTATGAGCCACGCAGTCCTATGTACCACTACTGGCAAACCCCCCTTATGGGGGAGGCGTATATTTAGCAGTGGACAGGTAACGGCTGATATGGTGATGATTCTCCATGTGGTCCCAATATAGAATAGGCCACCACTTCCTTTTTTATGGGTGTCGTAAGAAGCAACTAAAGGAATTTAACGGTAGAGGGATGGGATGAATTAAGGATATGGGATATGGAATGGATTAAGGATATAGGGGATGGATTAGGGATAGGATGGATTAAAACATCTCTAAAAGCCTAACTGCGGTTGCCAACCCATTTGTCAAGCGTGGTAACTACTGGTAAAACTCTCCAAGAGGGAGGTTTATGTTCAGAAGTAGACAGTTAAAGTTTGATGATGATGAAGCTGCAGTTTAATATATACTTAAAAAAATGCGGTTGTCCTATTTCAGAGAGTTGCTGGGCCAGGCGTGGATGAAGCCGGACAAGGCGGAGCGCGCGCCCCACATTCTGCTGATGACCTCGCACTTCAACTATATATGCAACTTCATCATATCAGAGATACTCCAGAAGGAAACCATGCAAGGTATTGTTGCTACTATATTTTATAGCGTATACCAGTCATTCAAAACCAAGTTCTTTGCTAGCTTACTTCCAATAGTTTTGAGTTGTCAAGAGTGACCTTCAGGGTGGCCATATGTTAAGGATTTGGTAGGATTTCAGTAGTCGCCACGCTTTGCAGGCAGATTGGCAACCACAGTCAGGCTAGAGGTGTTCTCAGGACGCTGTTATAGACGTGAACAATGATCAAGGGTCATAATATGTTGTTTTGTGTCCTAGATCGAGTGAACTCAATCGAGAAGTGGGCAGCGGCTGGCGACATCATTCGGTGCATGCACAACTTCAATGGCGTATTGCAGATATACGCTGCCCTCTCCAACACCTCCATCTACCGCCTCAAGAAGACCTGGGAGAGGGTATCCTCGCATGTAAGTCACTACTGATGGACTACATTAGTACTTGGGGGGAAAGGGATTGTTAATAATGAGATTTGACAATGCCATTGCTAGCAATATACACTACCAGGTCGACCTCCACGCGGTTCCCCCTGGAAACCATAGTGGTTAACTGACCTGTCTTCATCCTCACCTGTCACCCTTCACTGGTACTCGTATCCTGCCAGCGTATACCGATAGCGCAGTAAGGGTTATCATTCCATCTTCACCCATAAAAAAAATACATTAGTACTTTATAGTAACGTACTTCGACTATAAAGTTATCTAAATTAAAAAAAAAGAATAATAAAAATTAGGTTTTTATATACATGTACAAAAGTCGTTTGCTTGGCTACCTCTGTCCAATTCGTGTTTCTTTCGTGAAGCAGTTGTGTTTGCATGGCTGTGTTCCGGTTTGAAGAGTGGGATATGGCAGTGAATTTACTGGATACAGAGGAATAACACCTGAGTCCTCAGGAATGGCAGCGCAAGAGGGGTATTATGGGCGAAACAGTATACTCTGTTATGTCCATGGTACTGCTCATGTCCTCTTTGTTACTTTAAGTTGCATAAAAAATCAATGGCAATAATCTTTATATTTTTATAGTGATACGTAAATTATATGAAATATTTACAATACGGATTGCAGACTAAATCAGTAGTGGAGAAGTTGCAAGCGGTTGCCACATCAGAGGGCCGGTTCAGGGTGATGAGAGACGAGCTGCACAGGTGAAGTAATTTTTAGTTACACATAGTATTTGTACATGATTATTTATTTATTTACACTTTATTGCACCAAGATCTGCTACTGGCAATCACCAATATTTTGTAAATAAATGATTATTATTATTATTAAGTAAAAAGAGAAATAACAAATACAGTAAATATTAATGAGAAGTGATACAAATTATTGCATTTTTTATTATTTGAAGTAATATAAAAGGTAATTTTATTAGTACTATTATTTAAGGAATAGACTTTATGAACTATAAATATATAATATAAAATAAATATATAATATAAAATATATAAAAAGGTGCTATTTATATGTTTGCCTTGTTCTGAGATGTTATAGTGCGTAGTGACAGCTTTGTTCCCGTGAACAGATCCGACCCGCCGTGCATCCCATACCTGGGCATGTACTTGTCGGACCTGTCCTTCATCGAGGAGGGCACGCCCAACTACACCACCGACGGACTCCTCAACTTCTCCAAGATGAGAATGGTAGCATATTTATATTTTTATTTTTAATATATTTATCATAATCCAAATTTTTTTTTATTTATTTTATTTGGGATAACAACAGCTTTTTACAAAATTGAATACGTATTACGTTACATTTACTACATGCTAGCCAATTATAGTTATCCACAGCGCAAAACATAAGCATCCGTTAAGCAAATAAAACCATATTCTATAACAATATCAGTATGGCGCATCCGCTACAATGCTCGCGCTGTACGTATACTGTGCGAACACTATAGCCGATGATCCCACAAACCATCCCGACACCAATAAATACGTCACACTTGCGCTAACTTCATGCGGTTGCGCCGCTAGGTAGTGTTGTGGTAAGTACGGGTCTGTCGGAATTTACACTATTTCTCCACAGCATTAACATATTTTATATATTGAGTAAAACAAATTTAAAAATGAAAATGTATACAAAGGAAGATAAAAAATTATATATAGATAATATATATACACATCCATACATATACATATATATATATACATACATACATATATATACACACATACACATACATACATAATATAATTTTGCTAATGTATATGAACAACAACAACAACAATTTAACACGACAGAAATGGTTAATGGGATAGACAGATGCTATTGTCCATTACTTTGTATCATCCTGTGTAAAAAGGATGTTCACAGCACAGCTGAATTATGTTTATGGAGAGCCTTGAAGAATATTGAATAATTTTTTCCCTCAGATTGCGCATGTGATTCGGGAAATAAGAAATTACCAGCAAGTCGCTTATAGAATAAATTATAAACAATACGTAAGTACATTTTGCATTATTTTATTTGTCTTATTATTTTAAAATAGTTTATTTTTTAAATGTCGTCTGTATACACGTGGAACAGTTTGTATGAGGAAAAGAAAGAACGGGATTTTTATGTATTTCTAGGTATTTTTATCGACAGTGAATTAGTGTATAAGTCGGTTGCATAGGTACCTTTGTCCCGTGGTCTTGCTATGAACCACTTGTGTTTCAGTTTGCAACATGGAGTATGACAGTGAAATTACAGGGTACGGAGTTTGAATATTCGAATCGCGGCGTGAATGCGACGAGCAAGTACTCTACGCACACAAGTATCGCTTGTTTGCAGTAGTGTTCTTACCCCAGAATGCTTCCTTGTAGTTTTCTGTACATTTTGTGATATGGAGTCATTTATTTTTTGTTTATTTTATAAAACCAACAGCGGTTTACAAATAAAATTAACAAACATTTTATAACAACGTAGTATGGTCTAAATTAAGTTCGTAGGTTATATAGTTGACAATTGTTAAAGGAAAAGCAGAAAAAATAAACAAATCATCAATACAAGTCATAATACTATAGTCTTTAGAATTAGAATAGGCGACGGTCACCGTTTCCAATCAGGTGGGTCGTTAGCTTGTATTGCAAAAAAAAAATATATTCGTACAGATAGCGGAGTTCATACTGGACCGGTCGATAGTGCTCGACGAGGAGAAGCAGTACGAGCTGTCGCTGCGCATAGAGCCGCGGTGCTCGCGCGGCTCCATCGCCGGGCCCGGCGTGCTCGGCGTGGCGGAGCTGGGCGGCGCGGTCGGCGCGGGCGGCGCGGGCGGCGCGGGCGGCGCGGGCGGCGCGGCGCCGGGCGCGGAGGCGGCGCCGGCGGCGAGCGCGGGCAGCGCGGCCGCGTCCTAGCGCCGGCGCCGCGCCTCGCTCGCCTCCCTGGCGCCGCTCCGCCAGGACCGGGCCTAGGGGGCGCGGGGCGTCCACACCACCACGAGCGCCGGCTCCTCTGCAGTTCGCTTGTGAAGTTCCATGGACAGCGGCGCGGCGCCGGACGATCGCACATGTTTACGATCACAGTGAGCACATATTTACTTATTTATTTTTGGAATTACAATCTCCCTTTCCGACTTTACAGCATATTAGTAGACAACCTGAGACACGTGATTATAAATCCACACAGCTCCTTTTAACGTTTCCAACAATTGAATTTTTATGAAATGAAGATTTGCATTTCAACAACGTGAAGTAGTACTCGTTGTTGCAATTTGATAGAAATTTAATATAAATTTTATTAAATATGTAATAAACTAAATTATACCAGAGCGGAACATTTCCTCTCCTGTGTTTGTTCCCATTGCAAGTAACTACTAGTTCTGTTGTAAGGACGAAATCAATGAATCCAACAAGCCACTAAATATAGAGGTATCTTCCTTTATTCGTACTAAAAATCTCATGTTGTATTCGAAAAATATAAAAATATATTACTTGTTCACGTATCAATTGAACTTATTCATCAAAGTCTTGCTAATTTTATAATCAAATCAGACGATCAAGAAAATAAATAAAATTTAACATAATACTCGTTTAATACCTAAAATCACGCCCTTTAATTATATTAATACGTTAATAAATATATAAAAAAAAAATTAAAATGTTACATTTAATATTCTAATTAGAATGTAATGTATAGATAATAAATTGTTGAATAAAGCAAGACGAGCTGCCTCGGAAACTCTATTTTTGTATAAATCTTCATCGTCAATTAGTTAATAATGTACTAAATCATTGGAACATATCACTTAATGCATCCACTGTGGACGGTAATGTACTATCCTAACTTCTCTACGTAGGCCTATCTTGACAAGTTGTCTGAATATATTAATGATAGAATTATTAGAACCATGAATTATTTAGTAATCTCCAAATAGAATGAAATATTTAAATCTGTTATAGACACTTCTAATTTGGGTTTAGCCATTGGTACATAGAACGATATATGTGTTTAGGTTAGGTAAGTTGGATAATTTTATGAGCTTATGACATGAACATGTATCAATTGTACAGTGCAGTTATAAATTTTTTAATGATTATATTTCAAATTAGTGTGCAAGTGGTTGTTACCTGTTACTAAATGGTTGTTGATGTCATTTCGACTGCTTTTATACAAATATCTTTATATTTCCCCTATTACATGTTAGTGTAATAAGATTAGATCGGTAGGTATCCCAAGGAGGTGTTCTAGGACCCGTTCTATTTCATGCGATAGTCGCGTAGTTAAGTTTACTTATGCAACGCTATAGTCATGTTATGTCTGAGATATTTAATAACCCACTTATTCCTAAACACGTCCTTCTACAAATCTATAATATTTTAATTATTACACTAATATGTCACTATCTATCAAATAGGGAATTTAATTCAAATGAAAGAGACAGAACAGTTAAATAAGCTAAAATAGGTTGTATGACGGGTTTGACGTTTTTATGAATAAGGGGGTGAATAAATATCTCATAGATTTAGAGCATCGCAATACGCCATGCGTGGAAATGAACGAATTTAATTTACCTATATAGCTAACGACTGAATAGTTAAATGTGGACAAATGTTTGCTGGCGATAATGTCTCCTCTTGAGTTATCGAGGACGGTCTGTGTCCACGAAACGTCTGATGTAACCAAACGTGATGTCAAGTGAGAATATTGTATCGTTCGTAAGTCTTTTCTACGTCCTTTTCTATGTCATTTAATGTTAGTGTTACAATGTGTCAGTATTTATTTGGATGTATTAGGGAAAGTGAGGAAGTATGTCTAAAATTATTATGTAGCAATTTACATTCCCATCAAAGCAATGTATTTGCTGGTAATAATACCATCAATAGACACCATTGAACATGATTTTGACATCTACCGTTTATCTAGTTTTCAATTATGCAATACTGTTAGTAAATTTTTAAAACAGTCTAACTGTGTTGTAGTTTAATTTAACTGTCTCTTATAAAATGGCTGTTATAGTTAAAGCGTGTTAGAGTAAAGATAAATCTTAATGATTTACCACTTTTGACTTGATATGTGCACAATTTTTAAAAGTATTAATACCTACTTCGAAGGCTGTTGTAAAATCTATGCGAGTGATTTAAGATTTGGAAATTTTTCATAATGTAGGCTAAGGTTCGTTTTGTGTTAAATATTGTCTTCCCTTATTCGTGTACCTTACTGTCTTATTTTTCTATGTAAATTTGTAATTTAGAGTTTAAGATCATATTTTGAAGAGATCTTTTCACGTCGATATTATCATGTGACACTTATGAAAATAAAATTATGACATAACTACGCTTCTATTTTGAAATCTCTTATGAATATCTAATAAGGATTTTTAATGAATTAATTAAAAATTGTGTGTGTTGATAAATTTTCTTCTGAGCTACCTCTTCTTATAAATTCTAAATATATTATAAATTTTAAAATGTTGTTGATGAGTGTTTCGTCATCGTCGTCATCGCATCACATTTAAATATTTTCAAGTCGTCTTTAGTGTTTAAGTATTGGATAAATAAGATTATTCGATCATTGATTAAGATCTATTTTGTGTAAAAACAATAATTACGCATTGTTAGTAATTTAATTGGAATTATTAACTTATTATATTATACATAATACATGAAAACGTACGTTCCATATATTTTTTCTAAATCAAATAATCAATTTTGTGATTTATACTCTTTGTTTAGTAAGTAGTACATGATCCGTGGGAATGTAAAGCTAAATTAAGATACAAATGATTTGATCTGTTTCCTTGAGTATATTTTTCACAAAAAATATTAGAAATATATTTTTTTACTCTACACATTTATAACGATTTGTGCTTAGGAACTTGCTTAATGGCTCATCTTAGTTCAGCAAATTGCGCTCTTTAGTAAAATGTTGGCTTAATTGAAGTTTTTTTTTTTTTCAAAATGAATTTTAGTGAAAAAGCCTAAAGAATATTAGTATTTTTTTTTCTTCTCAAGTATGTTGAAAAATTGATCTTTCTCAGTTCAGTTTATTGAAACTCATTTTGCTAACATTTTAAATCAATATTTTACTAATAGTGTGAAAGTTTTTAGTAAATATTCAGTAGCGTATTAACAGTTTTTTTTTCTAGATGGATAGTTTATTTATAATATAACCAGTATGGATGTAAAGTGCAAATATGAAATGAGGTATGGTGATGTATTTCAGAAATTTATTTATTTATTTATTGTAATTGTTACGTCATACAGCAACTGAATTTTAGTGGTAAAAGGAGTCTTTATCATTTAATATATTAAATTTGAAACATACGATTTCTTAAATTAAGCTCACTGATGTTTAATTGATGAAAATTGAATGGTAGCCCCGTCTGTGTTAACGGTACATACTAGCGGAGCACCAGTGAGCTCCAGTTAGTTCATCCATAAAAATTTTACAAGAATTAACTACGGTGGTTTCCAGGGGAATACACGTAGACACGGGACCCCATTACAAACAATTCCTTTCTCTCTGTAACTGACGTTTATAGATTTTATGAACTATGTATCAACATCTTAAAAAAAGCATAAAAATTCTTAAACTTATATTTTTAAACGAATTTTGGTTAAATTTACCTGTCTTTTTTAATAGATTAATATATAAAAGTAACCTGTGCTTTTAATTGGTTTTTTTTTTCATTTATTTTAACTGACGGCGAGTATTTGTTGTTTTTTGTGGAATGCCTTATTTCATATCTGCACTATGTATACTCATATATATTGAGTTTGAGTTTATCCAATGTCCGTTACGGTTTACAATTAAATAGGTATAATAAAAAAAATTGGTGCACTAAAAGTATAGAATGCTCTAAAGTGCACTTTATAAGTAACTATTAAAAAAAAAATTTATATAGAAATACGATGGGAGTACTTTGCCGAGTAGAATGTAGCAAACATCTGAAGCAGTTATGAACTAGTCATGTGTTATTCCCAATTCTATATGCTGTTAAGTAATTATGTTAAAATATATCTATATAAATAGATTTTAGACATATATATATATATATATATATATATATATATATATATATATATATATATATATATATATATATATATATATATATATATATATATATATATATATATATATATATATTGTTAAAAGCTACATAACATTTTAATATCTTATTTCGTTTAGCACTTTAGAACGTACAAAAAAAATCAAGTGAGATAATTTTAGAAGTTTTGCTCGCTACAAACGGGTATGTTCATGTACCTACTAATAATGATTTAAGTATTATATAGCGATGAGCAGATCAATATGATTGAATGATTTTCAACAATGACGAGAAGGGAAAACAAAGATGGCAGACACAGTTAATGGATACGTAAATATTGTTATGAGTTAACTGGCATTAAATTTGTAGAATAGTATGTGTTGGATAAAAGGAATTATAATTAATTTTGACAATTCATTTTTAAAATATTTTATGATCGCTTACTAATAATAAAAAAGAGCTTAAGACAACCAGATAAATCAGCAACGTGATGATTTGTCTATGGTACAGTACGTTCCGAATTTATTCATTGAAATGGTCGGTCTCAGAGAGTCACAGATATATAAAATATGTTTTTTTATAACGAAGTTCTTAATTTTGCATCTTTTTTTAATTTTTTTTGCAACTTAGAATGGCAAACAAGCTGACGGCCCACCTGATGGAAAGTGGTAACCGTCGCCTATACACATGAGCAGTACCATAACCATAACAGAGTATAGGTACTGTGTTGTCTATGATATTTTTCATGTGTTGCCATTCCCGAGGACTAAGAAGTTACGCCTCTGTACTCTTTAATAACATTATTTTTGTTAGTAACTATTTATCATGAACAATTGGAAATAAAATCAGGTTGTCTGTAAGAGATTGCTTCTAGCGATAAGCCCGCCTTTTGTATATGCACATTCTGTATAAATACTCCTTGTATACATCTCTACTGTGCGCAATAAAGAGTTTATTATTATTATTAATTATTACCTGATCAATTTTTATAATTATGCTTGATCATGCAAACGTATTAATTATTTATAATTTATAAAATAATAATTATAAATATTAGTTTATAACGAACTACCAGAGGGAGACTTTGTACAAAAGTCGATTGCTTGGGTACCTCTGTCCCATTCGTGTTTCAACCGTGAAGCAGTTGTGTTTGCATGACTGTGTTTCGGTTTGAAGGGTGGGATATGGCGTGAATTTACAGGGTACAGAGGAATAACACCTGAGTCCTCAGGAATGGCAACGCATGGGGGGTATCATGGGTGAAACAGTATAGTCTGCTATGTCCATGGTACTGCTCATGTCTATAGGCGACGGTTACCACTTTCCATCAGGTGGGCCGTCAGCTTGTTTGTCATTCTAAATTGCATAAAAAAAAGAACTAACTTATTTAAAATAAACTAAAAATATTTTTGCATTCCTATAATAATATCCGACGAGATATGATAAAAAATATTTTTTTAATGTATCAATTTCTATATAATTGAATGAATACGTGACATATGTAATATATAAATACTAACATTTGTTTTTAAATCTCATTATTTTAATAGCCGCATGAAATAGATACAAAATTAATTTCCCTTCTCGTCCGAAGTATTAACTACTGTAATATTTTATTAACATTTTTCTAATGTGATATTAATATTTATTTCGTTCCTTACAGATATCGTTCTATGAAACTCGTACTATGTACATAACATGCAATGCATGCAAGTGACGTGCTATTTATATACCAGCTATTTCCCGCGGCTTTGCCCGTGGGTATCAGTATGTAAAGTATCCTATGTATTAAGTTAGTACCTAAAACATTTAAAAGTTCGACAACGTACAAGCGACTCCTCAGGTGTTCATGAGCGACGGTAGTCGCTTGCCATCAGATGGACCATCTGCTCGTTTGCCACCCTAACAATAAAAAAAAAAGTTAGGATATAATTCAAACACTTTGAACTTTTCAAATGTGATTATGTAACTAACATATAAACATTCGAATATATAATATTTAAAATTTAGATATTAATTTTTTTATTATAAAATGGATTAATTTTTGATGGATATAAACATACTACGTCGACCCCAAATAGTTGAGATAAAGTCAGAAATACACAACTATATAAACTATATGGGATGAATTTTCGATGCAGCCTAACGGATTCTTTATTTAAATTTTATTGATTTAAAACAAGAATAGTTAATAGTTTAAAGAAAAAAATTAAGTTATATTACCTTATTATTTTCCAAGGCGGGCTTTAGTGAACTCTGTTTTTTTTTTTAAATTAAGTATATTTTGGTATTAGCATATTAAAAAGATATATGCTAATAGAATAGAATAGAATAGAATAGAATAGAAAATCATTTATTCAAATAAACTTACATTGAAGCACTTTTGAATAGTCATTACATTTTTTTTAATCTACCGCTCGTTCGGAAAGCTGTCTCATCACAAGAAGAACGAGCAAGAAACTTGCGTGTTTATATGATAATAGAAAATGTAAATGGTTGAACATTATATTTGAGTATATACAAAATTTTATACATATAATATATACAAATATTTAAAAAATATAATCTATCTATTATATACACACCTTACATCTACGTGCTACAAATATCAAAAACAAGTCCTTAAAAAAATATTTAAAGATGGTAAATTTCTTTGAGATCACTGCCAACTGGGTATTTGAGTATTTGAGATTTTTTTTTTACCAGAGGGAGAGTTTGTACAAATGTCGATTGCTTGGGTACCTCTGTTCCATTCGTGTTTTTACCGTGAAGCAGTTGTGCTTGCATGGCTATGTTTCGGTGTGAAGGGTAGGATATGGCGTGAATTTACTGGGTACAGAGGAATAACATCTGAGTCCTCAGGAATGGCAACGCATGGGGGGTATCATGGGCGAAACAGTATACTCTGTTATGTCCATGGTACTGCTCATGTGTATAGGCGACGGTTACCACTTTCCATCAGGTGGGCCGTCAGCTTGTTTGCTATTCTAAGTTGTATAAAAAAAATTTAGATTATGGTTGAGTATTGTATCTTATCTCAGTGTCGTAAGCAATGACGAATATATTTAATAGAAAGATATCGAAATATTGTTTACATTAAATTTTATTTATTTTTATTGTTACAAGTTTCAGAATATTTAAAACAGACATTATATTTTAATGTAATAATAACCGGTTTAAATTACGTGTAATTAGATCGTAAAAGCTCGACGACTTTCGGAATCGATTCGTGGTTAGTCACGAGGGACTGTGACGCGAGCACGAGCCTCACAGTGGGCCTTTTTACTTTACTACCATACATCTTGGTGCTTTCGCTTTTGACAACTTTTATGCTACAAAATTTATTGTAATATTTAACATTTTTGCATTAAAATATATTTTTGCAAAAAAAAAGGGGGTTTTGCCAGTTTTCTTACTTAATGGTCTGTATCTATTAAGGAGCGAAATGAATGTTAACATTAAGCTATTATAGGTTATATTATATTTATGTACACAATGGTCGTGTGTATATAGGTAGACGAGCTCAATGTGTTACTGTTATTGTTAATGATCTGACCTCATCAATTGTTGTTCTATCCACCAATAAAGTTATCATTATAAGTTTACATATTGTTTTATTTGTTTTTAAAAAAATAATACTAAATACCAGAGGGAGACTTTGTACAAAAGTCGTTTGCTTGGCTACGTTTGTCCCATTCGTGTTTCAACTGTGAAGCAGTTGTGTTTTTTAAATAATGGATGAAAATGGAATGGTAACCCCGCCCGCGCTATCGGTATACACCGACGAGGCACCAGTGGAAGGTGATAGGTGAGAATGAATGTAGGTCGTTGGCCCATCATGATGAATTCGACAAGAATTAAGTGTGATGGTGTCCAAGGAGAACCGCGTGAAGGTCAACCTTAGAGGGTCTATTGCTGGCAATGGGGCTATTAGACTTCATTACTAACAATCCCTTTCCCCTTGAAGCTGTTGTGTTTGCATGGCTGTGTTTCGGTTTGAAGTGTGGAATATGGCTGTGAATTTACAGGGTATAGGGGAATAACACCTGAGTCCTCAGGGATGGCAACGCATGGGGGTATCATGGGCGAAACAGTATACTCTGTTATGTCCATGGTACTGCTCATCTCTATAGGCGACGGTTACCACTTTCCATCAGGTGGGCCGTTAGCTTGTTTGCCATTCTAAGTTGTATCAGAAAAAATAGCATAGGAATCTCTTAAATCATAGTATAATTAAAAATAGTATTCCACACAAAATACTGACTTTGTGGCAAAACAAGTTAGTCTGATTTGAAAACTAAACTATCGAACCGATTTTCATAAAATGTTTATGCGACCAATCTTTAAGTATATTCTTTCAGATAAAAAGAGAATTTCCCAAATAAATTTACAGCTGACGGAATTATGAGTTGACAAACATAAAAAAAAAATACAACCGATTTAATTACCTTCTTGTTTTTTAAGTCGGTTGTAGTTGGTTAACATTAATACTTGAGTAAAATTATTAATCGAATCAACTTAGTAGTCGGAAAACATTAACACTTGAATGAAATTTTTAGTCGAATGAAATTAGTAGTCGAATAATCCTAATGAATTGTTAAGTCGAATAAGTGGATTAGTAAAGTCGCACATCGCTAATGCAAATGTAAATAGTTTCAGTAAGTATAATGCATTTGTTGTAGATTCATACGTTCATAGTAACTGTTTGCAATTTGCATACGCAAGGACGTTCTAGCGATAAATTTTGTCATACCATGATACATACAAGCAAATATGTATAAGAGGAATGGTCTGACGAATTCTCTATTATTAAGGAAACGTGTCATAATTGTTGCTTTATATAAAAACTAGTTTTTACCCGCGACTTCGTCCGGGTAACAATATGTTTACTGACCAGGATAAAAAGTAGCCCATGCTCTTTTCTATCTCATATAGCATGTGTATATTAAATTTAATAGTAATCGGTTAAGTAGGTAAAGCGTTAAGAGGTAACAAATTATATGTAAATAAACTCACTTTCACATTTGTAATAGGTATAAAAAATATAATTTTGAATGTAAAAATTTGCACTTATGGTTTGTTTTAATAGAAATTAATGAAAATTTAGACAAACAAATGATTTGACCTCACCATCGACAGTCTGTTGATGTCCAATTAATTGGTTAAATTGTGCCTATTGTACATTTATAATCCCCCCCCTCCTGACGTAATTCGTACGTCAGGGGGGGGGGAGGATTGTTAGTAATGCGGGCTACCAGTTCCATTGGGGGAAAAGGGATTGTTAGTAATGGGGTCTAATAGGCCCATTACTAGCAATATACCCTCTCAGGTCGACCTCCACGCGGTTCCCCCTGGAAACCATCATGTTTAATTCTTGTCGAATTCATCATGGTGGGCCAACTAACCTGCATTCATTCTCACCTATTACCTTCCACTGGTGCCTCGTCGGTGCATACCGATGGACGTATTGTTATAGCTATCTGTTTGCCTTACATAAATAAATACATTACATAAATAAATAAGTAAATAAATAAATTGTAAGTTGTATAATAAGAGGGCGTGGGATGGGCAGCAGCGTCCCTCTTAAAATATCACCAAAGGCGGTTGCCAATCCGCGTGTCAAACGTGGCAACTACTGGCAAAACTCCAAATTGAGAGGCTTGTGTTCAGCAGTGGACAGTTAAGGGCTGATATCATGATTATAATGAAGAGACTTTTGTAGACAAGGACCCGGGTTCGATTACTGGTCAAGCCAATTTAGAAAAAGAACTTTTCTAAATCGGCTCAAGTCTGGTTGGTATTCTGGGTTATTTATGATCTGGTTTCTCCTAATACAAGGTATCCTTGATCCATGCAGCTTGAATAAGCGACGAATGTTGGCACTGGGTTACTGCTTATTATTGCAAAAATAAACTTTATTTTTTTATTTTAAAATATATTTTTAGCATACAATTAAATTATTCAGACATCAATTCCGTTCGCAGTCTTCTCTGTTTCTTCGAGTTCCTTAAGTAAGGGCGCACTACCACACATGCGGACATTCTTCGTGTAGGCGATCACGGCCACACACAGACCTGAGATGACCAGCCACAGACCACCGATGTAGAAGGTCATATCCCAAGAGCCTGTCAGGTCGTAGAGCATGCCTGGAATGAGAACGGATGTTTATTTTTTTATGAGACTTACACTGACAGGTAAGCTGACAGATTAATTGATGTAAATTGGTAATTATTAATAATGAGAGACGGCTTTTTTTATGCAGAAAAGTTTGTCAAACTGCGACGTCTCCATGATCTTTTGTGCTAATTTCTACCAATGATAGGAATTTTAAGATGTTTTTTGTAGCAATGTTTTTTTATCTTCACAGGATATACAGTGTGTTTTCCAAACGAGATATATCGTTTATGTATGAGTGGGCTCTAGTCACACATTAATTGTTGTGGCGTTTCTTTCTCACTGTGACAAAATCTGCAAACACTTTTTGGGTATAAACCTAGTTGGGCCATGCGTTTGTTTAGTTTGCAGTGTATAGTGTTAATATACACATATTATTTTTACTCAAAAGAATTTTTTTTTTACAACGCAGATGGCAAACGCGCATGCGGCTCACCTGATGGTAAGTGACTATCGCCTCCCACGATCACCCATAACACCAGCGGCATTGCAGGTGTGCTGACGGCCTTTTAAAAAGGAATATATTTCTTTCTCTTTTCTTGATGGTTATGTTGTCGTATCGGTTCGGAAATACTGCTGCTGGAAGTTGATTCCAAAGAATGGTTGTGCGTGGAAGAAAGTGCCTTGAAAAACGCACGTTGGAAGACCGCCACTCGTCCAGATGATTGGGATGAAACTTTAGTTTATGGCGGGTTGTACGGTGGTGAAAATCAGCAGCAGGTATCAATCCAAACAATTCCTCAGAACACTCCCCATGATAAATTCGGTAGAAGATGCACAAAGATGCAACATCTCTGCGCAATTTCAGTGGGTCAAGTCGGACAGTAAGACGTTGACTATCAATAATTCGAGCCGCCCGACTTTGAATGCGGTCTAACGGAAGGAGTTGATACTGTGGCGCTCCTGCCCATAGGTTATAATTTACAATTAATGTGACCTATAAGCTAAAAGATTACTTGATTGAAAGTGGTAACTGTCACCTATTGACATGAAACTCCATGAAGAGCACAGAATACGCTGTGATGTCCGTAATACCTCTTATGAGTTGTTATTCCTAAGGCCTAATATTATAAAATGTTTAAGACAGACAGATATACTTTCATAAGAAGGATTTTAATTAATATCATTTCAACTGATTTGTAAAACCATTGCTACTTTAGCTCGCTTATTCTACTTTTTTGTACGCAATTCATCTCCGGTGTTAATGAATTCATATAACATTTATAGTAAATGTTGTGTAAAGTCAATCCGACTTGAGGCGATGAGGTTGGCAGAAACGTATATTTCTAATGACTTGATTGATTCTCAAAAGAGTTATAACTGATTATGTTAACAAATAAAAATTATCTTATATACCAAATGCAAATATAGGAAATTAAGATAAAAAATGGCAGAGCGACACATTAACCTAGTATGTACAGTGCTGAATTAACAATTATTAAAGTTCTTAATAAACAAACAATTTCCTTATTGCACTTCAAGCAAAAACATAGATATGACTATATAGTACATTACGTGAAATAGTTTTTATAAGGCCTTGTCATGCGAATTGGAAAAAGCCGTAATGCAAGTCGTTTTAAATTACCTATCGTGTTACAATGCAGCTGTTATCAATAGTCCACGATTAACAGGGGGAAAGGGATTGTTAGCAATGGAGTTTGACAGTCCCATTGCTAGCATAATGCCTTATTAGGTCGACTTCCACGTGGTTCCCCTGAAAACCATCGTGAACAATTCTTGTTGAATTCGTCATGATGGGCTAACTGACCTACTTCATCCTCACCTATCATCCTTCACTGGTGCCCCGCCGGTGTATACCGATAACGCGGGTGGGGTTACCATTCCATTATCATCCATTAAAAAAAAATAGTCCACGATTGACAGTAACATTTATTTTTATATTGTTGACAAGTGTTCTACATTTTTGATATAATTGTTTTTTTTTTTATATAATTTAATTATTTTTAAGAATTTTAATGAACCATTTAATTATCATTTATTCCTTTTAAGTTTGTTTTTTTTGTTTTTTGCATGCCTAATTATGGCGAAATATGAGAACTTATACTTATTGTTAACATCTATACACTTACCATGTTTCTTGTAAATAAATAAATAATAAATAAATTAACAAATTACCTCCAATTGGCGGTCCAACCAAATGTCCGATGCCTTGACTGAGTAATATCAGCCCATACGCGATGGTGAAATGGTCTATAGGAATTAGCTCCATCAGTATAGCAGGAGTGTAGGAGTAGGAGCTGGCGAAGGAGAGGCCAAATATGGTGGATATAACAGCCAGGGCCCAATAATTGGTGATGAATAAAGGGTAAGCGGCAACGGACAATCCGCATATAGTGAGACATACGGCGTATGTCTTGATCACGTGGACCCAGGGTTGGTCTCCCGCCCATCCAAGTCCAACCTGTTAATATAATAAAACATTATTAAACCATATTTTTTTTAATGCGTGATGATGGAATAGTAGCCCCGCCTGCATTATCGGTATACACTGGCGGGGTACCAGTGAGAGATGATAGGTGAGGATGAAAAGACAGGTCAGTCAGCCCATTCTGATGAATACACTTGGAGTTCAGCACAATGGTTTCCAGGGGGGACCATGTGGAGGTCGACCTGGTTGGGTATATTGCTAACAATGGGGCTCTTAGTCTCCATTATTAACAATCCCTCCCCTCTATTAAACCATATTAGGTAACGGCTCGGTAGGCGGCTCAGGACCGTTCCTTATGACAATCTATAGGTAAGGCTTATGTTCAGCAGTGGACAGATAACGGCTGATGATGATGATGATGATTAGGTAATTATCACAACAATTAAATATATTATTTTAAAAACAAAACTTACAATACCAATACTACTGGCAATTCCGATGATGCTAATCATCATAGCACCACCCTCTGTCCCTCGCGCGGTCATGTAAGACTTCAGGAAGAAATAAGGCACAATGAACCATACTGAGAGTATCAAGGAGGACAAGTTGAACATGAGGAAGTGGAACTCTGTGAACATCCGGAAGTCAAAGGTGGCTTTTGTAGTCTCCCAGAGACGGTGATACCATTTCTGTAAATAGTGGAATTAATTTAGGTTCTATTAAAATATCTTCATCTAACTTAGTAACAAATGTGTAGGTAGGCATATCTTGACAAACAAATTGTCATGATAGCAAGATATGAGTAAGTTTCTGTATGAGAAATTATATTATTAGAGTAATTAAATAAATTTAACCTTGTATTGTTTGATTTTGTTGAATAATACAAAATATGTACCTACCGATATCCCATTCGTGTTTCAACCGTGAAGCAGTTGTGTTTGCATAGCTGTTTTTCGGTTTAAAGGGTGGGATATGGCGTGAATTTACTGGGTACAGAGGAATAACACCTGAGTCCTCAGGAATGGCAACGTATGGGGGGTATAATGGATGAAACAGTATACTCTGTTATGTCCATGGTACTGCTCATGTCTATAGGCGACGGTTACCACTTTCCATCAGGTGGGCTGTCAGCTTGTTTGGCATTCTAAGTTGTATAAAAAAAAAATTAATTAGTTTGTTATTTATAAAATGGTAGTATAAGACAATATGGGAACAAACAAATCATTCAGAGGAAGACTTTGTACAAAAGTTGTTTGCTTAGGTATCTCTGCTCTATTGATGTTTCTACCATGAAGTAGTTGTGTTTGCATGGCTGTGTTTTAGTTTGAAAAGTGAGATATGCCAATGAATTTACAGAGTATAGAGGCATAACATCTTCAAGAATGGCAAACAGTATACTCTGTTATGTCCATGGTACTGCTCATGTCTATAGGTGACGGTTACCACTTTCAATCAGATGGGCCATCAGCTTGTTCATCATTCTAAGTTGCATTAAAAAAGGTAAAAATACACACCATTTCATCATCAGATTCTGAACCAATCGACCACATGGAATTTCTATAAATATCGGGCAAAGACGATGTTTTTAATTTATACCTAGGAATATTCATCATCGCTCCACGGTACATAATAGTGTTTCTATATAAAGGCATATCTTTTAGGTAGTGGTGGTCAGTTGAAATCTGCCTCGCAAACCAATTTGTCATGTGAGCAGTTTTGTTGTCTCTATTCGATGTGTGTTGAGATTTTTCTTTAGATTTAACGTTTTGACTTTGTTTTTCAATAGCACTATTTTTAGTAATATCATTGGGTTTTGCAGTTTCGTCATCAGTCTTATTTTCCTGTGCGTTGGTTTCTGTCTTACTTTTGTTTTCACTTTCATGTTTCGGCACTTTTATTTTTATTTGTACGGGCACCTTTGGTTCATTAGACGTCTCCTCTGTAGAAGTTTCTGCATTGATATTTATTTCTGATCTTCTTCGTGTCAATATATCTGGATAATTTTGTAGTATAATATTGTATAGTTGTTTGTTTGCCATTAAATTTTCTATTACTTCTGGTGGAACCTGAAAAGATAATGAATTATATATGTAAGTATAAAATAAATATTTTAAAAAGAAATGTGTCGTTGTCATACATGTCACAATAAATATACCTTTTCTTTTCCTTGTACAAAAGTTGGCAAGTGAATAGCAGAGTGCATTCTTCTGTATATAGGTTCAGCGTTAAGTTGGGTAGTAGTTTCTAATTTTTCTGCTTCAGCAATGGTTTCCGCTAAAGTTGCCAAAATATATTCTGGACTCTTACCACTAGACAGTAAGGTTTTTAGTTCCTCGGCATCTAAATAAACTGATTCTCCGCCAAGAGACTTGGATGAAACAGATCCGGCACTTGACGATCTTCTGGATTTAGATAAGCTGCGTTCTCTTTTCTGTTTGATCTCAAGCCATTCCGGGTTTCGCATTACTGCCCCGCAAACACACATATTAAGCAAGGTTCCTGCCAATAATACAATGGTGTTTCTCCAATCATAAATCTCAAGGAAATATTGCGTCATAGGCGAGTAAATTAATGTTCCGAAGCCAATGCCGCACGAAGCTAAAGAGACGGCAAGATTCCTTTTTTTATCGAACCAAAATGCTACTGCTACTACAGCTGTCACATACAATATACCCATGGCAAGTCCGCTTATAAAACCGAAGGTTAAACATAACATTTCAACTGAATTACTTATGGCAGCCAGTAAGAATCCAATTGTGGACATAAATCCAGCAATCATGGTCATTATTCTACATCCGTATCTGTCTACTAAGGCACTCATTATTGGTCCCGCTAATAGTGGTGTAGCGATGAAAAGGCTGCCAATTAAAGATGTCTTTGATTGTGTCGTCTCGAAGAATTGTGTGAACTCTTCATGTAGTAAGCCAAATGAAAATGCTAAACCATCAGCGCAAGCTGATACAAGGAAAGCTGAAGCCACTACAACCCATCCCCACCCACCGTCTGGTATTGGTGGGGATTTCTCAACATCAGAATCATCAGAACAAATACTGTCCTTATCATCTAAACCTTCGAACTTCACTTTCTCTACAGGCGGAGAATCACTCACTTTAGTATAGTGCGCTACTATTTCTTTTGATTCTGATTTAAGCGAGTTAATTTTGTTCATGTCTCCCGTGTTCTCATTATGTGAATATTCTCTAGCTGAGGTAACTTCGGTTAAACTTTTTTCCTCGGACATCTTAATTATTGTTTAATATGACTAGACTATGATTCATCACTGTCACGGTTGATATTATCTGAAACAATAAAGAATAAATTTAAATACAGGTTGTCTGTAAGAGATTGCTTCTAGCGATAAGCCCGCCTTTTGTATATGCACATTCTGTATAGATACTCCTTGTATACATCTCTATTGTGCGCAATAAAGAGTTTATTATTATTATTATTACATATATGTACATATCTACACATCAGTTTATCTAAGAGGTAACAAAAAAGCAGAGTCACTTACAAAATTTATCTTAAATATGTAAGAGATAGTAAGGATTCGTGTAATAAGTACACGTGAGTTCTCTCTATATTTTATGCAGTATGTGTTAAAATATTGTATGATTGATTAAACACTCAATATCTGGATCTATTCGATTAACAATGGCGTCTTGTTTATGTATTTCGTCGGTTCATTCAACCGTTTCGGCACGGATTGCGTAATACATACGTACTTTGATGTTAAACACAGAAATCCTAGTAAAGTACTTGTATGAGTATAGTTTTTTTTTAATGGAGGATAATAGAATTATAATTCCTCTTGCGGTATTGGTATACGCTGGTGGGGCACCAGTGAGGGATGATAGGTGAGGATGTAGCGGGTCAGTTGGCCCGTCGTGACGAATTCAATAATAAATCAATCATTATGTTTTCAGGGGGGAAACGCGTGAAAGTCTACCTGATATGGTATTTTGATAGCAATGGGGTTACTAATCGCCATTAGGAACAATCCCGGGCGAAAAGGTATTGTTAGCAATGGAGTTTGACAGCCCCATTGCTAGCAATATGCCTTATTTGGTCGACCTCCACGTGGTTCCCCCTGGAAACCACCGTGAACAATTCTTGCTGAATTCGTTACGATGGGCTAACTGGCCTACTTCATCCTCATCTATCATCTCTCACTGGTGCCTCCTTTAATTGTGCATAGAATTATCATGTACTATTGGTTAAAAGGTGTGATTTCAGTCTTCTCTTGAAGAAAGTAATAAAACTTCACTGAAGTCGTTTTTTATCTCGTGGGACACAATGTTTAATTATACATATAGATATAAAAATACATTTATCAGTTACTGACTCACTAAGTTCATCGCGTCATCTCAAACATGACCTACGAACTGTGAATAATATGACTCGTAGCTTAATATAGGTTAGTATTAATTTTCAGAGAGACTCCTCATAATGATAGATTCCTGGAGGAATTAAAGAATGGGAACTCCTACCAACGCAGTTGAAACTTTAAAGTGAAGTGCAAAAAGTTTAAATTATAAAAACACATCGTAAACATTTCGTAAGTGCTTATATACATATATACCTACCTATATATATATATATATATATATATATATATATATATATATATATATATATATATATATATATATATATATATATATATATATATATATATTTTGTACAGTTATAATCGTTCGTTGGGAATGAATGGTCCATTCTTTACTGAGATCACACGTCATAAACTGGCCATATTACGGGTTTGACAAATGATTCTTGAGAAAACTCGAATTTGAATAGGTACGGTTTCATTGTAGTTTGATATTTTTGACGGAAGCTTTGTATATCTATACAATGGGTTTAATTAAATTTCTGTATATGCGATCAACTGTACCCATGCGAAGCCAGGATGTCTCGCTAGTTTATAATAAATTTGACTACATTGTTTCTATAAAATATCGACGAAACAATCAGGTCATCTCTGCCATGTTATTTTAAATATATTTTATATGTATAATGCTTAATGATAATCGCCAATTATCTGATAAACATTGATAATAATCAGCAAAATGTATCTAATGATATGGATTATCAAATAACTAAACGTTCGTAACTCTTTCAAGCGATTATTATATTATTACATAATAATAATAATAATAATTAGTTTATTCATCTCCATAAGTTACATTATATGTCAGATTATTTATTTTATTAAAAAAAAAAAAAAAACTAGTCAGACATAGGGCGCGCAATCTGACCAAAGTATTAGAAGTATTTCAAATAAATCGCATCTCTGTATTTACTTTATACAAAATAAAAATATCCTAATTTGTGGGATATCTGGAGCCTTAATTAAGTCGTAATCTGTATCTTAAACACCAGCGGATCTACCATGAAATGAAATTCCGAATTTTCGGACTCAATTTCGTGTTTTTGTTTATACCAAAATCGGACCAATAAATGGAGTTTAACATTTCGTTCGTCATACATCCTATCATAAAAGTCCAAAACATTTTTAATATTTCCAAACGGCATGTATTATGTAATTTTAACATCAAATTTGTGTTTCGTTTGGCACCGAAATTTCGGAAAACATTTCATGGTAAGCCCTTCAATCAAGTAGTGATAACTCAAAGTAAAAGGTATATGCGTGGAGTTAAAACAAATATGGTTTAATATTAATATAAAGGATTGCAAGGATGCCATTGCTATGTTTGGTAGGCAGGTACAACTGCAGTTAGGCTTTGATGATGTTTTAAGAGGGACGCTGCTGCCCATTCTTCAACCATTACATTCCCTTAGTCGTCTCTTATCACCCCCATGGGGGGAAGGGATTATTAGTAGTGTGGTCAAATAGCCCCATTACTAGCAATATACTCTGTCGGGTCGACCTCCACGTGGTTCCCCTTGGAAACCATCGTGTCTAATTCTAGTTGAATTCGTCAGGATGGACTAACTGACCTGCTTTCATCCTCACCAGTCATCTATCATTGGTGCCTTGCCAGTGAATACCGATAGAGCAGACGGGGTTACCATACCGTTATCACCCATTAAAAATAAAAAAATATCACCCCCATAGGAAGGGAAGGGGTTTAATATGATTTAATATCATTATTGTGCTGTCCTCCTGGTATGGTAGGTAGATGTAGGAAATAATAAACAATATCACAATGCGACTCGCACGACCAGCCGCCCGAACGTCACCCAGAGGAGTGGTCTGGAGCGGGAGACTTGCAGTCTAAGCTTTAATGAGTACATCACAATCATCATCGTCATTTTAACCATTATCCGTTCACTGCTGATGATTTAATATAATAACATTTTTTTAGATGGGTAAAAATGGTATGGTTAACCCCGCCTGCGCTAACGGGATACGCTGGCGGAGCACCAGTGAAGGGTGATAGATGAGAATGAAAACGGGCCAGTTAGCCCATCATGATGAATTCATCAGGAATTAACCATGATAGTTTCCAGGGGGAACCGCGAGGAGGTCGACCTGGTTGGGTATATTGCTAGCAATGGGATTCTCAGTCTCCATTACTAACAATCCCTTTCCCCCCATATAATAACATTTAATTAAAGGTTTCATGCCCATGCATGCACGTTCTGGAATCGAGGCCTACGTAGATTATATTAAAAGTATACTCAAACTCAGCCGATTTCAAAAAGTCGGAAGAAGCGTGACAGATGTCAATCAAGGACATATATAACTACTAATAAAATACAAACAGACACCGTGCAATATGCTGTTAAGATTATCAAGACATGTGCTGTCACTTATCACGTTCTATTGCGTCACAGAATAAATAAAATGGGAGTAGGTAGCATAAGTAATTAAATTTTTTAAGTAAGCATAAGTAATATGGATAGCGGAGGGAGGGGGGAATATGAAATGTTAAAAATGAGGCCCATTGTTAGCAATACAGTTTGTCAGGTCGACCTCCTCGCGGTTCCCCCTAGAAAATATTGTGTTCTATTCCAAGTGAATTCATCACGATAGGCTAATTGATCTGCAGTTCCATTGTCACTTATCATCCCTCACTGATGCCCTTCCGTTAGCGCATGCGGGGTTATCATCCATTAACAGGCCAGTTAGCCCATTATGATAAATTCATCTGGAATTAACCATGATAGTTTCCAGTGGGCACCGCAAGGAGGTCGACTTAGTTGGATATATTGCTAGCAATGGGATTCTCAGTCTCCATTACTAACAATCCCTTTCTCCCCACTACATACATTGCTAAACCAGTATGCAAAGTGTTCATTTTACGATTACATCATTACCGTCGTTTGTGCACTTTGTCACTTCGTCTAAACAGGGTAATGGATTCGAATTTCATGCGGATCATTTTTAGTCGATGTAGCTTGTGCAGTTTGTGAATGTTCGCATTTCTATTTGCTATACAAGTACATATATATATGTATTTACATTGAATTGTGTTAAAAAAAAACCGACTTTAATTGTTACAAATCCAGTTGTTTTGATTTAAAAACTAAACTACTAAACGGATTTTATGAAAACTTTTTTTTTATACAACTTAGAATGGCAAACAAGCTGACGGCCCACCTGATGGATAGTGGTAACCGTCGCCTATAGACATGAGCAGTACCATGGATATAGCAGAGTATACTGTTTCGCCCATGATACCCCCCATGCGTTGCTATATCATATAGCATGACATAGCTATGACTACTAAATAACTGATTCTTTTCAACCAACTTCAAAAAGAAGTAGGTCATCAATTTGATTGTATCTTTTTCGTTTGTTACCTCTACCTCATAACTTCGTTAGTTGTAAACCAATCTGAAAATTTTTTTTTCATCCGAAAAGATACACGTACAGATTGGATCGATAGAAATTTTATCAAAATCGGTACAGCACTTTAATTTTTAGTTTTGTCAGAATTGAAATTATTAGTAACGTGTACTACCAATCCCATTGTTAACAAATATACCTTGTCAGGTCGACCTCCACCTGGAAACTATCGTGCTGAATTCGAGTCGTATTCATCACGATGGGCTAACCGACCTACCTTTTCATCCTCATCTATCATCCCTCACTGATACCCCGTCACCTGTACACTGTCAGTGCAGGCGAGGCTACCATACCATTATCATCCATTAAAAAAAAAAAAACTTAATAACACGTGACTTAAGAAAACTAACCTGATTATTTCATAAAAATCCGTCAACCGTAACGCAGTCCACATAACACTCACAGTGCACTCTAATTTGATAAATAAATAAAATAATTACGGAGCGCGCGTCATACTGTACACGAGTTTGAATACCGACTATCTACATTCGACAATGGCGCCGGTTTACGTTTAGCCGTTTTTAATGTCTGCTACACACTGCTAGCAGAGAAATTTTCGATTGGGATTTAATAGCAAATGATTTCGTTTAGAGTTATTTAGTTAACTGTTTTTTTTTTCTTCTTTAGTGGCATTCACCCCGATATTAGTGTATTTGCCAAAAACAAAAGACGGTGTTTTTCGTCACCTGTCATCCATATTCTTTTTTTTTAACTGATAGTAATCTTTCCGCGTCTAGGGAAAGTAGATAAAGTTTTGTTTGAGAAATCAGTTCAAGGTACGATAGGACTGATATACCTGAAGAAGGTAAAGCCCTTAGTAGGGCATCAGTGACAAACGAGGATGAAGACAAATTGTAAAGAATTCAATAAGAATTAATCGCGCACGATGGTTTCCAGCAGAAACCGCGTGGACGTCGACCTATTAGAGTATGTTGCTTGCAATGAGACCCATAGTGTGCATTACTAATTATCCCTACCCCCATCAGTTGGGGGGAAAGGGATTGTTAGTAATGTCCTCATTGCTAGCAATATACCCTATCAGGCTGACCTCCACGTGGTTTCCCCTAGAAACCATTGTGATTAAGTCTTGCTGATTTCGTCACAATGGGCTAACTGACCTGCTTTCATCCTCCCCTCTTCATTTCTCACTGGTGTCCCGCCGGAGTATATCGATAGCGCAGGCGGGGTTACCATTCCATTTTCACCCATACAAAAAAAACCCATCAGTCAGTTTAAATAATATTATTATACATAGTATAACTAAAACTATAATGTTTTTTATAGCTCAAAGGTTTTTTTAGCGGTGAACGCGCAAGCTTGTGTCTTAGCTGGGATAAACTGGACTAAGTTTTGTCGTCCCCAATCGGAGACTCTAGTTAACGTTCTGTCAAGAAGTCCATGGTAGGGCAATTTCGATAGAAGACCCCGATGCCAGACCCGGTCAAAAGTCTTTGTAATATCAAGACGGATAGCGAGCGCCTCACCTTGATCTTCAATGGCTGATACCCATCGGTGCGTAAGACCATTTGTATATAAAACATAGCATAGGCTCAAAAATAATATGATAAATATATTTTTTTATCATATATATATATATATATATATATATATATATATATATATATATATATATATATATAATATATATATATATATATATATATATATATAAACTATAATATAATAGACACAGAGTTTGTTTTTCTGCCTAGCGATATATCGCTGTGTGTGTACAACAAGTAGATATTGCAATCAGTGAGGGGACACGATATCTGTTATCGATACGAGATTGTTAACTAGTTGCTTGATGTTATTGTATTATTACCATCAGACGGGCTGTATGGTCGACCAAAACACTCCAAATAAAAACAGGCCTACAGCTTGTTATGGTTGCCTAATGTAATAAAAATCTGTTTGTATAAAATACAACATTTGGGTTCATCCCAAGGTTGGGATTGATAAAATTGGGGCTAGTGGCTCTGTTACTAATAATATAAGTACACTGAAAGGAAAATGTTGTGGGTAATTCTTGTTAAATTTGTAAAGACGGGCTAATTGATCTGCTTTCATTTTCACCTACCATATCACATGGGGGGGAAGAGATCGTTAGTAACGGGGAAGTTAGTCCCAATTGCTATCAATATACTCTATCAGGTCGACCTCTACGCGGTTCCCCCTGGAAACCATCGTGGTTAATTCTAGTGCAATTCATCACGATGGGCTAACTGACATGCTTTCATTGTCACCTATCATCCCTCACTGGTGCCTCGCCAGCGTATACCGTTAGCACAAGTGGGAAGACCATTTCATTATCACCCATTAAAAAAAAAAGGTAGAAGTTCGTGTAAGTCATCTTATGTGTTTTTTAAAGAATAGGTCAAAGATTTCAATGAAAACTTGCTTTTTTGTGTCTGTTGAAGGGAAACTTAAGCATTCAAATTTCCCATTGCGCTGTTTTGTTTATTTATTTATTAATTTTTAATTGCACCACTTAATGAATAATACAAAAACATATATATTACGCTTATAAAGTACAAAAGGCGGCCTCATCGTTAAAGCAATCTCTTCCTTTTTTGTGTACCTTTTCTTTTTGTGTCTATGTGATTCTAATTCACGCAGCCAGGGGGGAAAGGGATTGTTAGTAATGGAGACTGAGAAGCCCATTGCTAGCAATATATCCAACCAGGTCGACCTCCTCGCGGTTCCCCCTGGAAACTATCATGGTTAATTCCTGATGAATTCATCATAATGGGCTAACTGGTCTGTTTTCATTCTCATCGATCACCCTTTACTGGTGCTCCGCCAACGCATCCCGTTAGCACAGGCGGGGTTACCATACCATTTACACGTATCAAAAAAAATCACGCAGCCAAACCAATGGGTTACAGTTAGTGAAGAAAATAATTCTAACCTAGGATTAGGCATCACTAAAGTTAATTTAGTCATGCCAATAATGAAATTCATGAGGTGCGACGGCGGACGGCGTGACATCATCGAATCCTTCGACTACGTTCATACCTACCTATATCATTTCTGTGCCTATTTTTGGGAAAATATCAGGTCGCAACAATGATAAACGGCGCAGGCGTATTTTTTTAAATGGATCATAATAGACTGTTTCTTTTAATGAGTGATAATGGAATGGTAACCCACCCGCGCTATCGGTATACACCGGCGGGGCACCAGTGAAGGATGATAGGTGAGGATGAAGTAGGTCAGTTAGCCCATCGTGACGAATTTAACAAGAATTGTTTACGATGGTTTGCAGGGGGAACCACGTGGAGGTCGACCTAATAGGGCATATTGCTAGCAATGGGGTCGTCAAACTCCATTACTAACAATCCGTTTCCCCCCTAATGGAGTGGTTACTCGCCTGCGCTAACGGTATATACTGGCAGAGCACTAGTGAGGGTGAAAGGTTTTTTTTTAATGGGTGAAAATGGCATGGTAACCCCGTTTGCATTGTCGGTATACACTGGCGGAGCACCAGTGAGAGATGATAGGTGAGGATGAAGTAGGTCAGTTAGCCCACCGTGACAAATCTAACAATAAATCAATCACGACGGTTTTCAAGGGGAATCACGAGGAGGTCGACCTGATATAGTATATTGCTTACAATGGAGTTACTAATCCCCATTACTAATAATCCCTTCTCTCCCAAAAGAGCAGGTCAGTTTATTTAATGGATGATAATGGATTGGTAATGTATATCGTTAGCGCTGGCGGGGCACCGGTGGGAGATGATAGATAAGAATGGAAAGGCAGGTCAGTTAGCCTATCGTGACGAAATACACCTGGAATTCAGCACAATGGTTTCCAAGAGGGACCACGTGGAGGTCAACTTGATAGATTATATTTTTAGCAATGGAACTGGAGTACCAGTCCCATTACCAACAATCCCTTCTGTTCAAACAGGTCATTTTAGTTAGCCCATCGTAATAAATTCGCTCGGAACTGAGCACGATGATTTCCAGGGGGAACCGCGAGGGTGTTACCCTATGATTTTTGTAGGGTGATAATGGTATGGTAACCCCGCCTGCACTATCGGTATACACTGGTGGGGCACCAGTGATAGATGATTGACGAAAGTAATTTTAGTTGAATTCTAACTAACAGATTAACAAACAAATATATAGCATACAAATAAACTCTACCGCTTACGATAACGTCTTATTTTCAAAGTTATAATTTGATCTTGCAATTTAATTAGTTAATAGGTAAACAAAAAATAACTGACATGATTTTTATCTTTTATATAACGGGTTTATAGAAATACTATTCTTAGTCTATGTTATTGATTATGCTGTGTTCTGGATTTTCGTTGAAATTTATTATTTATATATCATTACTTTATTCGTTATGGCAACATTGTGCAACAAATGTCGTTTTGGTTGTCACAGCTGCATCCCAAGCTAAGAATCAACTTATACAAAAACAAAGTAAAATATTGAATAATGGCTGAGAAGCCGCCAGAAGAGGGTTATATATCCGTCGTGGATGAAGACCCGGAGATATTTGAACTTCTAAAATGGGATTCCTCGAATACGCAAAAGCAGCAAGAGCCACTGGTAGTGGAGAGAGTTAAGGGTCCCGAGAAAAAAAATATAAATCCAAAAGGTCGTGAGGAATGTGATCCTTTTGATTTAAGTGATCCTGCTTTCGTAGATTCGTATAGACTTTCGAAGGAATTGGCAAGGAAACTGTGCGAAGAATTGAAGCCCGTGATGCCAGACTCTACTAAGTCGATTGAGTTTTCAGTGGAGAGCAAGGTGAGTGAGAACACCTTTATGTTTGTAAAAATTTTTTGTTCTTAAGAACAAAAATTTTTTTATGTGACTATTAATAGTCACTATAAATTGTATACATATTAAGCTGTGTCTGTAATCAATGTACTGATAAATTACATATATTCTATATGATTTTTTTAGTCAAGCATTTTTGATAAAATATTCTTAAGTCAATTCAGTTAGTTTTACAATTAATGTACAGTATGTTAAAGTAATCCATTACTTAAAATTCGTGTTAGAATTCATTAATAGGGTCTAAATTTTTTTTTTACTAAGATTATTTTTTTATATTACTAAAAATTAAAAAAATACTTAAAAATAAAAAAAAAAGATTAACTACAAGGCATTTCTGAAAGCACGTAATGTGCCCTAATGTTCTTTGAATGTGATCAATTGAAAAGAGTATGTTCTATTATTTATAATTAAATTACCTTACATTATATTTGATATTTATAGTTTCAAAATCATTCTGTATTTTTTTTAATTGTTTACAATTATTGTAGGTGATGGCAGCTTTATCCTTCTATGCAACTGGAAAGTATCAAAAGTCTATAGGAGGCAAAACTGATCCCAGTATCACACAGTACTTTGTCAGCACAGCTGTCCAGCAAGTGACCGAGGCTATGAACCATCCTACCATAGTGAAGAAATACATACATTTCCCGCACTTGAGAAATGAGAGGGATATTATTAAAGCTAGGTTGGTACTTTATTTTTTTTTCTGTTCACAGTTGTGGCTAAGTCAATCGCTTGTGCTGCCTTTTTTACATTTGTAACTTAATGTGGAAATATATATATTATAACTGCAATATATAATGTATTATCAGATGTCTCATTTTTAATATCTAGTTGTAATATTTTTATTTCTATTGAGTGTGTGTAACAATGAAAGTTGTAAATTTTGTTATATGTTTAATTTTTTTTTGTTTCACACCCTATTTGTTTCATATGGCATCTCACTAGATATGTATCTCCTAATATCCATAGTTATAATACAACACATCTGATTATGGTTCAAAAGGACTGATTACAGATAGAATGATTAGAGAAAGATAGAAAAAAAAAATGAAACTCCTGCATTGCGATTTTTGTTTTTAAAATATTGTCATATATATGTAGTATGTTAATTAACATAACCCATTTTTTACAACTAGTGACAGTGTTTATTAATAGGAATTTAAAAAAAAGAAACTTAGTCTAATTTTTTTTAATTACTAAAAAAATTAAAATATAATAAAATATAATTTTCTCAAAAAAAAAAAAAAGAATAATCTGTATCAATGACATAATACAGAACAAGATATTACAGATCTGTTATTACATAGTGCTATTGATAAAAATATGGTTTGTTCTTTTTTTGAATTTTTTTAATTTACTTTATGTTTTTTAATTTTTGGTAATAAAAAAAATGTTCTAGGAAGAAAAATATTATTTTTTTGGGATCTTAACACCAGTTTTAAAGACTGGGTTACCCTAATTAATATATTGTATAATCCAGAGAATATGCACATAATGAAAAGTACAAACTGAATTATTAGCATTATTATAGTTAATTTTAAATTATTATTTATTTATGTTATTATTTATTAATCATCATCATCTTCACCATTTTCCTACCCTTTTCCCAATTATTATTTGGGATTGGCATAATATGTTTTTTTTTTATCCATATTACAAAAAGTTTTGGCTTATAGTTTTACAACTGGCCGCCTGTCTGATGTCAACCCTCTTTGGAATTATTATTAGTATTATTTATTAATATTATTATTTTAAAGCATTATTAAATAGATGGTTGTGCTTAGTTTATTTATAAATATTTGTTTTTTTTTTCCAATATATTATTATTATAAATATAGTATTAGCATATTATTTATTTCATTCAATTCTCTAAAGAAAAATGCTTACAACTCTGTTTCTTTTGCCACAATATTTTCTGTATAGCTAGCTCCATTTATACATATTGTTAAAAAAATATGTGTTCAAAACATTTGTTATATCTATCACCATTATTTTAACTATGTATACATCACTGCCTATTTCTGTCTCTTTAATAATCTATGAAATAAAACAAAATTGAATCTTATGATTAACTTCCAATTTTACTATTTTTTATATGGAAAAAGTATTAATGTATCAGAATAAGATATTTACAAGTTTTTAATTATAAAATAAATAATTATTATTTTCATTTACAATATCTTTTCGTTAATTAATTAAATACAATACGCTTTTGCTCTGCTGTATGGGTGCTTTGTCATTAAATTTATTAAGCACAAGTTGTTTCTCATGGTTTCGCCTGCGTAACAGCATATAAAATAAAAAATAAAGTAAATAAATTTAACTGTTATAGATTCTATGTGAAATATGGTATGCCCAATGTGGTGGGTTGCATCGACTGCACGCACGTGCCCATCGCGCGGCCGGACGATGACCAGAAGAGTCACTTCAACAAGTCCTACCACTCCAAGAAGGTGCAGATTGTAAGTATATTATAATCCTATATATTCCATAATGTAAAGATTCAGGCTTGAGGGGTATCATGGGCGACACAGTATACTTTATGTCCATGGGCGATGTCTATAGGTGATGGTCCACATTCTATCAATTGAGCCATTGGCTTGTTGGTATTCTAAAAACATCTGTCCAATATAACCATACTCCCATTGAACCTGTATCTATTACAGTTAATACATTGTTATCTATATTTTTACTGTTGGCAGCATATACTGAGAGTGCAGGCGGGGTTACCATTACATTATCGTCCATTAAGAAAAAAAAAAATCTTTTACAATAAAAACTGCCAAATTACAGCATTCTTCGGTCTGTATAAAATATTTGTTTGTAAATACAAATTTTAAATTTTTATAAATATAAAAATTATAATTTCTCTTGTGTTTTACTCCCTCAGTCACCTCTTATTACATTTTATGCATGAAAACTATAATAATGGTGATACTTAGACATAGAAAAATGATAGATATCGCGTGATGCAGGACATATATATATATATTAATGAAAAATATGTGTTATTTTTCAGATGGAACACTCAATACATTGATCCAAATATTAGTTTACCATTGTATATATTGATATTTTCAGATATGCGACAGTGATCTGAATATACTGAGCGTGGACGCGAGCGCGGGAGGCTCACTGTCCAACGACGCTATACTCAATCGTCACGCAGTCCGCATAGATTTAGAGAGTCTCAATCATTCGGGAGAGCCATGTTGGCTTATAGGTAACTAGAAAAGAATACAGCTTTTTAATTTATAAATATGTCTTTATATTTATAATTAGCAATTCGGCCCAGCTTTCTTTTTCTTTTGGCAATAATATATAGCCTGTATTACTCTCTAATAATGTAGCTTTCTATAGGTGAAAGAATTTTTGAAATCGGTTGAGTAGTTTTTATATTTATCCATTACAATGCTGTGTTTCGGTGTAAAGGGATATGGCAGTAACATTACAGCCATAACACCTTAGTCCTCAAGAATGGCAACACATGAAGAATATCATCGACAACATGATATGAGGCATATCATGGGCGACACAGTATACTCTTTTAAGTCCATGGTACTATTCATGTCTATAGGCGACGGATACCACTTTTCATCAGGTGTGCCAGTTTGCTATTCTAAGTTGCATAAAAAAAAACAAATCCTTCCTCTTTGTATTATTAGTATATATGTAATATATTTTAGGTAAATTTGATTAAAAGTATATTTAGTATACTAACAAAACATATAATTTCTAAAGTAAAATAAGATTTGCAAGTTTTTGATAATTTATGCTGTCCACATGTAGTTTAGTCTATAGCGTTCAAAGATTTAGATGATTTTAACTTCGTCCTATCTATAAAATTTAATGGATATTGTTGTAGGTATATCAATATTTCTATGTCAGAGTTTTTTTTAGAACTACCCTCACTTTTTACAGAAAAAAAAAACTATTGTTATGTAGGATACTAAGATTTCGTCTGTATTATGTGTGATACAATGTTCACAATAAAGTCAATATTAGTTTGTGTTATTCCTCATTTAATGTATAATAGATACCAAAATCCAGTAATTAAGCAGACTAACTTGAATTTCTTTACAGGCGGTCCTTACTACACACAGAAACCTTTCATCATGACACCGATACCGAAAATTACCAAGAAATCACCCGTATCGCCCGGAAAGTACTACACGAATATGCACAGTCAAACGCTGGGCGCCGCAACGGACACGATAAAGCACTTGAAAAGCAGATGGAAATGTTTGCAAGCCACATGCAACAGGCAGTTCGACCCGCCATCCGTGACAATGATAATAGTAGCATGCTGTGTTCTTCACAACATTTGCAATAGATACGGTCTTCCAGTTGTACCAATGACGCAGACAGAAGAACGGTTAGAGGCTATGAAGCAGAAGGTCGCCAGCGGACCAATTCCAAGGAAGCAAGTGGACGACCAGAACGGCCTTCAAGCGAGGAACGGACTCGTTGAGAGGTTATGGAACGAGCGTAGAGTGTTGCCAGAGAGTACGCCACCGAAGAAACGGATGTCTAAAAAGGACAGGCTATTGGAGAGTTATAATAGCACAGCGCAAGCTCAACCACCAGTCACGCAACAGCATCATCAGCCTCAAGATATAAGGAGTCAACACGACGATCCCAGCAAGAGGCCAAGGCTGATGTCAATGCCTTGCAATCCCGCATACAGCCTGGGGATGCCAGGAATGGCCCCCACGTGGGCGCACTACCCACAACAGTAGTGGTTGTTTAGGACTATATGTTACAAGTGACAGTGATTCAAATATTAACAATGGATACACCACTCTCATCAGAAAATGATGACAAATTTTTTGAAATTATATTTTATTTAATATTAAATATAATTTTAACAAAATTTATATTTAATTTTAAACTAAACTCAGTATTTGTCCAACAGCTGATACAATATTTAAAAATGTATATTTATTGTTCTTTTAAAAATGTTTACAAATCCATTTTCTCAATTTACATTTTTTAACGTCTACTTATTTTAGTTTTTACCACAGAATCATAATCATGTATAAAAAAAATCATAAAATTTACTGTTAATGAATCAATAAGATATTGAATGGATCAAAAAAATTATTTTTAATTGAATTTCGCGCGGCGCAGGTTAATATTTTTAGTATTAACGATATGTACCTATATTGACTCTATTATACATTATTAAATGTCACGTGATTTTTATTTGTGTACTTTAAAAAAAGTAAGATTTGAAACAAATTGATTATAACTCATTTGGTCACTTAACAATGGCAGCAAATGGTACAAACAATTGGACAATAAAACTCGCTCAGTAGACTTCTAACCATTTTTTCTTAATGTGTGATAATGGAATGGTAGGTATACCCACCTGCTCTAACGATATACGCTGTCGAGGCACCAGTGGTACTATATTATTTATATATATATCATCATCATCATCATCTTCCTACCCTTATCCCAACCATTTGGGGTCGGCGTAATATGATTTTATCCATATTACAAAAAGATTTGGTTTTTAGTTTTACAACCGGCCACTTGCCTAACGTCAACCCTCTATATATATATATATATATATATATATATATATATATATATATATATATATATATGTAATATATATATATATATATATATATATATATATATATATATATATATATATATATATATATATATATATATATATATATATATATATATATATATATATATTCGATATATTGATATACCGATTTATAGACATCGAATCGGCTAAAAAAGTCATTAAATTAAAATATATTATATATTTTAATATTATTTTAACATGGAAACAGCAGCTGTTTATATTTTAATTTAAAAGGTGTGATACTCGTATTACAGAGTACAGAAGCAAAACACTGATGGCAACACCTGCAAGGTGCCATGGCATTCACTGTCATGCCCATGTTTATGTTCACGTCTATTGAGAACGGTTACCACTTCACCTTAACCGAACTTTTTTTGCTTTTTCAAATATCATAATTTCTTTTTTAAATTATACCTGTAATTGTAGAACACTGCAGTGTACTCAGCCGTTTGTCAACGCGGGTAATAATATGAAAAAAAAAATCGTTCATTTTGATAAATATATTTTAATAATTAAAAAAAAAAACGATACAATATGATATATTTTAATTATGAATCTCAAAAGCAAATAATAGTCTTCTTGATAATTCAATTTAAACTTAATTGTTAATAAAGACAAGGTTTACTCTTGACTGAAAATATTTTGCAAAATTCAGAAAAAGAGGGTAGAATAAAAAATAATTGTCAGGGTGTTTGTTGGGTCAATATCAATTATACATTTGGAGTGAATAGTGTTCACGACAAATAAGCTTTAAAATATCCTATATTTTGCGAGTCAAAAAACCAACAGAAAAAGTGAGATTTAAAATGACTAATGACTTAATAACACCAGTATTGGTTTTAAGTGCTCTGTCTGAGGTAGGGGATAAAGTCATCAATCTAATCAAGTCCCAAATATGGGATAAGCATTTGTTATTTACAATTTTAACATCTTAATAACATCGCATTTATCATTGAATACATTCTTCTGGACGCCGCTTAGTAGACTTGTCATTTAGCACGCACATATGCTTTACTTTGGCCGTTTGTTTCTCAGGACTTAGTGAAAGCTTGTGCTATTTCGTTGGCGAGCAGCGAAGCGACGGCCATGTTTTGACAGTTCGCTATTACCCTGGTAGAGTCCGGCTCTATCTTGACGGATAGTAACACTAGATCTTGTGATGATATCATTCTTCCTGCAAACCTAAAACAAAGATTTACTATATCATTGGCATGAATTAGGGTAAATAATATCTTGTATTAATACAGGCAAGGCTTTTTCTATTGTTCTCTACCCTGTAAATACACTCTCATTATATTTAAAAAGGTAATATTTATCTTTTTTTTTATACAACTTAGAATGGCGAACAAGCTGACGGCCCACCTGATGGAAAGTGGTAACCGTCGCCTATAGACATGAGCAGTACCATGGACATAACAGAGTATACTGTTTCGCCCATGATACCCCCCATGCGTTGATATGGCGTGAATTTACTACCCAGTAAATTCACGCCATATCCCACCCTTCAAACTGAAACACAGCCATGCAAACAACTGCTTCACGGTTGAAACACGAATGGGACAGAGGTACCCAAACAATCGACTTATTAGTTATCTACTATTCATAGAAAATCTATTTAATGTGGGACTCGATGGCGTTCTTTAATATGCCCCTAATACCATCGGCTGTTAATAATCCTCTGCTGAACATAGGAATCCTCCATAAGGGGGATTTTTCTAGTAATATGGCAGGCGAATTGGCAAACGCAGTTAGGCTTTGATGTTTTAAAAGAAATGCTTCTGCCCATCCCTTGACCATGTTTAATATGTCTAGTGGGCATATATTATCATTTATAAAACTTGTGCTAAGAAGTAAAATACTTGGAAAGTTGTGGTAGTTGGAAGAAGCAGCGTTTACCTGAGCACGTCCCCCGCGGTCGTGATACCGCCGACGTTGGCCGTCTCGAAGACTCGCTTGCAAATCGCTTGCTCGTCTTCTAACTTTGTTGCTTTCTTCTCACACTGTAAATGTAGAAAAGAATTACATAATAAAAGATGTTTCCTTTTGGGTCTTTTTCCTAAAAAAAAAGAACGAAACTAAAAAAGTCTGCATGAGCACCTTGGTCCACTCGTTTCTGCTGTGATACAGCAGCGCTTGCATGCCTGCTTCGGTTTGAAGGCTTGATTATGATAGGCAATTTTCACTTTTTTATGCAACTTAGAATGGCAAACAATCTAACTGTCCACTTGATGGAAAGTGGTAACCGTCGCCTATAAACATGAGCAGTACCATGGACTTAACAGAGTATACTGTTTCGCCCATGATACCCCCCATGCGTTGCCATTCCTGAGGACTCAGGTGTAATTCTTCTGTACCCTGTAAATTCACTGCCATATGCACCCTTTAAACCGAAACACAGCCATGCAAACACAACTGCTTTACGGTAGAAACACGAATGGGAAAGAGGTGCCAAAGTAAACGACTTGTACAAACTCTCCCTCTGGAGTATCTGTGAGAGTATTGACACAACATCATAGTCCTCCAGATTGACAGTACATGAGTAGTATCCTAAGTGTATATTCTGTTACGCTGCTGTTTATGTCTATTGGTGACGGTTACTACTTTCCGCTAAGTGCGTCGTCAGCTTGCTTGCCAATTTGAGTACGTATCATAAAAAATATTGTAATTTCATATCGTGTAAAAGTCGTAGTGTTGTAACCTCGGTCATGCCGCGCAGCTTCCTGTGCTCGGCGGCCCAGCGTGCCTCGGACATGCTCACCGCGCGCATCAGCTCGCCCAGCGGTGGGCTCAGCGACACCGGCACCTCACCTGACGTGATTTATTTAAAAATTGTTTATCAATGCCTGGAGTCTAGCTATTTCAGAATGATTTAAACTTATTAAGAAACATGACGGACAAATATATTTATAACAATGTCTATTAAACTACTTAATTTGAAATAAAGTTTATTCAGTTTATTTCAAATTCGAGAGTAAGAGAGATTTATACATAAGTTGATAGATCAAGTGGATCACAGCACAGAAACAGGAATGGCAACGCATAAGGGGTATCATGGGTGAAACAGTACACTCTGTTATGTCCATGGTACTGCTCATGTCTATAGGCGACGGTTACCACTTTCCATCAGGTGGGCCGTCAGCTTGTTTGCCTTTCTAAGTTGTATAAAAAAATCTAAATTTCTTTTAATAAGCTCCCATAAATGTGTGGCAAATAAATTTATCAATAGACACGTTACCGTATATTTAAGAAAGAATAAGACGTTATATATTGCTGTGTTGTTCTATCGATAGACTAGATCTTGAGGTAAATCCATTATGAGAGTTATTAGAACTTACTTTTTACATACATACATATTTGTCACGCCTATCCCCCATTAGGATAGGCAGAAACAATGGAACACCAAATGCTTCGATTCAAACAAACCTCTTTCGCTTCTTCCACATTCATCAATCTTTTCATACACGCTCGCCGGTTACGGGTACTTTTAATTTGGCCCTTCTTCAGCACGTCGCCTATTTGGTCGACGTACCGTCATAGTCGTAGAATACTGACGGATCTGACAAAGATTACATATAAAGATCCGTCAGTATTCTACGACTATGACGATAAGTCCGTGTAGGGCGGCCCCTACCAACATGTCCATTCATTCTTACTCGATAAGTCTTTTGCAGTAATTTTTCTTCAAATAAAACGATTTATGAATGATGAAGTGTGGTCTCCAGTTACCTAGCGAGCACGCGAGGGTGAAGTCGATGGGCTGTATGGTGTCTGCAAAGTCGACGCCGAGCGTGACGGTGGCGCTGGCGGCCGGCGACAGTACTGCCACCGGCGCGAACTCGTGCATCGCCTGCGACCCCGACAGCGTCTGCCGGCACACGGTACAAAGCACACTGCATTCGTCAACTAATTACAGGGTTAACTATGCGGCCATTGGAATTTACATTGAGTACTTTCAAAGAGCAAGAGAGCGTCCAAAAAGCTCGAGGGCTCCATAGAGGAAAACGGTACTTCACCCTGAGACCAAGTTGCAAGTCCGGCCACACATGGAGTGCTGCTCACATCGGTGGCCCGAGTACCTAGACACCAGCTTGATTCTCTTGACTCGGTTCAAAGATGGGCTATGATGTCATGAGAATTGTTGACGATCCCAAGCTCACAGGCGGTATCGAGCTTTTAAGTCTAAGGTAAGACTGCCCCCCTTTGTGTGTTCTACCGCTTGTATAATGGATTGTGTTCTGAGGAATTGTTTGAAATGATGCCCACAGTCATCTTTTACGCACCGTTCGCCATCGACAGGGAATTCATCCTCACGCTTGAACTTAAATGATTGCCTACAGTGCAGTTTCAGAGAAATTTTCTCCCGCGAACGTTCAGGCTGTGAGAGATTGAGGTGCTGAGGTTTTCCTTTGAGACTACAGTATGGGGTTCTTCAAAATGGGTATATTAAGGTTTCTTCAGGGACGGCAGCGTACACGTGACACCCCTAGTATTTCAGGCGTTTTTTTTTGCCACCTTTGCATATTTAACTTTGTGTATTTATATTATAACAGGAATAAAGTGTGTTATAATGCATATCTAAATATAAAATTTACAAACCTATATTAATAAAGAATCTAATTCCTTAAAATAGTTTTCAAGGGGAATCACGTGGAGGTCGACTTGATTGAGTATACTGCCAGTAATCAAGCTACAATACACACTACGAACGGGAGTTTGGACGTAGAAAAAGGAGGTGCTTGACTTACCTTCTTGTTGAGCCTGATGTTGGTGACGTCGTGGTGCGAGTGGTTGGTGAAGGTGACCTCGAGCGCGCACATGCGGTGCGAGAACAGGTGCGGCGTCCGCGGCCAGCGGCGGCTGGCGCTGAGGCCGCCCCACACCACGCGCGGCACCAGCTCCACGCGGACGTCACTCGGCGCCGTGTACACGGGACCCACAGGGGTGATCGCGTCCTCTGTTACACCGTAACAATGTATAGACTGACTAAACAAGTATTGGCGTATTTAAGACTATTTTCAGGGGCGTGGAGCGAAGGGGGAGGGGGGGGGGGTAGATGGTTTATAACTTTTCATATGCATTGTGAAGAAATGTAACTGACCATCAGCGGCGACTGGTCCGCACGGTGGGGACAGGAAGCCCCCGCATGTAGGCGTCATGGTCGGCAGTGAGCTGGCGACTTCGTCTAGTTCCAGCAGTAGCTCAAGGTTTGACTTCTCACTCTTCTTTTGCTGTTCTTTTGCAGCCGACTTCACCGGTTTCTCTTCTTCCTACAATTACATAATTTTTATTGTATAATAACTCCATTTACCAGACTTAGAAACAGGCCAGTTAGCCCATCATGATGAATTCATCTGGAAATAAACATGATAGTTTCCAGGGGAACCGCGAGGAGGTCGACCTGGTTGTGTATATTGCTAGCAATATTAGATATATTATTCTTAGTCTCCATTACTAATAATCCCTTTCCCCCCGGTGACAGTCAGGTTGATCGAGAGCTTGTTTTATATTCTATGTTAAAAACAAAACTGACCTTGTGACTACTGTTATGGGAATCGTCCTCGCTCTCCGCTGAACTCTCGGATCCGCTTTCACTGTCCGACGACTCGCTACCGCTCCCGCTGCCGCTGTCGCTTGTGCCCGAACTCGACGACCTGTAATTTATGTATACACCCATTGTAATATACTCATAAATTTTCAGTACAATTAGGCTATTTTTAATGCAACTTTGAATAGCAAACAAGCTGACGGCCCACCTGATGGAAAGTGATAACCGTCGCCTATAGACATGAGCAGTACCATGGACATAACAGTACACACACATACTGTTTCACCCATGATACCCCCCATGCGTTACCATTCCTAAAGACTCAGGTGTTATTCCTCTGTACCCTGTAAATTCACGCCATATCCCACCCTTCAAATCGAAACACAGCCACGCAAACACAACTACTTCACGGTAGAAACACGAATGGGGCAGAAGTGCCCAAGCAAACGACTTTTTTACAGTCTCCCTCTGGTAGAGAGAACTATATTCAATGTATCTTAGGTCGCATGAATACCAAACATGTGCAGTGAAAGCAATGGGGGAGGGATTGAGGGGGGAGGGTTGTTAATAATGCGGACTACCAATCTCATTGTTAGTCAGGTCGACCTCCACGTGGCCCTCCCTGGAAACCATCGTGCTGAATTCTAAGTGAATTAATTACGATGGGCTAATTGACCTTCTTTTTCATCCTCACCTATCATTTCTCTCTGGTGCTCCGCCAGTGTATACCGTTAGCGCGGACGGGGTTACCATACCATTATTTACCATTTATTAAAAAAAAATGGGGGAGGGAGAGGGGGGGTTGTTAGTGATGATAATGCCTTATTTCTTGATTATACTAAACTGTATACGTGTCAATAAGACACTCATCATCATCATCATCATATCAGCCTTTAACTGTCCACTGCGGAACATAAGCCTCCCCCTTTGGGTTTTGCCAGTAGTTGCCACGCCTAGCAGGCGGATTGGCAACCGCAGTCAAGCTTTAGAGATGTATTAAGAGGGACGCTGCTGCCCATCCTTCGCCCTCACTTAGTCGACTCTTACGACACCCACGGGAAAGGAAGGGGTGGCCTATTCTATGTCGGGACCACATGGCGTTATTTATTATATAACCCATAGAAAGACATTATTTATTAACAAACTAGCGACACGCCCCGGTTTCGCACGGATGCACATCACATCACATTAGAAACCTCTAAAATTATCAATGTTTCTCTACTATATTATACATGTATTATACATATAAACATTCCTCTTGAATCACTCTATCTATTAAAAAAAAACGTCATCAAAATCCGATGCAGGGACAGACAGACGGGAAGCGACTTTATTTTACACTATGTAGTGACATATGATTCCAAAGATATAATTACCTGTAGTTATTGGCTTGCTTCTGTTTCTCGGGTTTCTTCTCTTCATTCTCGCTCTCTTCTCTGAAAGTTGTAATTGTATTTTTTTTTTTAAATAATACAAATTTATTATTTACATTTAAATTTTAAATAGTAAAAGAGAGAATGTGCGTGATGGAACTCCAACTAGGCTAAAACTCTAGGTCTCACCATTAGGAGTATGGACAGCATATAATTAGTTTTTTTTTATACAACTTAGAATGGCAAACAAGCTGACGGCCCACCTGGTGGAAAATGATAACCGTCGCCTATATATATATATATATATATATATATATATATATATATATATATATATATATATATATATATATATGGGTATATATATATTTTATGAAATAGTAACCCCACCCGCGCTATCGGTATACACCGGTGGGGCACCAGTGTGTTAGCCCATCGTGACGAATTCAACAAGCATTGTTCACGATGGTGGTCGACCTGATAGAGCAAATTGCTAGCAATGGGGCTGCCAAACTCCATCGCTAACAATCCCTTTCCCCCCGGCGTATATAATAGTGGATATATTTTAAATTTTGCATGAAAATGGTACTAACTCGTCAGAAGACTCTTCAGAGCTGCTAGAGCCAGATGATGACGATGAAGAGCCCGAGCTACTGCTCTCCGGTTCGGAATAAAAGCTTTTGTCTTTCTGTAAGAAAAAAATATACGAATGAGATGAAGCAGCATCGATGAACATGTAAAATTAGAGTTTAATAAAATCTTCAAAAGGAACTTCAAAGTTCATATACCATAGAGAGAAGAGTGGGAACATGGTCCGCCATCTTTGTAAGAGAATTACCCATATAATAATAATAATAAACATTATGTATACAACCCTCCACATGTATACTTCTCCAAAAAGCAGCAGTTTTAAATACATGTCGCCTGGTCCGTAAGCTCCTATCATTCCAAAAACACTTGGCTTTGGCCCGTGTCTAAAACTACCTCTAAATGAGAGATATAACAAATTAAATAAAAATAATAATAATAATTTATATATTCTTTATTGCACTTATAAATTACAATGTTAATGCATTTATAAATATTGTGAGCAAGGGTGGACTTATCTCTGACAGAGATCTCTTCCAGTCAACCCAATGCAGTTAGAAAACATGTTGCTAGGGGGCAGCTGAAGTGCTACAACTATTAATATTTAGTGTACATAAACAAATATACAGTTAAATAAAATATTAAGATACATAATAAAATATTACATAAATACATATACTATAAATAAATATAATATCTACCTACTTATACAGTGGATGTTAAAATAAATGAATATACTACCTAGAATAGAAATTTAGTTCAATGATTTTAAAACATATATAAAAATAAATAAATTAAGATTATGACTCAAAAGAAAGAAAATAATATATATTATTAACCCAAATTTGTATTACAACGTGTTCTTACATATAAAAATATATGTATTCTTTATATTATTCCCAAATTCGTGTATAGTATATATCATATATGTGTAAGTATATTTGTTATTCATATATATTTATTCGTTTATATATGTAATTTTAGTATGTATGTATATCAATAATTAGTAGTACCGCATTCGAGTATTCTGACACTTCCCTATGGTTGACTGGGAGAGAATGCTTTTTAGCATTAAGTTTGCCATGTACACATATTTGTACTAATGAATAAAGAAATAAAAAATATAACAATCAAAACTTATAAAAAAAAAAACATAATTTATAAAAAGTAAAGTAAATAATATAGCAAACACAGTTATAGAATAGAATAGAATAGAATAGAATATCTTTATTTCCTTTAACAAAATTAGCCTATAGTACAATATAGTTATGACCCCACACTAGGCAAAGCCTGTCTCGTAGAAGTCAAAGCAAGTAATTTTACAGTTATGGTGCGGCGAACATTAGATATGCGGTTATTAGATAAAAACAAAAGAACATTATTGAACGTTCCTGTCTCGGTGCACGGACAACCAATACTTTTGAATGGGACCGTTCAGACACTGGGACAATGTGCTGAGGATTTCATTCTTTGAATTCCAAATGTGAGCCCGGAAATTTGCGATTTCTTATTATAGCGAAGTATATAGGTATACGGATAACAGTATGTGTGTGTAGTGTTATGTCCACGGCACTGGTCACGTGTATAGGCGACGGTTACCACTGTGGGCGGGCGCGGCGTGGTGTCGGCGGCGGCGGCGGCGGCGGCGGCGGCGGCGGCGGCGGGCGGCTCGGGCCGGCGCTGCGCGGCCGCCAGGGGGCGCGGCGGCGGCGCGGGCAGCGGCCGGTAGCCCGCCGCCGCCGCGCCCGTGCACATCGACAGCGACCCCACCGTGAACTGCTGCCGCTCTGCAACCATCCTCACAACTCATACATACACTGTCTCCATACAAATACTAAGAAAAACCTAGATCAACCTTTTCATACAATTTTGCATAATAGTGCATACTGCTGCGACCAACAACTGAGGCATCGATGGCCGAACGTGCATATGTGAGCTGAGGCGTAGCCGAGGCACACATAAGTGAGTCCATCAATGCCTAGTTGTGGCAAAGGCTTGTATAGTACTTTTCTCAAACAATGCGCGGAAATTAAAAACACAATTTTACTTTTTAAGTTCAATGACGAATAACAAACAATAATAATTTTTCACGCGCCATAATATTCCTTTGTTTTTTTTTTTCAATAAAATAGCTTTCTATTTGCAAGTCATTTCGAAATTTAAATAAAACCTTTTATTAGTTACCTCCTTAGTAATCATGTTTCAAAGTAAAGGGTCATTTCATTTTTAAATTACAGGACAGATATGAGTTTACATAGTAATTTATCTGGCCGCAAAACATGACAGATATGGATTTTCATACAACTTTTGTCGGCCGCTGCCCGCATGTATCTGGCCAGTACGGCAATTTTGATTAATCTCGAAGAAGATTGTCAAAATAATGCTCACATTTCCAAGCACGTTTGAGAAATAAATAATTATCGAATGATTCCTTTATAACTTCTATATTTAATTTGTCTTATAAATTCTGCACCTTATTAATGCGCAAAAACTCATTTTATTTATCAAGTAATTAAATATAAGTACATAAGTATACATAAGTGTACATAAGTATATAGAACATTGATAAAAAAAACGAGTCAGCTAATTTGACAATTAGATGGCAAAAAGTTGACCCGTTTTTGAGGCTATACGCTCTATCTATATAATTTATAACCTAACATCACATACTAGGGGGGAAAGGGATTGTTAGTAATGGAGACTGAGAATCCTATTGCTAGCAATATACCGAACCAGGTCGACCCTCTCGCGGTCCCCCCTGGAAACTATCATGGTTAATTCCTGATGAATTCATCATGATGGGTTAACTGGCCTGTTTTCATTCTCATCTATCTTTCTTCACTGGTGCTCCGCCAGCGTATCCCGTTAGCGCAGGCGGGGTTACCATATCATTTTCACCCATCAAAAAAAAAAAAACATACTATGGCGAGACGCCGAGTATACACACAAATATCCTGTACTTTAGTCCTAGTATATACCCAACACACTTGCCATGCAGGGTAGAGGTAAGAACTATCTCGTATAAGGGATATATATGTATAGATCTAGCAGTAAACTGTAAACAACAGTTCTAAATCCCTCCAAGATGGCGCTCTCAAGCATGCTACTAAGAGTAGAAAATATGAAAGAAAATATGAAATGAATTTAGCAGTTGTTGATATAGTTAAATGCACTGAGTTTTTTTTTTAATGAATGATAATAGAATAGTTACCCTGCCTACGCCATCGGCATACATCGGCGGGGCACCAGTGAGGAATAATTGGTGAAGTGAAGCAGGTCAGTTAGTCCATCGTGACAAATTCACTAGTGAATCAATCACGATAGTTTCCAGAGGTAACCGCGAAAAGGTCGATTATTGTTATTTTTTTTTATACAATATAGAATGGCAAACAAGCTGACGGCCCACCTGATGGAAAGTGGTAACTGTCGCCTATAGACATGAGCAGTATCATGGACATAACAAGGTATACTGTTTCGCCCATGATACCCCCCATGCGTTACCATTCCTGAGGACTCAGGTATTATTCCTCTGTACCCAGTAAATTCACGCCATATCCTATCCTTTAAACCGAAACACAGCCATGCAAACACATCTGGTTCACGGTTGAAACACGAATGGGACAGAGGTACCCAAGCAATCGACTTTTGTACAAAGTCTCCCTCTGGTAAGAGAGACGCTACTGCCCATCCCGTGCTCTCCCTTACTCTTACGACACCCACGGGAAAAGAATGGGTGACCTATTCTACGCCGGGACCATACGACCTTAAAAATAAGCATAATAAAAAAAAACTGGAATGTCAACGCAAGGCACATACCTTTGAAGCTACTTTGGATGGTGGGTTTAGGTTTCTCCGGGCAGAAGACCTCGTGAGCCTTGGACGCCAACTGTCCCTCGTGCGTGGGGTTGAGGAAGCGGCGCAGTAGACGGGCGCGGTCCCGTACGTCGTAGCTGGCGTCGTAACGAGCTAGGGACACCACGTAGCGGCATAGTGCGGCCGTCTCCGGCTGTGCCAGCCACAGCTTCACCGCCAGCGACAGCAGCTGCAGCTTCACCAGCTCCTCCTGTACACCATCATCATCGTCGGTGCCCGTTAATGGATTATGATAATCATTATTATATCAGTCGTTATCTGTCCACTGCTGGACATAGGTCTCCCCTAATTGGGAGGGGGGGGGGAAGGAACCTAAATTTATAGGGTACAGAGGAATAACACCTGAGTCCTGAGAGAAATGACAACGCATGGGGGGTATCATGGGTGAAACAGTATACTCTGTTATTTCCACGGTACTGCTCATGTCTATAGGCGACGGTTACCACTTTCCATCAGGTGGGCCATCAGCTTGTTTGCCATTCTAAGTTGTATAAAAAAAAAACCTTTTATAAACCTATTTTAGCTATTAAACTCTTGTCTTTTTCTTTTGTGCTGAATTTCAAATTTGAAAGAAAGTGACAAAGCAGTGTGATAGTTGAAATAGATTCGTAGGTTTTAGTTTTTTATAATAAGGAAATTACCAAATAGATAGACAATTGATTTGTATCACTTCAGTTTATCATAATATACAAGAATAAAAGTACATTTCTAAGGATTACGTTATTATGTGCTTATATTTTAACTAGATTTATTAAATCGCAAAACCTTCCATACTTTGAATATACTAAACTACCCTAATAATGAACCGATTTCAATATTTTATAATCAATTTAATCAAGTATTTTAACTTATATTGATTCCATAGATATTAATTTTATCATATTTGGAGTCATTTTTTGCATTTTTTTAATTATAACAACTTTCTATTGCATAGAAACAACAGCCAACAGATAAAAATACACAAAAAGAGGGGGAAAGAGATTGTATTTTTTAAAAGGAAAATATTAACGTAGACACAATTAAATAAATTGTGTACGCCAGATTCCGGTGAAAAGTGTGAACAATATTTAAATATTACATACCATCTTTTATACCACCTTTCAAACAAAATAAAATTATTTGTATTTGTATAAAAAAAAGGTAACAATTTTTTTCTTTGAGTGTGTGTGTGTGTGTGTGTGCTACAGTAATATAAAATAGTAGAGGGTAAGAGTGGAGATTTTTCTTCAAATGGCGTAACAAATGGTAAAATTTTCCGTAACAAGGGAGCAATGAATCGTTTTTTTTAAGGGTGATAATGAAATGGTTACTCTGCCTGCGCTATCGGTAAACGCCGGCCTGGCACCAGTGAGGGATGATAGGTGAGGATGAAAGCAGGTCAGTTAGCCCATCGTGATGAATTCCACTAGAATGCATTACGATGGGCTAACTATGGCCACGATAGTTTCCAGGGGGAACCGCGTGGAGGTCGACCTGATAAGGTGTATTGCTAGTAACAATTCCTTTCTCCCCGGTCGTAGTGGTTGCGCGCGTCCCGTGACGTGATGTGGGGGTTTACCTGGTCAGCGAAGGCGGCGGCGAGGTGCGCCAGCACGGCGGCAGCCCGGGGCCGCGCGGCGCCGTGCTCGGCCACCAGCCACACGGCCGCCGCGCGAGCCGCCCCGGCCAGCCTGCACACATACATATATATATATATAATAAGGTAAAGAAAATCAAAATCTTGTAACAATGTGTATTTTAATGAAATGAAATAAATATTTTTATTTGTAAAAATATGGATGTATAAAATTTAAGTTAACATTTAAGTGAACACTTTTAGTAAAGATTGTTACAATTATTATAATGACAAATTTTGATATTTTAGATTTACTGATTTATTTAGTATTACATATATTTTAAGCGAAGTGTAAGGGACAAGTTGGCAAAACAAACAGTGAATTCAGGGGGGAAAGGGATTGTTAGCAATGGAGTTTGACAGCCCCATTGCTAGCAATATACCCTATTAAATCGACCTGCACGTGCTTCCCCCTAGAAACCATCGTGAACAATTCTTGTTGAATTCGTCACGATGGGCTAACTGGCCCGCTTCATCCTCATCTATCATCCTTCACTGGTGCCCCGCGAGCGTATCCCGCTAGCGCGGGCATTGGCCATTCCATTGTCACCCATTAAAAAAAAAAAAAACAGTGAATTCAGAGCATTATTCTGAATGAAAACCCTTATCAGGATTAGATTGGCAGTGTGGTGGTGTGCAGTGTGGTGGTGTGCAGTGTGGTGTGGTGGTGTGCAGTGTGGTGTGGTGGTGTGCAGTGTGGTGTGGTGGTGTGCAGTGTGGTGTGCAGCGTGGTGGTGTGCAGTGTGGTGTGGTGGTGTGCAGCGTGGTGGTGTGCAGTGTGGTGGTGTGCAGTGTGGTGTGGTGGTGTGCAGTGTGGTGTGGTGGTGTGCAGTGTGGTGTGGTGGTGTGCAGTGTGGTGTGGTGGTGTGCAGTGTGGCGTGGTGGTGTGCAGTGTGGTGTGGTGGTGTGCAGTGTGGTGTGGTGGTGTGCAGCGTGGTGGTGTGCAGTGTGGTGGTGTGCAGTGTGGTGGTGTGCAGTGTGGTGTGGTGGTGTGCAGTGTGGTGTGGTGGTGTGCAGTGTGGTGTGGTGTGGTGGTGTGCAGTGTGGTGTGGTGGTGTGCAGTGTGGTGTGGTGGTGTGCAGTGGTGGTGTGCAGTGTGCAGTGTGGTGTGGTGGTGTGCAGTGTGGTGTGGTGTGTGCAGTGTGGCGTGGTGTGCAGTGTGGTGTGGTGGTGTGCAGTGTGGTGTGGTGGTGTGCAGTGTGGTGTGGTGGTGTGTTGGTGTGCAGTGTGGTGTGGTGGTGTGCAGCGTGGTGGTGTGCAGCGTGGTGGTGTGCAGTGTGGGGTGGTGGTGTGCAGTGTGGTGGTGGTGTGCAGTGTGGTGTGGTGGTGTGCAGCGTGGTGGTGTGCAGTGTGGTGGTGTGCAGTGTGGTGGTGTGCAGTGTGGTGTGGTGGTGTGCAGTGTGGTGGTGTGCAGTGTGGTGTGGTGGTGTGCAGCGTGGTGGTGTGCAGTGTGGTGGTGTGCAGTGTGGTGTGGTGGTGTGCAGTGTGGTGTGGTGGTGTGCAGTGTGGTGTGGTGGTGTGCAGTGTGGTGGTATGGTAGTGCGGTACCTGTCGGCGCGCAGCAGGCGCGCGGCGCGGGCGACGGCGGCGCGCGCGGAGCTGGCGCCGCCGCCCACCACGCGCTTCACCACCACCACCGCCTCGCACACCACCCACTCTGCACCGCACACTCAATATAACTACGCTACCACACAAACAATCAATAACAATAAAAACTAAACAAAGTTTATAAAAAAAAAGAAATCTGCCAATAGAATTAAATTTGTAAAATTCAATCAATGTACAGAGCACATCATCAAATACACTACCTAATGTTAACTGTGGGGGGAAAGAGATTGTTAGTAGTGGAGACTGAGAATCCTATTGCTGGCAATATACCCAACCGGGTCGACCTCCTCGCGGTTCCCTCTGGAAACTATCACGGTTATTTCCTGATGAATTCATCATGATGGACTAACTGGCCTGTTTTCATTCTCATCTATCACCCTTCCCTGGTGCTCCGCCAGTGTATCCCGTTAGCGCAGGCGGGGTTACCATACCATTTTCACCCATAAAAAAAAATATTGATTGTTACCATTTAATTTTCCTATCATTTCAAAACATTCCACTAATTTATAATGCAACACATGATGCACACAGCACTGAAAATGTTTTGATAATCTTTTTCGTTATATATATTTTTCTCTTTTTTTTATACCACAAAGGTGGCTAACAAGCATACAACCCGTCTGTTGATAAACGATCACTGTAGCCCAGCCTTTCCCAAAGTGAGCGATAATACCCCTTGTGGGCGCTACAGGTCTGAAGGGAGGCGGTAAGAGACCCAGAAAAAAAAATGGGGGCGTTGTGTAGAGGTTAGGGGGATGATTTGTTGATATTGAATAATGCCCCATTTTTTGTGGTTTTTATTCTCAAAATGGGAAAAAAAAAATAAGTTTGGGAATCCCTGAAAAATAATTTATTCTCAAAAATAATGTATCCTTTTTGAAAAAGCCATCTTGTAGGTCTTTAGATAAAACCTCCAAGCCGGAGCGTTCGCGGAAGAAAATTTCTTTGAAACCGCTTTGCACGTGATCATTTAGGTTCAGTAATGTGAGAATGAATTCCCTGGCGATGGTGAACGGTGATGATAAAAGGTGGCTGTGGGCATTATTTGAAACAATTCCTCCGTACACAATCTGTTATATAATTCATCATATCGGCCTTTAACTGTCCTCTGCTGAACATAGCCAAGTTGGTTAGGATCTCCAATTTGAGTAGCTTAATGTGCGTCGGATCAGACGTACGGACGAGAGATGATTTTAAGAGGAACGGTGTCCATCTCTCGCCCTGACTGTCGATTTTTAAATACCAACGGGAAAGGAAGGGGTTATTCTAAATTCAGCACGGTGATATAATTATTCAATACAAAAAATATCTGCTTACCATCTTTGCTAGATAACAAATGCAGTAATCCATTGAGGCAGGTCTCGGTTTCAGACTGTATCTGCACAGCCAACCGGCCAATCGCCTGGATAGTGCGAGCGTGTGTTATGTGTACATAGGTCTGGAAGGCACCACAGGAGTGTGTTCTGTGTACAAGTTGGTTAGGATCTCCAATTTGAGTGTTGATGTGCGTCGGATCAGTTAAGGACGAAGAATGATTTGAGGAACGGTTCGAAGAGAGACTGTCGAAAATAAATTATTCAATTCAGCATGATATAGTTGAGGCGAGTGTGTGTTATGTATACAAGTAAAGAGTGCGTGTGTTATGTGTACAGTTAAGGCGAGCGTGTGTTATGTGTACAGATAAGGCGAGCGTGTGTTATGTGTATAGTTAAGGCTAGTGTGTTATGTGTCCAGTTAAGGCAAGAGTGTGTTATGTGTACAGTTAAGGCAAGCGTGTATTATGTGTACAGTTTAGGTGAGCGTCGATTATGTGTAAAGTGTGAAGATACAGTAATTATATAGTATGTACCCGCTTGGAGACGGTGAGCGCAGCAACGGAGGTGAGCACCACGCTCTGCACTTCAGGCGGCGCTCGCAGCAGCCGCACCATCGCCTTTGCCACCGGCGGCAACTCTTGTGCTGCATCAGAAACCCTATGGTTATGTCTCCATTTCGCTAATACTCCATTATCATTGCAGCTATCTATGGTGCTACTATTAAGCAGACCATATGGCTTTCTTTAAAGACAAGTGGAACAGAAATATGAGAAGTTAATCTTGGCTAGAGTCTGCGATAAACTTAGGTTGAAGAAGAGGAAGAAGTGACTGACCGGGTCCGCAGTGGTACATGAGCTGCGCTACGGCCATGACAACGCCGGAGTTCCTGCTCTGCAGCAGTGGCTTGGCGGCGCGTAGCAGCAGCCGAAGGTCAGGGTCGACACTGGCGGTCCGCGACTTGGATTTCTGCACCCCCTCGCCCTCGCCTTCCTCTTCAGGCTCACTTGATGACTCGTAGAACGGTTTCTCGGTCTCGCTGTCGCTGTTATACGACTGTAATAAAATGCAAAACCATTTTATTTTTATTTAAAAAGTAAACTACTGCACTAATTTAAAAAAATCTATGGGATCAATGTATAAATATATCCTTTCATATAAGATAAAAAAAAAAAAAAAAAACTAAATCCAACAGTGTTATAATGTCATCGTCGTCTTCCTACCCTTATCCCAATTATTATTTAGGGTCGGCGTAATATGTTTTTTATCCATATTACAAAAAGATTTGGCTTATAGTTTTACGACCGGCCACCTGCCTGACGTCAACCCTCTTTGGGAATGCATTTGTTGGTGGTTTCCGCCACCTACGGTATGGAGGAAAGGATTGAGGCAAAAAAGGAAGAGAACGTTGGAAATGCGTAAAGGAAATTGGTAAATAAGAGGAATAAGGGACTTTTGTAGGAAACGAAAGGGGGGGGGGGGCACTGTAGCGGCTCGAGAGGCCGGGGTCATATACCCATATGTCTTTATTCTAGAATCGAACAGCTTTCTAGAGAAAGACATCCCTGACGCAGACAGTGTTATGCGGTGACAAATATAAAAAAAAATACAATCGAATTGAGAAATTGCTACATGTTAAAAAACTATATGGTGATGTTTATTGAACAACATACATCAGTGTTGGGGTCGGGGAAACATGTCTTCGCGTACAGCGTGAGCATATTGAGCAGCGCCAGTTGTCCCCACTCATCCACGTCCGCCAGTAATGAGCACAATTTCCTGAAACAAAATAATTATTTAAATATTTAATTTTATAAGTACCTGCTACTTGAAAAGATATGCACGACTAGCTTTTTTTTTTTATAAAAATATCCCGCCAAAAGCAAAGGGCTTTTTTTTTTGGTGGGTGAAAATGGTATGGTAACTCCGCCTGCGCTAACGGGATACGCTGGCGGAGCACCTGTGAGGGGTGTTAGATGAGAATGAAAACAGGCCAGTTAGCCCATCATGAATTAACCATAATAGTTTCCAGGGGGAACCGCAAGGAGGTCGATCTGGTTGGATATATTGCTAGCAATGGGATTCTCAGTCTCCATTACTAACAATCCCTTTCCCCCCCAAAAGTAAAGGGCTATGATCATAAAGCCATCTTTATCATCACATAAGCCTGCCCCCATAAGAGGAGTTTTGCCCGTAGTTGGCTTGCTCATAAAGCCATATCTAGTGATATTTACACAAGCTATTGTTCCTAATTACCTGTAGCTCCTATGTATAAGGCTCATGCGGTCCCCACACACTTCGTTAAAGGCCATTGCAGCCGAGCCGACGACAAGGGGCGCCTTGTCTGATAATAACTTGTCTATTATAGACACTAATTCTTCTTTTTGGTCGGGGTCCAAGCTGAAAGAAAATTTGCTCAGTTATGTTAATAAATATGTATATTATTATAACGCAATTATAATTTTAAAGGAATACACGATCGCATTTTCAAGTGAAAGAAAGGGACAGCGTGCGATAGAGAGGGATGTATGTATATGTATGTATTACCTTTCTGTTGTATCATTGTACTGCGGATGACATTATGATTTAGAAAAACGAGCTATAAAGACGGATATTTGTAAAGATTAAAAATATAAATTCTTTTTTGAAAAGTTGTTCTATGAAAAATATCGATCCCACATATGTAATGATTTGTAAAATATTTAAATATTTATTTTTGTCGTTTGCCTGCCCACTCACTATTTCCAATGCCACTGTATTATGTTGACTGGAAGAAATCTCTTTTAGAGATAAGTTCACTATTGCTAACTTTACTAATATATTATTATTACTGTATGTTTTAGTGCAATAAAGAATATATATAATTTTATTATAAACATGTTTAGTACCTGTAAAGTTTCGGTATAGCGTGAGCGGCAGTTTTCCTCACATATGGGCTCATATCGCTGGCCGAGTCCCTGATGGCCAGCATCACTATGGGTACTATCATCGTGACTCGGATGGACGACAGCACCCGAAGGGCGCTAGCGCGGATCAGTTGATTCGGGTCCTGGTAGCATTTAATTATTAAAACTAATGTTAAAGTATTATTAAATTTATTACTACTTTTAATTTACAATTTTCTACTAAATGGAAGTTTTTAGAACTTCTGGTAATAAAAATAGTAGTCAATCTTCGAGTGTTGCCAGTCGCACACATACTAACAGTGGCGGAATTAAAAAAAAAATTCTAATCAATCAACTTCCGCAAAATAATTAAATAATAATTTAATTAGTTTAATAAAAAACTGATGATGATGATGAATTGATCTGAGACATAAAATTGTTGCCATGCCTGATATCTTCAAATTACATTCTATTTACAGATTTTGGTTTATGTATAATGTCACATTCTGATTGTATGGAGTTCAGTATTGGCATAAAGGACACATTCTTGTAACATACAATTGCAGTTGTCCATTTGTATTTTTTTAAGAGAACTGGCTAACTAAACTAAACTAGCGTTGTGCAGCTGTACTCACAGCATCAGCTAAGCACGTTCCTTTTGCATAATATGAAACACATGTTATATATAATATTACTGTATTTTCTGTGTTTTTCTGGTAATAAATATTTTTATTCCATTTTAAAAAGCTTATAAATAGGCAAATATTTCGCCTTAGACATCTGATAATCACTTGATAAAAATCATATTGATAAATTACGCTGGTAGGAGAAAAAAAAAACAATGTAATAGACTACTTTCTCTGTCTGTTCTCTCTTCGTTTTACTTCGTCATTTTTTTTTTTCTGTTGTATGTCTGCTGTTAAGTATGTGTATGTTATGTATATATTTAATTGTGTATATATTATATATGTATGTGTATGTATGTATGTATATATGTTTGTATATGATAATATTTATATAATAGTGCGCCACCTACCCTTTGTCTTTTTCTCAATGTCCTCTACCCAAAGGTTGTCTGGAAGAGATTGCTTAGCGATAAGGCCGCCTTTTGTATCACTTCTAATTAATATTTACTGTATTTGTTATTTCTCTTTTTACTTGGTGCAATAAAGTGTAAAATGAATAAATAAATAAAATACTTTTAGATAGCAGAATTAACTTTCGAGACAAACGATTCATTTCAAATCTTGTTTCGTGGCTTGCTTTCCATTCTTTAAGTGGAGGTGTAAAATGTTACATGAAGTTATAACCAAATTTTTCAATTTTGTTTCATGGTTCTATATATTCTCACACCCTGTGTATTATGGTTTTATTATAGCATAAGTCATGTCACTTACCTTGAGTGCCCGTTGGAAAGTGCTAATGGATAACAGTGCCAGATCCTGTTGTTCCTCAGCATATCTCACGAGATACACATACACCAATTTCTTCACTTCAATGTTCTTCGATACTACATTCTTCACTACTGCTGGAAACCTGCAATTATGTCGAAGACACTTCAGTGGTTGTACTACTTGTATATTATATTAATTTATTTATATTTTAATTGTATTTTAAAAATAATAAATACTGTAAATTTTAATAAGAAGTGAGAGAAAAGGCGGCCTTATTGCTAAGCAATTTCTTCTACGCAGCCTTTGGGTAGAGGACATTGAGATTTTTTTTTTAATTTTTTTGAGGCTTTAGTACACCTATGTATGCCAACCTCATTAGGAGTATTTGAATGTTAGGTTTGTCGAGACTTTGTACCTCTTTGGGTACCTCTGTCCCATTCATGTTTCAACCGTAAAGCGGTTGTGTTTGCATGGCTGTGTTTCGGTTTGAAGGGTGGGATGTGGCATGAATTTACAGGGTACAGTGGAATAACATCTGAGTCCTCAGGAATGGCAACACATGGGGGGTATCATGGGCGAAACAGTATACTCTGTTGTCCATGGTACTGCTCATGTCTATAGGCGACGCTTACCTTACTAAGTTGTATAAAAAAATTTTAGTATACACATGTTACATGGGATAAAGACTACCTTTATCCTGGTCAATGAACATATCTGAATTATACAGACAAAGTTGCGGGTAAAAGCTAGTATAATATAATTATGTTGGTGACAGACTTCTTGGAGTTCTATAAAACAGGGGTAAGAAGCAACAAGGTAAGAATTTTTCTATATATTTTATATATTTTTGATCGCCATTTTAAAAAAAAAAATTTTTTATAACTTTTTATTTTATATATATATATATATATATATATATATATATATATATATATATATATATATATATATATATATATATATATATATATAATATTGACAATAAAGCAATTGATAAGTCTTATATTGTTAATTTATTGAGCCTTCTTATCTACCAGTTCACAATAAATAAGTAGACAGGAACATTGTTGACCATTGATTATATAAATTGCTCACATTTCATCAAGTAACAATAATATGATAAGGGCAGTGTTTACTCTGCTGATATAGTTAGAATCTCTCGACTTTAAATTTGAGGTTAGAAATTGTATGCAGTACTAATCTAGTTCTTGCTGGATTTTCTAAAATAAAATAATTTAATATGTTCTTTATACTAACAAGTCAGATGCATCCCTTCCTTTTGCTATCATGCCAATGATCCTCTTCATCGCCTCTAGTTTTAAGGAGTCTTTAGATCCATCCAGCATCATTTTCAGATCATCATTCCTGTAAAGTATTGACATGATAATAACCTAATTATTTTTATGAGTTCCATGATGAGTATGGGAAAAGTATTACCTAGTGCCTATAGGCAATGGTGTTAGTAATGCAGACTATCAGTCCCATTTCTAGTTATATACCCTGTTAGATCAACCTCCATGTGGTTCCCCTTGGAAACCTTCATGCTGAATTCTAGGTGTATTCATCACAATGGGCTAACTGAATTGCCTTTTAATTCTCACCTATCATTCCTCATGGGTATCCCGCTAGTATAGACCATTAACACAGGGATTATTATGCCATTATCACCCATTTGAAACCACCAGCTTGTTTGCCAATCCAAGTTGTTTATGAAAGAGTAATCATTTTATTTCCAGAAACTACATATTGTTAGGATGATAATTTCTAGAAATTAAAAAGGTGTTTAAAGTAGTAACTGTTATTACTTAAGTATCAATTAATTTGATTATTTACAATGATAAAAAAAATTGGTGGTTCTTTTTAAAAAAAAAAAGAGTCGTCATTTTGTTCATATTTAGATTCCACACAAAACTACTATGACACAAAAACATGGCCATAGCTAGGGGTGATAGTGGGTGACATTGATGGGCAATGTCCTTCCATAAAAAGGTCCAATGCCCTATCTTAAAATTTTAACGTTCCAAGAAAATTAGACATATTCACTTTTTCAAAGTTACTTAATTATGGCTTCAGCCATACCAAAAAACTCTTTTGCCCTATTTTAAATTTGGATCTAGCTATGGCCCTGCACAAAAATAATGCCATAACTATTAATGTCATACTCATAAGTATTTACCTCTTATCATTAAGTTTACCCATCTTCATGTCAATATATACATGTAAATATGTATTTTATTAAATAATACTTACATAAGATAAATATATGATCTCGGACATTAATAAATGAAACACTTTAATGAGAGAGTGTTGGTGGTTTCAATACAATTTTGTAAACAGATATAAAGATAGTATGATTAAGTACTTAGGTCAATTAATGTGTAACACAAATAACTATGTTAGGAATATACTCTATTAGGTCGACCTCTATGTAGTTTATCTCAGAAACTATCATAGGTAGTACTTGTGGAATTCATCATGATGGGCTAATTGACCTGCGTTCATCTTCATGTCATTTCTCAGTGGTGCCCCGCCAGCGTGTATCGATGGTGCACGCAGAGCTACCATTTCATTCCCATCCATTAAAAAAGGGTATATCTTTCAGATAAAAAAATTTCCAAATCGGTTTACAACTAACAGAGTTATTAAGTAACAAATATAAAAAAATTACAACCGAATTGAGAATTTTCTTTTTTTTAAACGGTTAAAAAAAGTAGCTATGCTAAGTACTTATCAAAAGGGGTAACCTTTTTAAATATTTGGTTACAGACAATATTATTTATAATGAAATAAGGTTTATAGGATATTTTAAAAGGTATTTATTTTGTAAACAGAAAAAAACATATACAATAAATATTACTTCTTATAATCCGGCTGGAAGAAGGCTCCTGATGCTGGATCATTCGCTGGATACTCCACTTCTCCTGTGACCACCGTAACATTATTATATGATGATATGCTCGTCATTTTCACTATATTTTGGATTCACACATTTACTTATTCACTTATTTGTATTTATATTTCAATTAAAACAAAATATTAAAACACCCTTTCACTAAATGGCTATTTGTTGACGTTAACGTCGTTGATTGATGTATGACTGACAGTTAAACTGATAATTTGATGTTGCAATTAATGTTACTAACATTTGAGCCATTTCCCTTAATTTTAGGGAATTAAATAAAAAAATATTCAAAAAGTAGATCTAGGTATTTTGAAATATCCTCGTTGACCTAAAAATTTGGCTTTCTTTTCGCTGCAATATATCTATATATGTCGGTACCAAAAGACTTTATAAAGTTTTGCAATCTTTTTGTTACTGGCGCTAATTTCAAACTTTCTCGTACTTATTATTCTATTCATGTAACTTTTTCTATTAAACCGAAGTATATTTTTTAATTTCACAAATCCATACAAGGTGACACGTATAGTAAATGTAAATACTTGCATACGATATGTATCTATTTCAAGTTTAAGAAAAGAATAGAATGGAACTTCGGAAAATAAAAAGAATGATTGAATTGTTTATCTGTACCATATCTCTGTGAAATCAACATAAATTTTTGTTAAGTATTTTCTAGAAGCAAAATTATTACAAATAACAAAATATTTAAATGGTTTCTTTAGTTGAAAAAATCGTAATCTATTTATTTATATATTATTTAAAACAGAATAAAATGAAACAGAATAGAATAGAAATAAGTTTTATTCAAATAGACTTGTCTATAAGCTCTTATAAAATGCCATTTTCATGGTTTTGCTGTTGGGTTAGGAATGTTGTCATCAGAAGAACCCACAATAAGTTAACAGTTACACTTTTTAATTATATTTTTATTTTCGTTTGTCCTAACTCCTGACTGATTCATCTACGGACAGCTATTTTTTTATTTTAGAATGGCAAACAAGCTGACGGCCCACCTGATGGAAAGTGGTAACCGTCATAGACATGAGCAAAATCATTACAAGTTTAAAACTTGGAATTTTGGTATTTGATATATTTTATGATGTAAACATCTACTAAGGAAAAGTTTTCGGAAATTCTACCTCGAAAAGGGCGGAATAAGGAATAAATAGTTGTATTGGAATATATTATTTTAAAAGTTAGAATCATGGCATTTCATATCCACACTTCTATTTAGAAATTTATAAATACGTATTTCAAGGTTTTTGAATATTTGTCCCCTAATAGGGTGTATTAGAGGTCGAAGTATACCAGGTATAAAATAAATAAACACCAATAAAAAATACCAACTTGACGTCAATTTATTGTTAAGAACCTTGTTTTATACAAATATATCATACTTAATTTGTATTTACATTTTTATTGAGCAATTCGTCTATAACATCGATGTACAAAATACAAACGAAAATACAATTAATACAAATTATTTTGTACAACGCTATATATTTACAAATTATTCAATATTTTATTTTTTTCTTACATAATTATTAGCAAGTAATCACAGTTCATATACCTACCTATTAAATAGATTGTTAAGCATATTAGTAACTTCATTGTTTTAATAAGAATTCCCCTTTTTATATATGTATTTACCTTAGATTACATAGATAGAGAATCGAGCCTCAAAAACGGGTCAACTTTACGTGTGCTAATTTTCAAATTACTTGACTCGGTTTTTTTATAAGTGTTTTATATACTTATAGATATAATGTATTTTGACATATGTATATTTAATTATTTAATGAATTAAATAAGTTTTTCGCATTAAAAAGGTGCAACAAACTAAATATAGTAGTTGTAAAGGAAACACTCATAAATATTTATCACGCAAAATTGTATGAAAATGTTGACCCGCTTTTCTCGAAGTATTTGTATGGTGGTATCTATATAATATAAGGTCTTTATAAATATCTATTATAAATGTGAAAGTGAGTTTGTTTGTCTGTTATCTTATTATTATTGTAATTTACTATGAGTTAATGATGTGCGTCTAAATAAACGGTGTACAATTTTAAAATAATTTACTTAGTTATAAAGTTTCTTATAGTAAATATAATGTAAATTGTATTACTGTAGCTGTATTCAAATAAATAAATATACGTAATATATGAGATGAAGAAAGTTATAGGCTACTTTTTATCCCGGTTAGTAAACATATAAATATATCTAGGTCACGCGGACGATGTCGCAGGTAAAAGCTAGTATTTGTACAAAAGCTTAAAAGAAGCGAAATAATTTTTTTGAAAATTTTGTACACAACAAAAATATATTTTTTTATATCAGCTCACTTCGCCACACCACAGCTCACTGTTGAACATGGATTTTGTCGTGGTAGGTACGTTGTTTTGTACAATCCTGTGTTTTACGCATGTAATATCATCATCATTATTGCTTTTTTTATACAACTTACAATGGCAAACAAGCTGACGGCCCGCCTGATGGAAAGTGGCAATCGTCGCCTCTAGACATGAGCAGTACCATGGACAACAGAGTATATTTGAATTGCGCGGGTGGGGCTACCATTCCATTATCATCTATTTAAAAAAATGGTACAGGGTGTATCTTGTATAAAAGTGTATAAAGGTATCTTGGTATTATGATAGGGAGACTTTGTACAAAAGTCGATTGCTTGGGTACCTCTGTCCCATTCGTGTTTCCACCGTGAAGTAGTTGTGTTTGCATGGCTGTGTTTCGATTTGTAGGGTGGAATATGGCGTGAATTTACTGGTTACAGAGGAATAATATCGGAGTCCTCAGGAATGGCAATGCATGGGGGGTATCATGGGCGAAACAGTAGGTATACTCTGTAATGTCCATGGTACTGCTCATGTCTATAGGCGACGGTTACCACTTTCAATCAGGTGGGCAGTCAGCTTGTTTGCCATTATAAGTTGTATAAAAAAAAAGGGTATTAAGTCGACCTCTATGCGTTTCTGTCTAAAAACGATCATGGCTAGTTTTTTAGCTGATGATTGATTGATGATATTTTAAGCTATATTTATATGCTATAGCAAGATGCCATAAACGGCAGCTATAATAAAATATTTTGCACTCATTAGCTCTGCATAATGCTATGCACCTATGCTGCAATATGCATAGCTTGAATGTGTAGTCTTGGCATAGAATAGGTCGCCCCTTTCTATTCCGTAGGTGACGTAAGAGCCGATTAAGAGTGTGCGAGGGATGGGCAGCAGCGTCCCTCTTAAAACATCTCTAAAGCCTGACTGTGGTTGTCAATCATCTGCCAAGCGTGGTAACTACTGGCAAACCCCCCAAGGGGGAGGCTTATGTTCAACATTGGGCGGTTTAAGGCTGATTTGATGAATGCTATGTACAATAAGTATATCGTACTATATCTATCCAAACATTTTGGTGACGTAATAAAAATATATATCAGAGCTACGTCTGTGGTCACTCGAAGATTGCTATAGAAGATATATCGTCATATCCCTTAACTACCGGTTAAACTCTCGCGCAGTTGCTCACGATTAAGGGTTTCGAATGGTCCCGAAACTAGCCGAGCTTTCAAGACCTAATTACACGTAAGTTAAACCGGTAGTTATTACATTAAAATATCCCTTGCTATGTTTTATATTAATACTAGCTGACCCAGCAAACGTTGTTTTGCCATATACATTATTTGGAGAATATTTTGTTAGTCCATTAAAAAAAATATTGGGGAGGGTGACCCTTATCATTGAGGGGTATGAAAAATAGATGTTGGCCGATTCTCAGACCTACCCAATATGCACACAAAATTTTATAAAAATCGGTAAAGCCGTTTCGGAGGAGTTTGGTAACAAACACCGTGATATATAATAATATAATAAGATAGATTATAGCTCCATCTGTGATAGCCTTATAACAATAATTGTGACGACGTCGGTGGTTTCGATAAGGTCCCTCTAGTGTATTTTAATAAAACGTCTACAACAATACGTAGTAATGGTGGGGAGCGTGGCCGGTGGTGTCAGTGGTCCTCATATCACAATCCGCGCCGCGCTGGGAATCATGGTCCGGGCCGCGGCCCGCTGCGGCCACCAGGCGTACTACATGAGGGCGGGCGCGGACGCGGTCCGCTCGCGGTAGTACTCGTGCAGCACGCGGCAGCGCTCGTGGCGCGCGCACAGCAGCCGCGGCGGCGGCCGTCAGGCGGGCGCGCGCGGCCGCGGCTCCGCCCGGTCCGGGACCGCCGTCAGGGACGTCTCCGCGAAACGGACCCCGAGCCTGGTCCGGACTCGGCCGTTCTGAAAGACAAATAAAATGTTTACACTGGAGTTACTAATGACGAATGACAGAGAAGTCAGTAGGCCCATCGCGATAAATTAATTATTATATACATTTTACTGTATTTTTTTTATACAACTTAGAATGGCAAACAAGCTGACGGCCCATCTGATGGAAAGTGGTAACCGTCACCTATAGACATGAGCAGTACTATGGACATAACAGAGTATACTGTTTCGCCCATGATACCCCCCATGCGTTGCCATTCCTGAGGACTCAGGTGTTATTTCTCTGTACCCAGTAAATTCACGCCATATCCCACCCTTCAAACCGAAACACAGCCATGCAAACACAGCTGCTTCACGGTTGAAACACGAATGGGACAAAGGTACCTAAGCAATCGACTTTTGTACAAAGTCTCCCTCTAGTTTCTTTTATTGTCCTTTACATAAAATTTACAATACATTTTACAGCGTTTCCATTAATCGCAATTCTCAGTATTTACCTTCTCGTTTAAACCACCACTTTCAAAGACCAATGACGAGCGTTTTCGAAATGTCACAAAGAGGAACCAATTCAGTATAAATAATTAACGATCAGATTTCAGTTTGTCGTGGCTTTATTTGTGTAATTACAAATATAAATTTAATTAATTGAATTAACTATACAAAGGGAAAAGTGTTGGGGGAGACATTTGCCCAGTAGTGGAATACCTCTCTTTTCATTTAAGAGTATCATAGACTATAAATGAATGAATGGATTTAATAAATAGAATTTCCGCGTCAATACAAATTTGAGATCCATGCCCCGTGGATAAGTTTGTATAAATTCATAAAACAATCTCTGGATTTCTATTGTTATAAATCTGTCTGTAGATTCTAATTATATCTAGCTATTATTCTATTATATATATATATATATATATATATATATATATATATATATATACATTATATATATATATACATTATTCTTATTTCGTTTAGCACTTTAGAACATACAAAAAAATTAAGTGAGATAATTTTAGAAGTTTTGCTCGCTACAAACGGGTATGTTCATATACCTACCTACTAATAATAATTTAAGTATTATATAACGATGAGCAGATCAATATATATATATATATATATATATATATATATATATATATATATATATATATATATATCTAGGACATTTACTTCTATTGAACTAAAAACAATAGGTACTTAAATTCATTGAGATAAATGCTCACCTTCGATGGCTTTACTAATGGCGTCTCTAAATTAGCATTCTTCTTTATTGAACTGGATCCAGAGTTACCTGTAAATATATTTTTATAATTATACATTTATTTATATTAGCTTTATTAAAAAAAAAAGATTAGTTTTGTTTTTTATTAAGTAAGTAAGTAGCATAAATAAATTAGAGATAACTACTTAAAAGAGTTATAGATATAAATAGAGTAAGAGGATTGAAAAACGTATATATTATATCAGAGTCATTTAGTGAGACAATGAGAGACTATCAATATTGTACGTAATCCTTTATTATTTTTACAAGCAATATTTATTTATTTATTTATATACTAGCTGACCCCGTAAACGTTGTTTTACCACTTATTGCGAAATATAAAAATCACGATTAAAATACAGGGGTTGATCGTAAAACGATGAAAATTTAAAGTTGTATGTATTTTTCAATGCTAAATCATATTAAAATAAAAATAAAAAAAATTGTCAAAAAAATAAAAAATAATTTTTATGGGTAGGTCACCCTTATCATTGAGGGGTATTAAAAATAGATGTTGGCCGATTCTCAGGCCTACCCAATATGCACACAAAATTTCATGAAAATCCGTAAAGCTGTTTCGGAGGAGTTTGGTAACAAACACCGTGACACGAAAATTTTATATATTAGATTTTATTTATTTATTTAAGGACAACCAACAAAGCATACATTTATATCTACTTAAAATACATGATAATATGGTTACATTATAAAATGCTGCCTTAACTTGTGGTTGTTGTTTAAATTAATTATTAGTTTATAATAATTTAACTATTGGCATTACAGTGTACTTTGAAATATTCATGGTGCTTTTCATGTCTTTCTAGATTTGAAAAGGGCTATCGCTTTCCATTGGGTGGACCGTTCGTTTATTTCCATTAATCTAATAAAATCTCATAAAAAATATAATAATAAATAATAACAATTTATTAAGTAGTAAAAAATCAGTAAACTGAGGAAATACTGAGTAATAAATGATATTACTCAGCGATGTACTTGACGTATGAGTTTCAGCACATATACGCAATAAAATAAAACAAAATTTACTTTAATGAAACGATAAAAAAATAGTTACAATTAAATTTCGCTTCAATAGACTTCAAAAAAGTTTAAAGCCCCTCAATTCGGTTGAACTTAAGTTTATTATTGTACTTTATAACTATGTATTATATATATTTATCAGAAATGATATAACAGTTTGATTTCACAGAAATTTAATTAAAATTGGTTTAGTTGTATAGCGTTTAAATGAAAATAATTGGTTTTGAAGTCAATTTTCTGTTCTGGAACGCAATCCTAATTACTTCATCTGAAAGGGTATACTTATAGATTGGTAGCATTTTTATAAAAAAAATTAGTTAAGCAGTTTAGTGAATAAATTTTTTTTTAGACAACTTAGAATGGCATACAAGTCGACAGCCCACCTGATGGAAAGTGGTAACCGTCGCCCATAGACACGAGCAGCACCATGGACATAACAGAGTACACTGTCTCGCTCATGACACCCCCCATGCGTTGCTATTCCTGAGCATTCAGGTGTTATTCCTCTGTACCCAGTAAATTCACGTCATATCCCACCCTTCAAACCGAAACACAGCCATGCAAACACAACTGCTTCACGGTTGAAACACGAATGGGACAGAGGTACCCAAGCAATCGACTTTTGTACAAAGTCTCCCTCTGGTAAATCAAAATAACACTGGTGTTGCCACAATTGAAATGGGGTTTTCTTGTGTAACACAATTTTAAATTATCGACTGAAAATACAACCTTCGGAGGCTACAGCTCTATCACGATAGAATTACGACTTTGAAAGTGCTCATAAACAAGGTAATCTCGAGTATTTTTTAAAGAAAAATACCTATATAAAAGTACAAATTATCCTACTTGTCGATTCTAAGACAAGCCCCTGTCTGCTATAATGGTACGTGAAGCTTTTAATGTTCTAGACTGTTTTTTATCTATTTTTCGCTTTCTACGCAGTTAGATTTTTTCTTAATTATCTCTACAGGTTTTGTTTTCTGATTGGAAATCAAACAAAACGGTCTTTTAATTAAACAGACCTTAAAAAATTCGTAAATAAATAGCTATATGTAGATAGATAGATAATTTATTTACATTACTTACAGCATACAAATTACAAACATACACATAATACACAGTAAAAGAGATAAAAAAATGAAAAACAGAAAAGCCACAAAAATAAAAAAGCAAAATCTTTGGCTTCACATATAAAACAACAATTTCCTTTTTCTTCTTTCATGCGTGTGCCATAGTAACACAAAATGGTCACAACTCAGTTTATTGCTTTGCCCTCAAAAGAGCAAAACACTGATATTCTGTTGTGCCCAAGAGTCAGTCGCGAAATTTCTAAATGTAGTAATTTTAAGATTCCTTATTGGTGAGGCTTTTGTTCAGCAGTGGATAATAAATGGCTGATGTGATGATGATGATGATGATGATAATAATTTAGTAATTTTAGTTCTATATGGGATTTGAGCCGTGTAGGTCCCGGCATAAAATAGGCCATCTCATTTCGTCCCGTTGGTGTCGTAAGAGGCGACTAAAGGAGCTTATGGTGGAGGGATGGGCAGCAGCGGCCCTCTTAAAAACATCACCAAAATCCAAACTCCGATTGTCTCTCTATTTATAGAGAGACAATCGGAGTTTGGGTTTTGCCTTCAAAGGGGGTTTTGCCAGTAGTTGCCACGGTTTGCAAGCGGATTGGCAACCGCAGTTTGGTTTTGGACATGTTTTAGGGGGGACGCTGCTGCCTATCCCTCTGTTAGTCATAATGGACACAAATGCACATAATATTAACAAAGGGAGATTTTGTACAAAAGTCGTTTACTTGGGCACCTCTGTCCCATTTGTGTTTCTACCGTGACGCAGTTGTTTGCATGGCTGTGTTTCGGTTTGAAGGGTGGGAAATGGCAGTGAACTTACAGGGTACAGAGGAATAACACCTGAGTCCTCAGGAATGGCAACGCATAGGGGGTATCATGGGCGAAACAGTATACTCTGTTATGTTCATAGTATTGCTCATGTCTATAGGCTACTGTTACCGCTTTCCATCAGGTGGGCCGTCAGCTTGTTTGCCGTTCTAAGTTGTATAAAAAAAAGAGATTAACAATGACTCACAGTCAAATATTATTTTATTACTACAAATAAGTTTCTAGTAGTTTTTTTTTTCTCAACAGATAATTACCTTCCGAACGAATCAGAACAAAAACTATGATTTAAAAGCTTCTGGGTTCTACTTGAATAAAGTTTTGAGTAAAATATTTCAATTGAATAAATAAAAATGTATGTACCTATTCATTCTGAAAGAACTGAAAAGCTTTAGTGTACGGGCATCATCTGTATGTTTATGTAATCCTACATTCGATATAAGAATGTTCTAATACCTACTTAGGTATCTTTTGATAGGTAAGTAAGCTTTATGGCTACAGAATCTGGAGATCTTTAAGATATATTTTAAGGAAAGCATAATACTTAAATAGTAGTACTTAGCTATGTAATATTTATTCATTAATTCTATACTTACCTACAGAGTTAGCCTGAATAGACGCAATAGATAGATAGGTAAGTGGATAAAAAGATAGATAGATACTCTTTACTTTTTCCTTCAAAAGACGTAATTATCATTAATCTCATATCAGTTTTTTTACCTTTTCACTTTTACTTAATTTATAAGCGACATCAAAAGTGGAGGTTTTCAATTCACTTATATTTTAGTTTATAATCATTGTCTCGACCGTTATCTGTCCATTGATGAACATAGGCTCCCCCTATAGACTGCTATAAAGAACGATCCTGAGTCACCCGAAATGGTTATTTTTATTTAAAAACTAAAGCACTCAACCGATTTTGATAAAATCTCTATAGAACCATTCTGTATTTGTACCTGTAGAAAAAAAAGGTTTTTAAATTGGTTTACATATACTACTTCCTACGCCACTGTGTTAGGTTGACTGCAAGAAATCTCTTTTAGAAATAAGTTCGTCTTTGCTAACATTGTTATTAACTTATTATTGTTACTGTATGTTTTTACTGTATATATATATACAACTGACGCAGTTATGAGGTAACAAACACAAAAAAATTTAACCGAATAGAGAATTTCCTTCATTTTAAAGTCGGTTGAAACGATAACAGAATTATTGTATTCCTACTCCATTATTGTACGTAGCATCCATAGAAGCTTATTCATTTTCCCCCTAATTAAGGTGGCAAACAAGCATACAGCCCGCCTGATGTACGAGTACATTGACAAGTGCGAAGAAACTGCAGTCTTTTAGGAAAATTCAGACAGGAAGCTCATTCCAAAATGTAAGAATTCGCGGAGGGAAACTCCTTGGAAACAGCACTCTATTTACATATATACATACAGTCATTATCATCATCATATCAGCCCTTGATGGTCCACTGCTGAACATAAGCCTTGCCTTTCTATAGATTATGCAAGAGTCGAAGTACTAACCTATTGTATCTGACGCTGCCGTCGACCGACAGCACGTGTTTTTCAGTAACCTTCTAAAGGCACCACGGAGGTCCAGGGTGTAAGATCCGTAGACTAGAGGGTTCATGCAAGAGTTGGACACTGCCATCGCGAACAACAAGTCCTGTACGCGCGGCGAAACGCGACTCGCTGACTCTCTATCTATCATATACCTGAGGAAAAAAGAAATAAACATTTAAGTAGATATTTCTAAAATAAGAATATACACTTATAAGTTTTCCTCATGCTTTTTATGGCGATCACAAGTACTTTTTCACCATAGTATAATATTATTGTAGACATATTAGGTACTTATAAAGTTTTTCCCAAAGAGGGTTGACGTCAGGCAGGTGGCCGGTCGTAAAACTAAAAACCAAATCTTTTTGTAATATGGATAAAAAAACATATTACGCCGACCCCAAATAATAATTGGGATAAGGCTAGGAAGATGATGATGATTAAGTATAAAGTTTGTGACAGTATTTTTATTTATTTACATTTTTTTTATAAACTCAACTTTTGTTTGAAACAAACAACAGTCGAGTTTCTTGTTTGTCCTTCTCAGCTGAAATTGCATTCTGAACCTGGCGGTAAATTTATAAAAAAATTCTATACAAAATGCCTATAATTTTTTTTATGCAACTTAGAATGACAAAAAAGCTGACGGCCCACCTGATGGAAAGTGGTAACCATTGCCTATAGATATGAGTAATACCATGGACATAACAGAGTATACTGTTTCGTCCATGATACCACCCATGCGTTGCCATTCCTTAGAATTCAGGTGTTATTCCTCTGTACCCTGTAAATTCACTGCCATATCCCACCCTTCAAACCGAAACACAGCCATGCAAACACAACTGCTTCACGGTTGAAACACGAATGAGACAGAGGTGCTCAAGCAAACGATTTTTGTACAACGTCACAATTGTCGATAAAATGAATAGTTCTATCCTAAAATATTGGATAGGACAGATTATAAAATAAGACTGTTTTGACCATTTATTTTCTAATATAGGTTAAGTAAATGATAATTTTGCCGTGTGGTCCCGGCATAGAATAGGCCACCCCTTCCTTTCCCGTGGGTGTCGTAAGAGGCAACTAAGAGAGGGCGAGGGATGTGCAGCAGCGTCCCTCATAAAACATCACAAAACCCATTGCCAATCCGCCTGTCAAGCGTAAAATTACTGGCAAAACCCCCCCAAGGGGGAGGCTTATGTGCAGCTGAGGACAGTCAAAGGCTGAGTTGATGATGAAATTATGATTAACAAAATGGACGTTCAAGGTTGTCTGAATAAACAAATATATTATTAATCTTACCACATAGCCATAGTGGCATATGGCAACCAGCAAAGAGCGAAAACAGCAACGATTGTGACGGTCATGCGCAGCGTTCTTCTCCGCGCACGCTCCAGCACTCGTCGCCCGGAGCGCCGCAGCCTTACGTGATTTATACCGTTTCTATGTATGCATTTCTCTGGAAAATAAAATTGCACATTTAAAACTAGGCCTATTTTATTTATTAGATATTAAAACTGACCTAAATATAATTAGAAATATAAACAGTCACTAAACACGTGACTGTATAAATACTTTTTTTTGTATGTAATGAATTCTCACCATCACTTATGGTAGACACACGTTGGACTGGTTAGTTGATTAGGATTATTTTATTCAATTCCACTATTATTAGTATACGTGCGTCTACCAACACTGAAAGATTGGCTAATATTATTATTACCAGAAGTTCTACAACCGTCCTCATCAATCTCCAATCGCCATTCCATCCACGCATGTTTTGCGACACGTGTTTCATTTCGAAACGAGGCATTTGAAACGGAGCTTAGTATAAATCGTTCGGTGTCCAAAGTGCGGTTATATGTACAGAGATTTATTATGTAGTAACCAGATACATTAATCGCAGACAAATCTGTGTGTTTTTTTTATGGGTGAAAATGGTATGGTAACCCCGCCTGCGCTAACAGGATACGCTGGCGGAGCACCAGTGAAGGATGATAGATGAGAATGAAAACAGGCCAGTTAGCCCATCATGATGAATTCATCAGGAATTAACCATGATAGTTTCCAGGGGGAACCGCGAGGAGGTCGACCTGGTTGGGTATATTGCTAGCAATGGGATTCTTAGTCTCCATTACTAACAATCCCTTCCCCCAATCTATGTGGTTAGGTTGGATAGGACATAGACTATTTTCATCCTAGTCAGTCAATATACATCTGGTCACGTGAACAAAGCCGCAGGCATAGCTAGTACTAAATGAGTACACGAGAAGTTTGGAATATTCTTCTCGGTCGTGTAGGATACACACGCCTATCTATAACCTATGTCATTTAACCGGGGCTTAAAGAGATACCTACAAATTGGCTGTCAAGCTGACGATCGCCAACATAGTACAAATTGCTGTGATGGCGACCGTCAGATCTGGACTACAGTACCTGCTTACCATCAGGTGGGGTCACTACGACTAGTTCCTAAACAGGAAGAGACCTCACCATCCAGCTCCTTGCTGCTGCGGTGTATCTCGCAGAATATGCACACGTAGCACACTGTGATGACGACGAGCGGCACGAAGTACATTGCGCATATACAGAAGACGTTGTAGGCCACCTCCTGCTGGTAGCTGCTGAACGCGTCGAATGACACGCATTGCTCGAAGCCCGCCACGCGGGGGTGGCGCTTCACTCTGAACACTATGCTCTGTTGGATACAACGACAGATTTATTGTTAATTATTTCATAACTACGCATATTATTTTTTAATGGACGACAGTTTTTTTTTTATACAACTTAGAATGGCAAACAAGCTCACGGCCCACCTGATGGAAAATGGTAACCGTCGCCTATAGACATGAGCAGTACCATGGACATAACAGAGTATACTGTTTCGCCCATGATACCCCCATGCGTTGCCATTCCTAAGGACACAAATGTTATTCCTCTGTACCCTGTAAATTCACTCCATATCCCACCCTTCAAACCGAAACACAGCCATGCAAACACAACTGAAAAATTTTAAAAGCTTGTCCTTGTTTGTTCAGGATTATCCGGTTTTGTAATCATCAGAGGAAACGTCGATGAAGTGGTAATCGTCGTCTACAGACATGAAGAGCACCATGGATGATGTTGCATATATGGCATCCGTATATCGTTTAATTGTTCATTACTTTTACGTATAGCAACACATTAAAAAATAAAAAAATAACATATGGAGGCTCTAAAGTTACTTTCTGTTTTAATGAAATTAATAAGCATGCTGTTGCTGATTTTCACCACCGTACAACCCGCCATAAACTAAAGTTTCATCCCAACTACTTGGACGAGTGGTGGTCTCCCACTATGCGTTTTTCAAGGCACTTTCTTCCACACACAACTACTATTTGGGATCAACTTCCAGCGACAGTATTTCCGAATCGATACGACATCATATCTTTCAAGAAAAGAGCATATTCCTTTTTAAAAGGCCGGCACCACACCTGCAATGCCTTTGGTGTTGTTGTTTTTCAGTTGTGTTTGCATGGCTGTGTTTCGGTTTGAAGGGTGGAATATGGCGTGAATTTACAGGGTACACAGGAATAACACCCGAGTCCTAAGAAACCGCAACGCATGGGAGGTATCATGGGCGAAACAGTATACTCTGTTATGTCCATGGTACTGTCTATATATGTCTATAGGCGACGGTTACCACTTTCCATCTGGTGGGCCGTCAGCTTGTTTGCCATTCTAAGTTGTATAAAAAAAAAATTACTTGAGGTGATTCCATCCGTGTAGACATCGATAAAAAGCAGGTTGCTTTTTTCACTGATGCTTCGTTCCTATTGGTCGTAGCGTGATGTTATATAGCCTATAGCCTTCCTCGATAAATGCACTATTCAACACAAAAAGAATTATTCAAATCGGACCAGTAGTTCCGGAGATTAGCGCGTTCAAACAAACAAACTCTTCACCTTTATAATATTAGTATAAATTGGAATTCCAACGATACTATGCGAAATTGACTAAAAGTAATGTAAAACTGATCGCGTACTGATAGTAGAGTAACGGAAATAACTTATATAGAGAGTTTTAAATTGTTTTGTTTAGATACAACGCAGGCAAAACTGTTTACAGTTTGCAAGCAATGGAAAAGTTTGATCGAGATAGCTTCGATGCTTCATAACAAGTTCATAAAGATCGTTATCGTTTGTTTCTTTTTTATTAAACGAAAACCGAAGAATGGATATCAATTCGAAAATGTTTTCGAGTATTATAAGATTGAAGCATATCTCCCGATTAGGGGTGGGTTATATATAGCTATATATATATATATATATATATATATATATATATATATATATATATATATATATATATATATATATATATATATATATATATATATATATACAACTTCGAATGGCAAACAAGCTGACGGTCCACGTGATGGAAATGACATGAGCAGTACCATGGACATAACAGAGTATACTGTTTCACCCATGATACCCCCTTGCGTTGCCATTCCTGAGGACTCAGATGTTATTCCTCTGTAGCTTGTAAATTCACGCCATTTAAACCGAAACACAGCCATGCATGGGAAAGAGGTACCCAAGCAAACGATTTTTGTACAAAGTCTCCGGTATATATATAATATCAAATTTGTTACAAGTTTGTAATTCAAAAAATAATATTGAATTAATAGACTTTTAACATATTCGAAAATAGATATCAAAGAAATGGGTGATGAGATTTTTTCTTGCATCAATGTCCAGAAGACAGCAATATATTGATATGAGATCGATATCCATATTAGGTACCCATGCTTGCTCCCGATAGCTAGCATCTCGTAAATTTCTAGGCGTACTCAACTCAATCCGGTACGATTTGTGAATGAATTAGTATAAAAACTTATAAAAAATTAGTATTTAATCTGAGTTATGTACAATAAAGATTTTTACAATACAAAAAAAAAAAAACTGATAAAAAGTTAATTTTAGATATTCATCTGTGTATCAAATTCCAAATCCGTTCAGCCGACTATAACAACTATCCGAATATCTCGGATAATTAGATATAGGATTTGTTTAGATTATAGGATTTCATTTTATTATTAGATTTATTTCAATTTGAAACTGTGAAATATTTTTTTTTAATTAATTTCATTCACTCATTTTTTTTATTTCATAACAAAAGTAACATTGTGTCGAAACCATTCATGCAAATTTTTAAAACATTTCACAATGCAATAAATAGTTTTTTTATTGTCATTCATAAATTCATGTTAAATAATATTTTTAAATAAACTAATTAGTTGCCTCAACATTTTTTTTTTATAAATAACTAACTTTAGATTCTAGTATTTTTACAACTTAGACAAAACTAATGACATCTCGTTTCTTTTTCAAGCTCTTTAAGGTTTATTTACATACACAAATACCAAAGATTTCGAAATAGAATTGTTCGAAATGTTATTCCTTGTTCTTAGCCAAATACGTATACTAAAAAAATATTCTTGTTTCTTCAAAAGTTGGGTAAAAATAAGTACAAAAAAAAATAATGCTATTTTCCTATCTTCAATATTTATGATCAATCTATTGCGCAAGTAATTACTAGAATAGGCACCGTTCTTATATTGACGAAACTGAAACAGCATCCACACAATATAATTAAATAAATATTTTTAGTGCTATACAAATTTATGTAACCATTTACAAGCATCCACACAATATAGTTAAATAAGTGTTTTTAGTGCTATACAAATTTATGTAACCATTTACAAGCATCCACACAATATAGTTAAATAAGTGTTTTTAGTGCTATACAAATTTATGTAACCATTTACAAGCATCCACACAATATAGTTAAATAAGTGTTTTTAGTGCTATACAAATTTATGTAACCATTTACAAGCATCCACACAATATAGTTAAATAAGTATTTTTAGTGTTATACAAAATTATGTCATTATATCATCATATCAGCCTTTAAATGTCCACTGCTGAACATAAGCCTCCCCTTGGGGAGTTTTTCCAGTAGTTGCCATGCTTGGCAGGCGGCTTGTACAATATATGAATTACAAAATATTATTATTATTATAATTCTGCTTCTATCAGAAATTGGATATTGATAAGTATTATGAAAGATATACAAACACTATAGTATAAAACTATCAAATACAATTGATTGGTTGCATAGATTCGTAGAAAATCTCCAGTTTGCAGTGTTGCGAGCCCGTTTTAACGAACTACTAGAGATGTTTCTCTAGTACTCCGTTAAAATAACCCTACAATAATACACATAGAATTTTAAATTTTATAGAAATCCCTTTGGTATAAACTTTCATTTATTTCTGTCTCATTCAATCACAACTCCGTTTAATCCAAATGGTTCGATAGACTGTGATTGAATTGTTGATTGAGTTTTTTACTTCAATCGTCTCGCAACACACAATAAAGAGCTGTCTATACCAATCTTGTTTCCCACTTAAGCATTTCCGTTCCCATCTCTCATTTCAGACGTCGTAATTGTAAGTTATGAATAAATTTGCATCTATATGTGGTATTCAAAAAGAGTTCTCTTGTTATGCTATTCTGTAAAGAGTCTCACTTTAAATCGCAACTTAGAATAGCAAACAAGTTGATGGTTCATCAGGTGGAAAGTGGCAACCGTCGCCAATAGACATGAGTAGTACCATGGACATAACAGAGTATGCTGTGTCGTCTATGTTGCCCTTCATGTGTTGCCATTTCTGAGGACTAAGGTAATGCCTCGGTACCCTGTAGTTTCATTGCCATATCTCATCTATAAAACTGATACACAACCATGCAAACACAACTGCTTTCTGGCAGAAACATGAATGGAGCAGAGGTATACAAGCAGACGACTTTTTTACAGTTTCCTTCTGGTAATTAATTTTATATGATTTTAAATTTTTCATAGTTATAAGCTTTAGGAAATATATATCATGTAAAATTAGTTTTAACTTTTTTAAACTACAGTGTGTCTCTAAGAATGGCACACTAACTCCAGTTCACTGTGTTGCCATTTTTAAGAAATAGTACTCTCATCGACCTTGCTTGTTTACAGCATACCAAAAAAAAATATTACTCGTGGATTCGTTGGTGTTCGAATTTAATTTACTGCTGCTGCATTATTCATTAACTTACGAGATTCATCATCATCGTATCGGCCATTAACTGTCCACTGCTCAACATAGGTTTCCCCTATAAGAGGGTTTACTAATAATGGTTTCCTCGCTTAGCAAGTAGGTTGGCAAGCGCAGTAAACCTTAGTTATTTTCCTCAACCAATAAGTTCCCTTAGTCCAATCTTACGTCACCCACGGGAAAGGAAACGGAGACCCATTCTATGCCGGAACCACATGATAATTTACGAGATTAGAAATGAGTATATTGGAAAGAGCACGTTTCTTATAAAAGTAATATTGTTTCTTACGATTTAATAATATTAATAGTAATTAATAATAATAATAATATAATTTATTTGCTGAAAAACACGGTATACAGATGTTAGTAATAATACGAGTATGTCAGGAACAGGCGTATTTTGCCAAAACAATGGCGTGCAAAATTTTAATATTTATGCTAACCTCTTTTCAAATACTATTAATAAAATATTATTTATGTATTTATAAAATGGAATTATGTTTTAGTCCAACAAGTCCTTAATTGAGTAATAACACTTGTCCAAAAGCCGTACAGTGCGT